TCTGAATCTTGAAAAGCTCTATGTCCTAGGCACTAATTGTGGTAACTTACTCATCCTTTCTAGATTCAAGTTCTCATATGCGTACGTCCAGAAATGCTTATCTGTGAATCAAATAGTGGACAATGGAAAAAGGGAAGGACTTGACAAGTTTCTAAAAGCAGCTAGTAAGGAGCCAGAGACTGTTCTCCATTATGAGTTTATGCAAGATTACAAGGTTACTACCAGAGTTACATTTATCTTGTTCCTAACACTTTTTAGCAATGAGCATTTGCTTCACTGGTGCTAAGCTAGTCTTGACTTCTCTTGTAGGTCCAACTTAAACACTTGGACGGACACATTGAAGAGGTATAATCACTTAAAATACTGTATTGTTTCAGCGATGTTGCAGCTTTAAGCTCCTTTTTAAATACCCTTTTTGGCTAAAACAGGTTCCCTATTTCTCTCTACCAGCAAACGATTTAGTTGATGTCATAGCTCCATCTTGTTATAGGTAATGCCATTCTTTTCCATAGAAAGCTTCGTAATTTTGTCTACTACCACTGTGACCTTCTAAAGATCCTTTTCCTTTTTCTGTTTTGCAGCTGCTTTGATTACACAAATGCATTAGCAGTGAGTGTTAATTAAAATGTCATTCCAATTAGTTTAGAAGCTTGCCAATTTCAAACGTTTTCCTTATAACTCATTCATGGTTAATATAGGATTTGGTTATCGGTTATATGGGTGTTCCCAAGTATCCAGGTGTGAACATGACTGACCATCCGCAGTATATTACAGTGAGGTCAATATTTCAACCTCCATTTTTAATATGAACCACGTAGACTCCTGAGGTTGGCTAAATTTAGTTTTGTTTATGCATAAAACCACAGGAATGAGCGAGGGAAAGAAATGCTAAGCTTAGTAGAAAACCTTTTGGAGATCTCTCCGACAATCAGCAGCGTAAGACTTCTTATAAATGTATTACTTGTTACACTTAAAGACTTTAGAGGCCAGATAACAATAACCTCGAACAAACGTATCTTTTTGTTTGCTCTTGTATCAGGGTGATCGACGACCTTTTGTGACAGAGACCGTTAAGGCAGACGATGCTGCTAAGTTTGGTATGTTTTTAAACTTATTTTTCAAACTTGTTTGTTTGTTGAATCAATGAATCATCTCTGCTTAGAGTCATATTCTTGTGTGCAAGCAATGCAAGATGCTTAACTGTAACTGTAAATATTCAATTTTCTACATTTTCTCAGGTCGAGGTCCTTCTCAGCCGGCGCCAATTTTTGTTGGAAACATTATCGCATTCATCCTAAGTTTGGTAAAATTCTCTCCTTGTAAACACAAACAGAGGAGCAACTTCATACGAAAAAAGTCTTACTTGTAATAATGTGTTGTTACTTCAGGTTGGTCCAAAGGGTCTAGAATTTGCACGGTACTCGTTGGATTATCATACCATCAGAAATTATCTGCATGTCAACCGCAAATGGGGAAAACAAAGGTAAACAATCTGAAGCACACTCCTACATATCTGAATGTTTTATATCTAACCAAAGCGGCATTATCCTCTGCAGAGCTGACACTCACATGCCTTCATATTCCAAAAAGATAGTAGAAATGTACAACAAAAACGGCCAAATAGATCAAATGCTCTCCGAGAAATGAATATTGAAGGCATTTCTCATGTAAGCTTACAAATGTTACACTCATTGTACATTGGTCCTACTGTCAACTTGTAGTTTGTGAGTAATATTCAAAACTATTTCCCTTGTGAATGTGGTAAAGAAATCGGCAAGAAGAGATGGGTCGGTTTTGTGTTTATTAACAGAGAACAAAGAAGTAGAAACAGTCTAAATCGGCGGCTGAATCCGAATCACCCATGTGGTTTCTTTTCTCCATGTCTTTAGGTTAAGGTGATGTCTGAGTAAAAGGTTGCAGGGTTTTGTGAGAGAACATGAATAACTGTTTATAAGAGGATGGGAACCAGACATTTACACAGTTGGGGCGAAGAATTAGCTTTTAATGCTTTTTTGTTTGGACCAGAGAATGAACGAACCATGCTTTAGCTTCACTCACTCACTCATCACCACAATTCACAAATATAAACTACTAGTTTCACTGTCTTGTCCTTTTGTTTGTCAATTCTCTGTTCTGCTGGTTCTATGACTTTGCCTGCAGAGTCTCAGACCTCAAAAACGAAAAACTTGATGATGCTCATAAATGCACCAGAGTTGAATTTGTTCAGCAGAGGCTCTGTCCATATACAGAGTATGTATTAGTTTTCTTTTTATATGTGGTGAAATAAAGCTACTCTGGTACCTTCAGTTATATTTGAATAGCAATTTGACAGATAGGAAACTTAATTAATCATAGAGGATATATATACATATTGCATACTTTCGGATCTGAATCCGTTTTTTACTTAAATCTTATATCATTCATATATGACTCCATTGTTTTATTGGTAGTTTGCCTGAAATCATCAGATTTATTCATGTTATGTAAAGTAAACATAAAATTTTATTAATTATTTTCATAACCGGATAAATTATCATTGTGTACAAACAAGATATATGCGGTTTTATTTATATTTTTCTGATCATCAGGTCAAAGTGCATCCCTAATGGATTTTGCATATCCTACATAAAATGCATGTTTCTTCCCTGGGATTTGAGTAATCATAATGTTTTGTATTGTTGGTCCAAGATAATCATGTCTAATCAATCATTACATGTATGATATATGGCTAATCATTCCTTAATCACGAAAACAACAGCTCTAAGCTTGTGAGAGTATTCTTCCAATAATGAAACAGCATGGTATTAGTTGTTTCTCTCATTTCTTCTTATTTTTCCTAATCAACAACAACTAATATTCATCGAGATACAAAACATAATAACATTTGTCATATTAGATTAAGCAAAACTTTTTACAGAGTTCAAAATCTAAAATGAAGAAAAATAAAATACACAGATAAAAACAAAATAAAGCATTCTCAAAACAAAAAAATGAAATGAAAAATATTTTAAAAAGCCACATCTTCCCTAAAATCAAAGAAAGAAATCCCAAAATAGTTCTACTTTTCACAGTCTGTATCTTTTTGTGTTCTTGGGGATTTTTGTTTCTTCCGAGGAGAGGGCTTGGTTATCTCATGGATACACTTTCTTGTTTGTTTCCCTAAAATTTTGTGTTCTTTTGCAAATTAGAAATGAGAGATACATCGACGATGACGAGCTGCGGCAGTTTTCTTCTGTTGCTTAGATTCTTCTTTCCAACGGTTAGCGATATCATGAGCCACACTCATCGCGTCCAGCGACGCGCCGAACAGTCCTTTTCTGGTGAACCCGACCGCATACAATCCGGCCTCTCCTTTCCATCCGTTTGGAAACGGGTTTTTTGGTATCCCATCATCGGAGAAGAAGTCATTGTCCTGTTTTTTCATTACATCCAACACCAAACAACACTTTAGTACTCACATTTAATAACGTCTTCCCTTAACTGTCGATACCAGATTTCTATATCTAACCAAAAATTCGTACCACGATTTTGTATCCTTTTCCATGAAAATATTAATGTTTTACAAAAAAACTTTTCTAAAAATTTGGGTACAGTATTTCATTAATTGCTCACATTCAAAAATCATTATGAGTCGGGATTCACCAAACTCGGACCGGGTCGGGTGGGTATTTATGTTTTTTGCTTCCGACATGTTCTAAAAATTTAAGCTAAATCTCAATCTTTAAAGAAAGAAACAGTGAAAGATGTTGTGTAAATTACCTTAAGCCAAGAAGGGACGTTGCTTCTGTAACCAGTAGCTAGAATAACGGAGTCAATCTCAAGAACACGGCCATCCACAAGCTCAACTTTTCCTTGACCGAATTTTATAATCGCCGGGACGATTTTGATCTTTCCCGACCTGATTTTGGGTAATGCTCCGACGTCAAGAACTGGCGTTTTACCTTCCTTGTTCTTTAGCTCTAACGGTCCCATTTTCGGCCTTTTTAGACCGTATTTGTCCGTATTCCCCAAAACTATCCTCGCAAGCAGGAGCAGTGTCTTGTCCGCGAGCCAAACCGGCATCCATTTCATCATCGTAACTCCTAGTTCGAAGGTTGATCTCCCAAAAATCTCCCTTGGTAACACATGAACCTGATAAATTAAAAACGAAGAAGAAAACAGAGTATCAGACGCTCTGTTTTGAAAACAGAGTAACATAAAAACAGAGTAGCAACATGTTCTGTTTTAAATAAACAGAGGAGAGTCGAACTTTTGGTACTTACAGAGCTACGAACGACCATTGATGGGTTTGCTCCATGATTGTAGAGATCGAGAGAGACTTCCATACCGGAGTTTCCGCATCCCACGACCAGAACTTTCTTCCCTTCGTACCTTCCACCGGATTTGTAGTCTCCAGCGTGAAGAACATCTCCGCCAAAGTCCTCTAGACCTTCGAAATCCGGCACAACTTTCTCCGCATTCTCTCCCGTAGCCACCACAAGCCACCTGCAGATGTACTCAAACTCGCAAGAACCGAACTGCCCGCTCTTCGAAACGGTCTTAACCCGCCACAGCCCGAACGTCTCGTCGTATTTCGCTGACTGGACCGTCTCGTTGTACTTAGGGTTGATGTCGAAGTTGGTTGCGTAGTCTTCAAGGTACTGAATAAACTGAAACTTGGTAGGATATTCAGGGTAATCCTCCGGGAAGGGGAAATTGGGTAATTGGCAAAACTGTTTAGGGAGATGGAGTTTGAGACGATCGTACGTTCTGTTTTGCCACAGAGAGGCAATACAGTTAGCTCGCTCGAGGATTATAAACGGTACTCCCTCACGTTTCAAGCCCGCAGCGACAGCTAAGCCCGATGGGCCAGCTCCAACGATGACCGGACCGTTGACCCAAATGCAGCGCCGGGAGAAAAGCTCGGCTTCCGGGATGAGGTTTTGGAACATACTCGAGATGTTTAGACCCTTCTTGTTATTAATACTTCCGTACATCTTTTACAGAGTTAACAGCTTGTTTTTGTCTGGTTCTGAGGAAATAAACCGAGAAAATTTGGAGAATGTGCGAATTCTTTTTTCAGATTTTGGAGAGTTTTTAGGACAAGATGATGGAAGTTAAGTGTATGTGTGTGTGTTTTGTTGGAATGGAGAAGAAGATGTATAAATAGAGAAGAAGACTTGAAGCAAATTGGCATATGAAACATTAGTAAATTACTGTTTTTGGAGGAGGATTGAATAATATTTTATTTTTTAAAAAAAACTTCTGAATGCTATTTAATTCTCAAATGATAAGCTCTGCAGCCCACTATTATTTGTTTATTTTTATTTTTCATATGCTCTACTTATTGTTATTAGTTTAATCCTCGTCCAACAAATACAATAATTACTCACAAGAAAGGTGGTTCAGTATTTTGCATGTCATAGAAATTACGTATACTAGATGGAGATATACACTTTCCGTTAGAAAGATAACTAACTAGCCATAGGTTTATGTTTTTCCAGCTGTAGTAAAATGTCTTCTCATTAAAAATCAGAACAAAATCTCCTTAACGAGATAATAATAATAGTTTTCGGTTATTATAAGTAAATGTCTCATGGGATATGTATATAGGAGCAAGATTACGTGGTCGGTTAAATCCCCTTCCTCCTAACAAAAGAAATTGTGGTCGGTGTAGACCGAATCGACTAATTGCTACTATCTCTTTTCACTTACCAAAATTTAAGCTTTGGTCATATATACAGTTGAAATCAGCTTATGATAGTTTATAAAATGGTTCTATAGTAGAACTTAAACACGCGAATCATATAAATTTATGCAAATACGGATCCGGTAAAAGTAAATTAGTATTTACAGTATCTAGTTTATTGAAACGACCACATTTTTATTAGTCTTAGTCTCTTAGAGATAAGTTCTTACAAAAAAAACCCTCTCATAATTACTAGATGTGGATATGCCCAAAATCTCACGTTTTCATTTTCATTTCATACTCTTTCATCACTCACCGACATTACAACCCCATCAAAACGGGACTATCAGTTAGCTTAACATAAGAATTCAAGGGCTATATAAAAGAAGAGACCTGACTTTGGATATACACTAGAGAAGAGAAAGAAAACAGGATAATTAAATTTTATGTCAGGTTGCTACCAACGTGGCAATCTATTAAGTGTAAAAAAGGAGATACATAGCCTATTTCTCTAAAATATATATATGATCGATTCAAATGAAGAGACATGACAACGCATTCTGCTACTCGATCATGTATAGACATAAACATTCAAGGTCCATTGGGACTTAGGAGTTTCTCTTTCTGCTCCTCTTTGGTCTTATTTTAGAGAAATAGGTAGCAATACGCCTTTTTTACGTTAGAAATCGTCGCAAGTGTCACTTGAAAAAAAAACTATTTATCAAAATTAAAACCTTCCTTTTACCAGGAAAATTCCATACTAACACCCAAAATAATCTCCGAAGTATGTGGAAGATCGGGTTTTCTTATCATTTAAACCATCCACAATGATTGAAACCGTAGTAGAATGACTCCAACTTTGTTCGATCTCTCAATTAATTGGATGAATTCAAGTGCCAATTGCGATAATTGTTTTAAATTGGATCAGTCCATAATGAATTCAATTGCAAGATACAACAACTAAAACTGTCTCTCTTTTTTAATCATTTTTTTTTGCTTTCAAAAAGATAAAATTTAGGATTCCGCGAAGCTGTGGAATTTGAGGCAACGTGGTTAAACCTCCATCAGGAGTGGCTACACATCCCACAGACTTCCCAAATCCACAGACTAAATAACTGTTTTCACAAATAAATAAAATGACATGCAATCTCACACATACACATATTAAGTAATTTTCTCTTATATTTATACCATGAATTTTATATGGTAATCAAATATCCTTGATTCTTTGAAATGCACCAATCTAGAGGGGAACCAACATGCGCTTGCTTTGACCGAAAAATCAGTTAAATTAACTCTAATTTCCATATATAGTCGGACAATAAACGAATTTAAATAGAAGTTCTCGAGAATATTCGGATGTTTTACCTTTTAGTTTCACCGACCATTTCTGTAGAATATATCTTAAGTCGCTTAACAAAAAATGATATCGTATGGAAAAAGAACACTTATTAGTTGAGACTTGTGAGAATGATCACATTTCAACAAAAAGAAAAATGAGAAGATAACATGTTAGGCTGACTTATGAACTTTTGTGTCTGTTTGTTTGTTAAAGACTCGTGAATTCTAACGCGTGATCTTGAAACTACCACATTTTATGATCTGTAGTCCTTAATATGAGTGGCGGAAGTATATATTACTCATGAATTTTATGATTGTACGTACGATTTGTTACTACTGATCGATAATAAATCTTATGAAATCATGATTTACTTACATTTTCTTTTAAACATTGTTGGAAACTTTACTTTATCAAAGAAATGACAGAATTGCAAATAATGCCTATCTGATGAGTGATGAACTCACCAACGTCTATTCTAGTGGTTCTCGCCTTCTCGTGATTTGTATATAGTCGTTTCCTTTCTCTTTGCGGCATTATTGAAAGATAATATTTTAAATTATTTTTACCAATAATTAACATTATACTATCGAACCATATTTGCATGCCATGCATAGAAAAATGGGAAGAACAATACTAGTAAAGTCTATTAACCATATATGGATAATGGTACGTGGTTGCTGAACATTTCTTGGAATATACACTAATTTTTTTGGTTAATTTGATGCATGGATATGGAGAATCGAAATTGAAGGCGTGTTCGATTCACGTTGATTGAGAGACTATAAAGTGAGAACTAAAAAGACTTAGGGAATTGCACATTTACCATACTCCAAGATTTGGGTAATGGTGTAGTCTCATTTCCTAGAGACCTCGAGAATAAACATTAATGTACCAAATAACACATAATGTATATGAGTATATTTTAAATTCTTTTGGTATGTTGGTTTATACTGATTAATTATCATGTTTAGTGTACTTCTTTGATTTACGTGCATATATGAGCATACTTGCTATTGTTCGATACATCCATACGAAATTACCATTATCTTACGCACCACTCTACATTTTTCGTATATTCTACAATTTTGTTATCCAATATTCATTGAAATAGGTTTTACTATACGTCTATACGATGAACTAAGCGAAGACCATAAGTGGACTAAAATAAAATAAACTGACGTAACATAATCATCAATACATAAAATAAAATACACTATCAGCCAAAATATGGTCAAATCTTTTGGTGGGTATATATGTAATGCCAATCATTTCTTACATCTGAAAATTATTTGGTATGACAAAAACAACAATATTTATATTCTAGTAACGAAAAATAACAACCCCTCTCTTCCAATAAGTGTAATTATTGCCAGAGAATCCCGCAATGCAAAAAATAATCCAATAAAAACTATATACTACGAGAGCAAGGACAAATTATTGCCAAAGAGTGGAATTGCCAAAATATTTTCTTGGCCTATTTATATATAAACACATTCTTTCTATCTCCATTAACCAGATTCGATCGGTAGAGTCAGCTGCTTAATCATGTGACTTAACGAAAAAGATAATAATAACCGATTAGGGACCCAAAATCCCATGTTAAAAGTTTATATTTAGCATAAACCCTACCTAATTTCGTGCCGTCTCTATCTTGTATTTATAACCTTTTCCCTGTACATATAATCAATAGTTGAATATATATATATATATATATATATATATATATATATATTGGTAACATGAAAATATTCCAACATTTATTTTCATCTAACTGTTTTCTCTGTGGATTACTGCTTGTTTGACCAGCGTATAGGCCACTAAACAAAGAAAACCAACAAAATATTTAGTAACAGAAACTATTCGTTGATCCTCAAGATAGGGGTGGTGCTGCTCGTTTTAGTCCATCACTCGTATTATATTTTTATCGAATTGTGACACGTACATAATGACCCATCGTAATTTAAATCCACGACTAATGATATTGCATTGATAATTTGGTATACGTATAAGATCTATATTTACTCCATTTCAAGCATTTGTGGCAGAAACTAAAAGTGGTACAACATGGATTACTTATATACAATACAAAAAGAAGAAAGAAAGAGAGGGCCGGGGAAGAATGAAGAGATGCAACTAACTCCATAACTGTAATAACTGAAAGGGTATGGAAATATAATAAATGATTGGAGTCAAATGGTTCCCTCAAAAAGATAAAAATATGAAAATTGTGATAGTGAAAGATGGGAAGTCCATGTGATCACATGTTTCTCTGATTTTATTTATACAATCAACCTCAGGTGTCTTCTTGACCTTTGGTGAACTTTTTTTTAACTGGTCAACCCCTTAGTTATGATCCGTATTTTTTATTTTCTGGCCAAATAATTTGTTTCATTCATACTTTACGGGTATTAATCTGTTTTTTTTGGGGTTGAAATATCTATTATTTTTGTTCATATAGAAGCGACAAAAAAAACTAACTGTTTTTTAGGATTTGATTTTGCTTATGTTATGTTTGGGTAAGTCAGCTTTTATTCGGCTTTAAAGTTAGTTTTTTTTCCCAAACAATCTTAGTTCGGATTCGTTTAACCAGATTCAAAACTTAAATTTATAATATGATCTGTATTTTTGGACTATTAGTGTATGTGGGAAATAGTTTGGTTTGATATTTAAGCGTCAAGCATCGTGTCACACATAATAGGCGGCATGTGGTAGCTAACAAAGCATGATTAATAATCGTTAACAAAACAAATCACCAATATGATGAATGATTAAGGATATATACTGCGCGCATCATATGTAAGTCATTTTAAAAGAGCCACTATGTTATCTTATTGATTGGATTTGGGTTTATTTTGTGTCGTCACGAGTTTGTTTTTGAATTCAAAAATATAGAAACCCACTTTCTTTCATACTCTCATATGAATCTTCTCATAGTCATTTTGATTTTGCAGTAAAAAGCTGTAGCGCAGAGTGATTGTAGAGTGAATAAATTGAATGAAAGGATGTTAGAAGTATGTTGCTACGCAAAATACCATCCATCCATCATCCACGACAATTATAGCAAAGACGATGTGTTAAGAACTTTAATTTAAAATGCTTAGGAAAACGGGTAAATACTTAATTTAAACACTCCCAAGATTCTTGCAGATGTACATTGTATGTTGCCTCAAAGTTTATCGTCTCTTATTATTATTTCTTTGCTTCACTAGGTGTCTCTTATTAAATAAGGTTTATATAAGTGGTTGTCCTTTGTCACCGTTTCTTTATACAAAATCCTATCATCCTTTTAAGTTTTACCCTAAAAGTTGACAAAAAGAAAATATAATTCTAAGAAATTCTGTTCATGTATCAGTCATGTTACACTATATGCGTCGTTGGACCAGAGACAAACCGATTTGTTCGTTAAGCACTCTCTCATTCACCTGTTCTTAAATTACTTGATTTCCGTTGACCAAAATGACGTGGCAATCCAAATCCCAATCCGGGCCAAACGGCTTAAGCCCAAAACTTTCCATGGGCCCATTAGTTGTCTCCGTCTCATAATTAATTTATAATAAAACTCTGTTTTACATAGTTTAAATTCCCGCCTTGAGATATCTTGCCCTACAAGGGACCGAGCCTGAAAAGAAGAAAGCGAGCCATACAACTACGGACGCTCGATTTCAAAATGCTCTTGGGGAAGCTAGGAAAAGAAACCTATTGAGATTTCTACAAACTCAAAAACGAAGAGGAATTAACTAACATATATGTCATACTCATATCGAGGCTAATCAATGGTAGAATATTAGGCCCATTACACAGAACAGTTTCTCAATCCTTGAGGAAGTGGAAGTTGGGGTTATCAGCGAGCTCGAAAGCTGATTTAACATTCGCAAAGTCCTTTTCTTGCATGCAGTTCAAGATCTCATCGGTTTCAAATGGAATGCTGTTGTGTTCACACAAAAAGGAAGCTTATGTTATATATGATCACCATGTCTGAACAATTTGGCGGAGAGATATTTGTGATAGTAATGAGTACCTGGAATCGTCGTCTAGCAAGAAAGAACGGCTATCTTCATCTTCATCTTTCATTAGAAGTTTTAAGTTGGAAATCACCTGCGCATTGAAAGCAACATGAAGGCCAAGATAGACAACGTTAATAGAGACTGTCTTTCTTTCTTTTTTCGGTTTTATCAGATTTCGGAGAAACGTATACCTCTAGGGTTACGTTTTGATCGGGGTGGTCTTCGTTCTTGCAGAGTGTAGATATTATATACAGTTGCTGACTACTAAGGACCTGATTGACAGAGAAGAAGGTTAACCAACACTCAAGAGGTCTCATTGTTCTTTAATTACATGAGAGAAGCAGAGAGTTACCGGGCAAAGGTTAGTTGTAAGATCATCGTATGAAATTGTGGATTTGGATTCTGTAACCTGAAGGAAGAATCCAATATACATTCAGTAACAAGAAAATAAGAGAGAGAGAGATTAGTAAAAAAATTCAAGAGAAAGAAGACAAACCAGGAGATATACGGCTTGTCTTGTGTGTTTGAGTTCATCCCAAGAAGATCCTATGAACTGCATTCATTCAAGGAGTAACAAATGAGATCATGCCCTAAAAGTGTTACGTTACTAACAAATATTTTGCAGAGAAGTTTAACCTCTTCAGTGGCTTGGCTGCACCATGACTCTAGTTCATCTAAACCCGACTTCACTTGTTTGCCCATGTTAAATGTGCAGTATTCTTGTTCAAGGACTAGACTGTATCGTTCATACAATAGCTCTACTTTAATGCGTTGACTGTAGTGATTTTTCCAGGTGAAAGTTGACGAGGAGGGATAGAATTACAAATTACCTGTTGAAGAGTTGAACATTGATGCATTGGAAAGTTTGGCTGAAGATCTTCTGAACCAGAAACAGAGGAACCTGAAACAGAACGTTTTTTTTTTTTTTTTTCACTTTTTAGTAGGAAAATTAAGCAGTAATTGTCAAGCTTATATACATAAATATATTCGTACGTAATTCTTCTTCCATGTGATGAGGTAGTGATTCAAAAGCCGAACAATGCTTTTCCAAGAGTTCTCTTCAGACGACTCTGCTGCTTGACCCTCTTTACCTGCTGCTAATTCCTCATCATCTGACTTCTTCAGGGAATTATTTTCAGATGACTTAGTTGGTGAGTTCTCTTCAACTGACTTCTTTAGAGAATTTTCCTCAGAAGACTTAGCTGGTGAATCCTCTTCAGATGACCTAATGGGGAGATTCTCTTGAGCTGACTTACTTGGTGAATTCTCTCCGGATGACTTTGATGGTGAACTCGAAACAGAGGAATTGTGTGATGAATTCTTCAGATCCTGAATCAAATGAAATTAAGCTAATGGACTCTCAAATATTTAGTTTGTTTGTCCGGATGACCAAAGGGGATACTAACCTGAATGCAGGAAGAAAGCATGGAGGATACTTCTCTCTTGACATTCTCTCTGATGATTCCATACATTGTTTCAACGTAGGCCGTAAGCTGCTGTTTAAAAAGCAAAGCAGGATATCTAGCATCTACTTGCTGCACCACATCTGTTGAAAGGTTCGGTGATGAGCTTGAACGAAAACCCTGAGAGAATACCATACATAAGCTTTAAGTCCTATGGAACATTCAGAAATATGATAACAATTTTTTTATGGTTTTCTTGTTATAACCTGTGTCATCCTTCCAAAAAAAGAAGTTGGCTGAGGAGGTTTTGTAGGACTTGAGGTAGTTGAGGTATGTCTCAGGCTTCTTTGAAGTAAGAACAGCAGATTTGATGTGTTTGTTAGCCAATAAGCCAAATTATTGTCGTCTTCCTGATTCTGCAAGTACATAAAAGCAGAGGATTTCCTTTAAGTTTTATCTTACTAATGACCATACAAAAACGAGTTAAATTAGTAACAATTTGTCAGGTTACCTCAATTGCAGAACCAATGACAGGAACAATGCGGTCAAAGATACTGGTTTTTTCTGCTTCGAATATTCTCCAGTGTAGAAGACATTTGTATATTGTAAGAGCCGCAACAGGCTTTCCATGACTGAAACCAATGTTTTGGGATACGCATTTGAGAAGAACATCAATGAATTCCTGAACAATGACAACCATTTAGCAAGTGAAAACAATTAAGTACGATGAAACTACTATTAGGACTGACTTATGTTTTCATTAAGCACATACATGTGGTTGTCTTTCAACTCGAGATCGTCTAAAAGATTCTGTCCCAAACCTTTTTGTGGGAATAGGAGCAATTGGTTCCTGTAATAAGAATGCAAATATCTGTCAAATAAATCATCTCTGTAAAGGCAAGAAGATGATTCAACAACAGTTTATCACTTACCTGTTGTCCATTCTCTACCGGGGCTCCTGTAAATGACACCTGGGGTGACATTTTCCGGGAAGCAGAATTAGCCAGCACTTGCTGCCGGCGAATCTGTTCTTCTGCTTCCATGTCAGAGACCTTTTCCTCAAGCCTAAACAGAAGAATATTCAATAGATGGACATTTTGGAGAAGAAAGAATGCAAACCATCAAACCTTTGCTTTGATGTCTTCAGATCAATTAACTTTGTCTCTGCGTCTACAACTTGCTTCAGCCTCTCTTCACAAAGTCTACTTGCTTCCTCATACTTCTTCTCTGTCTCATCTATCTTCTCTTCCAAGGAACTTACCAGATCCTGTTGAAAGATTATATATAATCAAGTATGCAGACAAAATCCACACTTCTATTAACAGAGATAGGCTATATAAATATGGAAAACTTACACTGAGGTCTTTGTTATGAGCAGCAAGTCTGTTGATCCTTTCACTATCAGTCCAACCATTATCTGTCAAACTCTCTTCTTCCTCCAACATGCTTTTCCCTTCCGTTTTTCCATCTGAAGAATTGTTCCCATCGCTTTCTTCGATTTTCTTCTCTAACGAATCTACTAGTGCCTAAGAAGAAGTTCCATTCATCAGATTAAGAAGCAGTTGAGCATGTTTGATCCATTTGGGTTTCTTTAGGTCTGTAGAAATGTTACCTTGAGGCGCTGATTCTCAGCTGCAAGATAGCTCACGACCTCGTAATCAGATGAAACATTCTCCTTCAACTGCTCTGTGATACTTGAGCTTGTTTCGTCATGTTTTCTGTCTAAGGCATCGATTTTCTCCTCCAAGGAACTTACCAACGCCTAATAAATGCTATGCTTGATGAGATACACATAATCAAGAGGAAAAACAAAAATCTGTAATGAATTAAGATTGTGACTTAATCATCAGTACCTTCAGCTGTTGATTTTCATCTTCAAGTTTGATGATTGCAGTCTGATCAATCACAGGGACTTCTTCTTTTATCCTCTCCTCACTTGGCTTCCCTGTCTCTTCATATTTACTCTCGGAGTCATCAATTTTCTTTTGCAATGAACTCACCAGCTCCTTGTAAGGAAAGAGAAAACAACGACCATGATACATAAGAAAATCTTAAACATAATGTTCAACACAGACACAAACAAAAGGTTTTCATGGACTAACCTTAAGCCGTTCGTTTTCTGCAGAAGTATCGTTACTCGTCTCAGGTCCCTTAGAGAGTTGTTCAATCTCAAGTTGCATGTCTTGTAAAGAGGACTGCAATCTTGAGATCTCTGCACTTTTGGTTTCTTGAGTTTCCCTGAGCTCAAGTTTTAATGCTTTGATCTCTTGAGATTTGGCTTCCTCAATCTCCATCTGCACCAGTACACTGATCAGATGCCTTTATACATAACTCAGAAAATAAGAAATTTGGCATAACAAGCGTGATAGCATTGATATGTACCCTCATCTGTTTCTCAAGCTCCAAGTTTGAAGTGAGCTCTTCCACATGATTTTCAAGCTTAGTCTTAGCATCTTGAAGTGCTCCTGTTTCTTTAGCAGCCTGAAACATTGAAGAAATATAAGAAAATCTTGAAGTGCTCCTGTTTCATATGTTGTGAGTAAAGGAGTGTTACCATTTTAAGATTCCGCAGTTCTCTGCGAGCAACTTTCTTTCTCCAGCCACACTGAGTGGTAATCGCTGCTTTCTTCGTACTCACATAATGCCAATGACACAAACATCTTCTCATTTGACTCTGTTTAACCAGTAAAATCCATGTCATCAATACTCAAACAAGTAGATGTATGCGAAGTAAAAGATTCATGAATAAGTGAGCTGAAACTTGCTTGAATAATGATTGCCGCTCTTCTCTTCTTCCTTAACTGAAATTCGACACGAGCAGCTTTTGCTCGTATCCCTGTCTGAACAGAACAAGCAGAAGAGTAGAGGATTTTATAGGCTTTCTGGCGAATATAAGTCCGTGCGTGCTTCTGAATTCTCAGAGAAGCAGCTTCTCTTCGCATCTTCTCAAACAAAACACGTGCAACTTTTCCTGTATTCAGTTTGACGAGCGAGTAAGATCAGACTGATAAGCATTTTTGTCTGAATATATGTAGATACAGTCATGTATTACCTCTACAGAGTGCTTGGATATCTGTTGAAGCAGCCTGCAACAAGAGAAACTTTCTGCGAGACTGATGAGAGAGGACCTTCCTCTGTATAATCCGTGCTGAAAGGCCAAGAACTTCAGCTCGGTGAGCATCCAGTTCTGCCATTTGACCTGCCCTTAGAAACACCTTTGTCTTCCCGATCTAAGTTGCAAGAAAATTGTTCATAAGGATCTTCATGTTTCTAATGGATATATATAAGCTTATGATCGCCGTACCTGGTAACCTTTGAGGTCCGCTTTTGCTAGTAGCTTTTTGCAAGCATCAACTTCGTCATAGCTGTTAACATCATGTCCACAACCACAAAAGTGTTTTGAGTGATTCTAAGACCTAAAGTCTTATTGAAACTAAACTAAGAGAATAGGATGAGCTGTAACTTGTTGGTAAAGGTACCTTCTGTTTGTAGTCTCCGGAGCTAAAATTTTGAAGCGGGTCAAAAATTCATTGAAAGGCTTTCTAGTAGGATATCCAGCGCAACTAATTCTAATGGCCTCCATGACCCCCTGAGATCATATACAGAAAGTCTCAGAAAGAAGACAAATATGATACAGTTGCAAAAGTGAAAGCATATGGTTCTCTGAAACGCCAAAAGCTTACCCCACACCTAAGTTGATGCAGAATATTAACGTTCTCAAAGATTTCTGGCTTGAGAAGGTTATTTGGTTTAACGCAGCGTATGTAGTGTGGCTCTGTGGTGCTCAAACTCTCGAGCAAAGATTGCAGTTGTTGCTGTATTTTAGCACATGGTGAGAATTCACAGTGGATATATAATGAGGAGAATCAGTTGTAAGTTAAACATCACTTTGCAGACCTTAAATTGAGAACCTATTGATGAGAACTTTGACGTTTTGGAAGATTCCTCTGGCAATGGTGGAAACAAGGATGAGACAAAAGAGCAATCTGAAGAGCTCAGGAGAGCTTGATGTTCTCCAACAACGTAATCTTTGTTCTTGTCCAGAAACAGTTCTGTCTGATAAGTGACCTGGAATTAAACAAGAAATACAGTCAAGACATTACATCAAGACACGGAATTAAGCAGCAATCGGGTTATGGTGTAGATCACTAACATCGCCAGCATAATGGCAAATTGTAAAGTCTGTTTGAGCCAATTTAGGCTTGGCAAAACGCTTGTGGTCTTTAAATGTCTGGTATAGCTTTTGTGCAAATGTATCATTTGTTGATCTTGGAAACATGCTGTAGAATCAAACAGAATCCCAATTATTTCTTTCTGAAAACAAGAGATAGAAGCAACGAACAAATGTGATATTTTTTAACATTACCAAGCCTCGTCTAGAAGGGCAATGATACCACCAGGTTTCTGGCATGAAGAAAACATGTTCATCAGATAATCAAGCACTATGAGTGAGGAGCATAAGTTACAACATCGCACATTGTGTGAATTATAACCTTTTCAATGAGATCAAGGACATCCTGATTATCAATGAACTCTATGTAACTCCAGTCAATCTCTTCTTTAGTATATTCTTCTTGCTCCATCTTGAACACGTGCTGTAGAGAAGAGGAAGGTTATGATTGAATATGGGTCATCTGGAAAAACATAACAATCTAGTGCCAGTGTCTAAACCTGGTTGAAATGTTGCTGCAGCTTCTCGTTTGTCAAATTTATACAAAACTGTTCAAAACTGCAAATGAGCAAAACTTTGTTGGAATTATCAAAAGAATTATAATCAAACAGCCAAACCAGATAACTGCTAGGAACTGACAATAACCAGAATAATAATCATATTGTTCCAAATCACAAGAAAGTTCTAAGATGATAGACCATCAGCTCAATGTTTATAAAAAGCTTAATCAGAGAGCATATATGTAAGAGTTTAGTGATCAGTTCCAGTTTTAACATATAAGAGCATACCGGTTAAGCACCTGTTTGTCTTGAAACTCTCGAATCCATAAATATCCAGAACTCCAATGATGTGTTTTGAATCTGGGTCCTGGCCGATGGAATTATTGATCTTGGTCACCAACCTGTGAGCAAGAAAGTTGAAGCCTTCTGCATATTATAAGTCCTTAAGAAATATTTGGCTATCATGAACTTACCAATCAAACAATTTAGAGTAGACAATTTTGGCAAGTGCATCTCTGCCTAGAGCTGCACTATCAGGATCAAGCGACTTTGTAATGCTTTCATCACGAGTCACCATCACCCTTTTGCACAATGAATCTTCTAAAGCTTTCTCGTCACACCTGCAACACATAGCAGCAAGTCAAGGCTCTGTCTCTGGCTGACCAGAAAACCGTTTATCTTAGAGTAAACAGAGTAGGGAATGAATCATTTACATGAAAAGTTCAGCAGCCACTTTGAGATGGAAGCGTGATTTATCGTCCTTAGGTTCTGATTCTTCTGATTCTTCATTCTTTGCAAACTCGATGTTCCCTAGATGAAGGATTGCAGCCACTACTCTGAAGATTGCATCCTGTACAGTAGTAGTAGTAGTATGTAAGTAACTAGAGTTTTTCCTCCTGTGACTCGGAATGTATATAGACAACTAAAATTAGAGTACCTGGTCTTCAGAATCGATCCCAACAACGTCCATAGCTTTCCTTGTAGCTAGGTATTCCTTGGAGTCATCAAGCCCATCCAATGCACAGCAATTAGACTGATTTAGGTAACGAAATGTGTTTGGTTTTCCTAACTTGTACCTCTCTGTTTCCTGAAACCTCACATTTGTTTTCGTCAGCACAGACCAAGCATGGGATATATATACAAGAGATCAGGCATACCTGTTCTGGTGCAGCGCAAAGCATGTAAAAGCAATGATAGTTTCTTTCAGGGTCAGAGACTTGACAAACACGCGACCTCTCTAGCAAATATGTCCTGATAGCAGCTCCTGAGATTCTTCCCCTTTGATCAAACTGAATCTCCACGAATTTACCAAAACGACTGCAAACATGGGATGGATTTGCCTAAATATCTTAAAATTTGGTTCATTGAAATACAAAAAAAATCAAGAAACGTGAGACTCAGTCTACTCCACCTTGAATTGTTGTTTCTAACGGTTTTTGCATTGCCAAAAGCTTCTAAAACTGGATTGGACTGCAAAAGCAGAAAAGTATGTCAATACATGAAAATCACCGAGTCAATCTTTTGCAGGAATGTAGCACTGTAGAAAATGAGTTACCTCCAAAACTTGCTGCTCCACGGATCGTCCTTCAGTCTCAGCTCTTCCGCCCATGTAGGCAAGATATCGCATGAGCATCTTTGTGCTCTCCGTCTTCCCAGCTCCACTTTCCCCACTCACCAATATCGCCTGGCTCACTCCCTCGTTTATCATTTTCCTAATTTTATGTTATATTTTTGGATATCAAGCTAAAAAACAAAACTCGTAGTGTGAAACAATAATACAAGGTAAGTAACAGAAGAGAAGAGTTACCTGTAGGCAGAATCTGCAACGGCAAAAGGATGTGGACTCAGCTCACCAAAAGCTGTGCCTTTATACTGTTTCATCGTATCAATTCCATACAGGTGAGGTAATCTTTTAAATGGATTCACAGCTATCAATATATTTCCTGTGTATGTCTGCATTCATCATGACCAAAAACAATATTAGCTTTCAAGCAAAAAAAAATGGTTGAAAAATAGCACTAGAAAATTCAAAACTAGTATTGTAGAGCTGAAGCTTACATATATTTCATTTGCATTATATCGACACATAAGATTGAGAAGAACCCCTGGTTCATGCAAATATGCAAGCTTCGTCATGTCGTCCACGCCAAGTTCAGGGAACTCAGGGTCCTTTGGGTACACAGCATTTACCTTTGCCACAACCTAAAAGAAACAGATTGCATCAGAAATATATGAGCTTTTTGTTAGCTTAAGAAATGAACAAACCTCAATTGTAATACTTACCGTCTTTCCAGAGCAGTTAACTGTGATTTCCTCAGTGTTAGCTTCTTCCACTTCTCCATCAATCCAGGCTTCATCTTGATCCTCCACCCACACATGAGACCCTACCGTTACTTTGGCTGAAGCAGCCTGCGCCACAAATCACACCATAGTTACACAATCAAAACAGATGCAAAGCAAAGACAACAATACAGAGATATGATTTTCTAGAATCCTGTTTTTTTTTTTTTTCTCATTCATAACAAAATCAACAGAAAGGAACGTTTTTTTAGAGCTCTGTTCAATAAAAAAAATGAATTTTTTAAAATCAACGACCACCATTGTTACACATTTAGAAACAATCTCATACAAAAATGAAACAATAATTTGACGAACCCGCAATGCAAATTATAAAAGAGAAAGCTCGTACCATTGATATGTTGGAATCTGGTCAGATTTCTCTAAAACGATCTCAGCTCAACAATCCCAACGGGAGAAAACATCAATCTAAACCAAATGTGGGAATCCAATCAGAAGGATTTTCTTGTGAAATTTATCCAACACTGATCCATGATGAAATCTTCGACGAACATTTCCCTTCCCCAGCTTCGAAATCTCTGATCGACGTCAAAATTGAAAAGAAAAAATATGGCTACATGCGGAAAATTTCCAGATGATTGCAGTGACCTTAAACGGCTAAACCCTCGAGAGCTTTTCTCGTACTAACAGATCCTAAACGAAAGAGAATGCCCGGAATTGTTACAGCTGCAGAATTTCTCGCGTTTTTCCTTTTTTTCTTTTTCCGTGATTAGTTTCTCTGTTTCGTCTTCCTTCCCCCCACGGACGTTGGAAAGCGAACGGAGGAATCATGAAACTCTTTAATTCCGAAATTACCCTCTCTAATAAACCGATCCGGTTTATGATTTTGATATCAACGGATCATTATCGTTGCCGTTAATGGGCCAATTGTTTTCTTAATGGGCTACAATTATGAAAAACTCACAGAATTAAACAATTTCATGTCTGAAAATTTGTGTCCAATTTCTGAAACCTTTACGCCTCCGTTGTCTTCGTTCGTTCTCCTCGCTCCGTCTCCAATGGCGGGTTTCAGTTCTCTAATTCCTAGAACGCCTCTGAAACGGGCCGTCAGTGGAGCTACCGGAAACCTGGCGCCGCCGCTAGCTATCGTTTCTTCCGTACGAAATCTCTTCACCGGAGGAGGATGTAATGGAGGGTGCGAAATGTCTGGTAAGTATTGCTGATAAACTCGTTTGTACACTGTAATTAGAGCACTTTGAACTTGGAGCTGATCTCTATAAGTAGCCATTTTGGGGGAAAAAAAACAAAAAAGGTGGTCATTTGGAAAATGAAAACAAAAATGTTTGAGTCTAACTATTTATGTTTCTGTAAAGCTTCGACTTTGGCCTAAGAAAGGTCTCTCTTTTACTTCTGAGAACTTAATTGAATGGAATGGCATACTTAGTTTCTGACACTCTTGCATAACAATAACATGAATAAGGGTAGATTAGGGACTCGTTATAAGATGTTGCCTGGTTCGAATCATCATAGTTAAACTCTTCACATGTTCGGCATCTCTGTAGTGATTTCAAGACTGTTGTTATGAATTTCGTGAATCCTTTTAATCGGAAATTTATTGCAGGGGAGCAAGGAATGTTTTTTCATTGCAATGGAATAAGGTAAATGCCCGGATTCGGTCAATTAGCATAAATTCATTCACGTGTTACAATTCATTTTGAAGTTCAGATGTATTTCTGATAATTGAATACGAAACTAAAAAAAATGGGTACATAATCCATTTTTTTCAAGCTGAATCGGTGTATTGACTCTGATGCTTTTCTATCTTTCTCCAGTAAGCACAAAGCCATTGGTAATGCTGGCGCACTAACCGGTCCGTTTCATCATCTTCTCGGGGTACGTTTTCAGTTGTGAAATGTTTTTCGTCCACAAGGACTCAGCCTTAGAAACCTAATAAACTAAATGGATGTCAAGTGCTCATGATAATTGATAACGATCTGAAACATACATTTTTAATTTCACTTTGTACACTTACATGCTATGTCTCAGGTCAACCAAACAACCAAGCTCGCCTTTTTAAGGGTCCAATCGATGAGCTATCAGTTTGTGGCTGATTCTCATGTTTCTCCTAGGCGTCCTGCGAAAACCGAGGTAACAATAATACACCCTGAAGATCGGCTTTGTTTTATGTTGTTCAAGTCTTATTTCGACTCTTAGTGTGAGCTCAAGTTATACATCGTAAAATATCAACTATCATTCAGGAGTTAGCAAATTATTTTCTCTTTTCCATGTAGTTTTAGGTCGCAGTTTCCTGAGAATTGGGATGCAATTGTTTCATCATTTTGTAGGATGAGCAAGATTTTGCTGATTCATCGAACAAGGACAACGCTGAACCCCCTAGGAAACATCCAATTGGGGACAACATACCCAAGAAGGATAAAATAAAGTTTCTTGTCAACACTGTAAGCTACTGTTTGCCTTTCAAATGGTTTGTCGATGACGAGAATTTTCATATTCTTGTTAAACCTTGGTTTTTCTTGTTCTTACTGTTATTGCTTTGTTCATTGGCTTATCTGTACAAACCCTTATTAAGGTGTGAAATATGCAGCTTCTTGATATCGAAGATGATAAAGAAGCTGTTTACGGAGCTCTGGATGCTTGGGTTGCTTGGGAACGCAATTTCCCCATTGCTTCCCTCAAAATAGTAATAGCTACTCTTGAGAAGGAACATCAATGGCATCGAATGGTCCAGGTATCTATCACCCAACCATAAATGATCAAATACCTTGGAACATATCCTCTGTTTTTAGTAACTGAATAAGTAGAAGAGAATCTGGGAGATGTTTATATTTAATTTCCCCTGTGTTAATGGCTTTGTAGGTGATAAAGTGGATCCTAAGTAAGGGGCAAGGGAACACGATGGGGACATACGGACAGTTGATACGGGCGTTAGATATGGATCGCCGAGCACAAGAGGCGCATGCTATCTGGCGAAAGAAAATCGGGCATGATCTGCATTCCGTGCCTTGGCAACTATGCTTACAAATGATTCGCATATACTTCCGGAACAACATGTTACAGGAACTTGTTAAGGTTTGTTTTTCTATTCCCCTTCATTCTTATTCTCTTTGGTATGGAAAATAATAATATTGCTCATCGATTCTTGATTGAATTAAGTAAGTTATGTGATATTTTTTTGTTTGTTTGTGGGTTATGAAGCTGTTTAAGGATCTGGAGAGTTATGACCGTAAGCCTCCGGATAAACACATTGTGGAGTCGGTGGCGGATGCTTATGAGCTTTTAGGAATGCCTGAGGAAAAAGAAAGGGTATTGACCAAATATAGCAATCTTTTTCTCGGTAAAGCATCAGATGATCAATCAAGAAGAGCTTCCAGGAAGAATAAGAAGAAACCAGGTAGGCCACGATTTTACACATTAATATCGTCGACCATCTATAAAGCCATGGATATTCGAAAACTCATAGATTACCGCACTGTTTAAATTTTTATTTCAGGTGTGAGCAATGCTGAAGTAACCACAGAAGACGCAGTAGCAAAAGCTGAGTTACTCTAGTCTTCAAGTCAGATGAAATTTCACATGTGTGGTATATATGTAAAGGACTTGTATTCACAGTTAACACTAGAATCCCATCGAAACGAGACTCTTCTCTTTTTAGATTGTCTTTTTGAAATTTTAGACTACAAGTCATCCTCACCTTTATTACTCATCTCTACGTGTCAAACTCTTCTATTATTAGTATTACCATTCTCACCAGACTCCTTTAGATAGCTTATTGTCTGCTTCTCCAGTTTTGCATTTTCCGTTTCGTATTGAAATTGATTATGTTAATCTGATAGTGATATGTGCGACTATAAGAAAAATTCAGCAACTGGATTTCCAAAATCTAAGCTCCTCATGCAAGCTAATTATTGTCCACTATTGATTCACTACTTTTAACATAGTACCACTTTGGTCCGAAAATGCCGGGTGAAGATTTGGTGTTCGGTGTTAATGGAGAGAAATTTGAAGTCTTGTCAGTTGATCCTTCCACAACCTTACTGGAGTTCTTGCGTTCCAACACTCGCTTTAAGTGTCTCAAGCTCAGCTGTGGCGAAGGTACACACACACACATACACACTCTACTTTTCACTTGTCGGTTTGAATCTCTGCAATTCCTATCTAGAAGCTTCTTTTGCTTGTGTATGAAGATTCTTTAACCTGAATGGTTCAAACTTGTCTGACAAGTCTTGTGTTGTGTTTTCCGTGCAGGGGGTTGTGGTGCTTGCATCGTAATTTTATCAAGATATGATCCAGTGTCAGACCAAGTGGAGGAATATTCTATAAACTCTTGCCTGACCCTTCTCTGCAGCATAAACGGATGCTCCATAACAACATCCGATGGACTCGGAAACACCGAGAAAGGCTTCCACCCGATTCACAAGAGATTTGCAGGGTTCCATGCGTCTCAGTGTGGTTTCTGTACCCCAGGGATGTGCATCTCTCTCTACTCTGCTCTCTCAAACGCCCATAAACAACACTCTTCTCCTCCGGATTACCTGACTGCTTCTGCGGCTGAGAAGTCTATTTCTGGAAACCTTTGTCGCTGCACCGGTTATCGTCCCATTGCCGATGCTTGCAAGAGTTTTGCTTCCGATGTCGATATAGAGGACTTAGGTTTCAACTCTTTTTGGAAGAAAGGGGAAAGCAGAGAAGACATGTTCAAGAAACTGCCTCCTTACAACCCTGATAAAGATCTTGTCACTTTCCCAAACTTCTTGAAAGAAAGGATAAAGCGTCAACATAATAATGTTTTGGATCCGAGGAGATACCATTGGAGCACTCCTTTAAGCGTCGCCGAGCTTCAAGAAATATTGGCGAAAACCAAGCCTGGTGGTGATGATAAAAAATTAGTTGTTGGCAACACGGGGACAGGTTACTACAAAGAAGAGAAGAAACACTATGGTGGTGGGTATATTGATATTAGCCACATTCCAGACATGTCAATGATCAAGAAAGATGACAGTGGAATTGAAATCGGAGCAGCCGTTACCATATCTAAAGCCATTGATGCTTTGATGGAGGAGGAAGATACTTATGTTTTCAAGAAAATAGGTATTCATATGGAGAAAGTTGCCAATCATTTCATCAGAAACTCAGGGAGTATCGGTGGCAATCTAGTGATGGCACAGAGCAAAAGCTTCCCTTCTGACATAACCACGCTTTTGCTCGCTGCAGATGCATCTGTCCATCTGATAAATGGAGGGAGGCACGAGAAGCTTAGGATCGGAGAGTTTCTTGTGTCTCCTCCGATAATAGATCTCACTAAATCCGTCCTTTTGAAGGTTCACATTCCTAGCTGGACTTGTTCTTCTACGACTGGTTTGCTTTTTGAAACCTATCGAGCTGCGTCTCGTCCTCTCGGAAGTGCATTGCCTTACCTCAACGCTGCTTTCTTAGCAGTAGTCTCCCACGATGAATCATCATCAAGAGGCATCGTTGTGGATAAATGCCGGTTAGCATTTGGTTCTTTTGGTGGGTCTCATTCAATCAGAGCGAGGGAAGTTGAGGATTTCTTGACCGGTAAGGTACTCAGCCACAGTGTTTTATATGAAGCTGTGAGGTTGCTTAAAGGGATCATAGTGCCAAGCGTTGATACTTCATACTCTGAGTATAAGAAAAGCTTGGCCATTGGGTTTCTCTTTGATTTTCTCTATCCTCTGATCGAGAGTGGCGGTTGGGATTCAGAAAGAAAGCATGTTGATGGACACGTAGATCCAGCAATATCTCCTCCTTTGCTGTCATCTTCACAGCAGGTTTTTGAAAGTAAAGAGTTTCATCCTGTTGGTGAAGCCATTATCAAATATGGAGCTGAAATGCAGGCTTCTGGTTAGTTTACTATACTATGTTCTTCTTTACTCACTATATGTTTATTTAGACAGAACAACATGAGCGTGATCTGTCTTTGCAGGTGAAGCTGTTTATGTTGATGATATGCCATCGTTACCGGATTGTCTGCATGGAGCATTCGTATATAGCACAAAGCCATTGGCTCGGATTAAGAACATTGGTTTCGGAGGAAATGTGGCGCCAACTGGAGTTTTGGCAGTTATTACTTACAAGGATATTCCTCAATTGGGCCAAAACATTGGTTACATATCTATTTTTGGGACTGGACGTCTATTTGCAGATGAAGTTACTACAGTTGCCGGACAAATAATTGCTCTTGTGGTAAGTTCAGTTTCTAGTATCCAAATAATTCTTGCATCTCTATCATTTTCTTCAAAAATACTAATCCGTTTTTGATGACCTGTCAGGTTGCAGACACACAAAAGCATGCAGATATGGCAGCAAAACTTGCAGTGGTTGAGTACGATACAAGGAACGCAGAAACAGCAGTATTATCTGTGGAGGATGCAGTCGAAAGGTCCAGCCTTTTTGAGGTTCCTCCAGAGTATGACCCTGAGCCCGTTGGCGATATCTCCAAAGGAATGGATGAAGCTGATCGCAGGATACGCTCTGTTGAGGTATTGCAACTCTCTCTGATCTCTCTCTCTTACCTTTAATACATTTTTACACTCATGTGTGCTGTGTAAATCGGTTATGCAGTTGAGACTCGGTTCACAGTACTTCTTCTACATGGAGACACAAACCGCACTTGCCTTGCCAGACGAAGACAAGTCCATAGTGGTTTACAGTGCAACTCAATCACCGGAGTACACACAATCAGCGGTTGCTAAATGTCTTGGCATCCAAGATCATAGCGTGCGAGTCATCACCAGAAGACTTGGAGGTGCCTTTGGTGGAAAAGCTATCAAGTCTATGCCTGTAAGCAAATACTATTTACTTCTCTGAATAAAAGTCATTACTAGGAGAGTACATAGTAACAAGAGACCTTACCATTGAATGTTACAGGTTGCGACGGCATGTGCGCTTGCTGCACAGAAACTGCAGCGTCCTGTGAGGATATACCTCAACCGTAAGACTGATATGATAATGGCTGGAGGAAGACATCCCCTGAAGATAACTTACAGTGTTGGTTTCAGATCTGACGGTAAACTCACAGCACTAGAGCTGTATATATTAGTAGATGCAGGGATAGATGTGGATGTAAGTCTAATGCTGCCAATGAATATAATCAATGCCCTGAAGAAATATGACTGGGGTGCATTGTCATTTGACATTAAAGTCTGTAAAACAAACCTTCCAAGCAGAACGTCTTTGAGAGCACCTGGTGAGGTACAAGGTTCGTATATCGCTGAATCTATCATTGAGAAAGTAGCATCTTCTCTGAACATGGACGTGGATGTTGTGAGAAGGATAAATCTGCATAGCTACGAAAGCCTCAAGAAGTTCTATACGCAAGAAGTTGCTGGTGAGCCTGATGAGTATACTCTGCCTTTGCTATGGGACAAACTGGAGATATCTTCGGATTTTAAGCGAAGGGAAGAGTCGGTGAAAGAGTTTAACCTTTGTAACGTGTGGCGCAAGAGAGGGATTTCTAGAGTGCCAATCGTCTACGAAGTTGTGCATAGGGCAACTCCAGGGAGAGTGAGCATTTTGAGCGATGGTTCGGTTGTGGTTGAGGTCGCTGGTATTGAGATGGGACAGGGGTTATGGACAAAGGTGCAACAGATGGTTGCTTATGGTCTTGGTTTGATCAAATGCGACGGAAGCCAAGATCTGCTTCACAGAGTACGACTTATTCAGACCGACACGCTAAGTATGGTTCAAAGCAGTTACACTGCGGGTAGCACAACATCCGAGAACTGTTGTGAAGCGGTCAGGCTTTGTTGCAGTATCTTGGTCGAGAGGCTTAAACCTACCATGAATCAGATTTTGGAGAATGCTCGATCCGTGACATGGGACATGCTCATTCAGCAGGTATATATATATAACAACTTATTTTGCTGATCAATCTCATCATAATAAAGTCATTGTGTTTTCAAGAAAGATCATGCCTTATGAATCTTCTTTTTTTCTCCATCTGTAGGCTAATACTCAATCTGTGGACCTATCAGCTCGAACATTTTATAAGCCAAAGTCTTCTTCCACAGAGTATCTCAACTATGGAGTTGGAGCCAGTGAGGTGAATCTTATATCCAATAGTATAGTTTTAACCATTCCCTTTATACAAAAACAGAGTGAAAATGGAATGTATATGCAACATTGTTGCAGGTGGAGGTGGACCTTGTGACAGGAAGAACAGAAATCATAAGATCAGATATCATTTACGACTCTGGAAAAAGCCTTAACCCTGCGGTTGATTTAGGGCAGGTAAGCTTCGATTCTTGAGATGCAGTTTACCTTATACAAGATTGGTTAATTAGCTTTCTTGTCTCTTGTTGTTTCCTTTGAGAAGATTGAAGGAGCGTTTGTTCAAGGAATCGGGTTTTTCATGTCTGAAGAGTACACAACAGATGAAAACGGGCTTGTGAATCAAGAAGGTACATGGGACTACAAAATCCCTACAATAGACACAATTCCCAAACAGTTCAACGTTCAGATTCTCAACAGTGGTCATCACAAGAACCGCATCCTCTCCTCTAAAGGTTTTAAGCTATAACTAATCAATGAGATCTCTGACTTTGTTTAATTAGTCTTATTTATGTTTTAAGCTGATGTCGTCCTTCTTCTTGTTTCATCTGATGGTGCAGCTTCAGGTGAGCCTCCGTTGCTTGTGGCGGCTTCTGTGCATTGTGCAACAAGATCAGCCGTTAGAGAAGCTCGGAAACAGTATCTTTCATGGAATAGCAATAGTGGTGAATCTGATATTGGTTTTGAGTTGCCGGTTCCAGCGATTATGCCGGTTGTGAAGCAGCTTTGTGGTCTTGACAGCGTAGAGAAGTACTTGGAATGCAAAACGTGTAGTAAGCGGAGTAAAGAGTCTATCTAGTTGACTTTTACTGCCGTAACATATAGTCAAAGCACATATACGAGACATTGGGATGTGTCGGCTGATTCTCTTTGAATATTACTCCTTTGGGTAATTTGAGATCACTCATAGTACTTTATATATACAGTTTGTCCGAATAAAAGTCAACATTGTATTTTCATATAGTAATAGTTAAATTTAGCTCCATGAAATAAAACAAGCTTCCACATTCAATAACACCTCCCAAATCTCTCGAAAGGTGTAATTTGCGCAAAGAAATCGATTCGGAGATATTATTATTAGTAACTTTGGATATTATTTGTTCCCTCATTTGTATTATGGTGTATATTTGTATTCGACCACATGTAATTAACCAATAAATTGTCAACCACATAATTCATGTGAAAACTCCTGTCGTTAATCGAAAGTGTGGTCATTACTGGTTACCGACGTACCGTTCAATTTATGGAAACAACAAAGTCCAAGAAAACAAACTTTGTATACTAGTCGTCAGTTTATGGGTCGACCTGAAATAAAAATAGAAATAATTAACTTAATTCTTTTGGTGATAGAGAATTTGTAACAAGACTTTAGCGACACGTCATAATCAAATCAGATGAGTCATCGTTTTTTCCAAATCACATGGGACCCACGGGACTCTTAAATATCCTAGGACAGTTGATCTCCCCTTCCTGTGGGTCCGTTAACAATCACTTAAGCCTTTTGTAAGCGTTGGTTAATTACTTACAAAACTCTTTGGAACCCTGATTATCTGTGGAAGACAACCTTTTTAAGTTTTGTCTTCTTCTTATTACACGCTTCTAGATCCCTCCCTTCAAAATATCATTATTTCTCTTTTTTTTTTTTTTTTTTTCTTTTTGAAATCGAGAAATCTTATTTCGTCTGTTTCCTCGATTCAACGATCCTCGAGGGTTTGCCCCAAATTTATATATGCATTGCACATCATCGATACACACAAAGCTTGTGACAAGATTTCGCTTCTGCGTTTAAGAAACCGGAGCTTTCTTTCTCCTTTCTCCATTTTCCTCTCCTTTTATCTCTCTAAAATAAAGAAACCTCTAATTAGAAAAAAGATTGAGGAATCATCATGATAAATTCATTATTATCAATCCAGAACTCCCCAACCAAGTTCTTGAAAGCACCATTTTCATCCATTAACAGGAAACAACAGCAAGATGAAAGGCAGAGCAAGAACAACACCCTTTCCATGGTGGAAACCAAATCTAGAAGAGCCAAGACATTGGCGTGTCTCTCCATAGCTAGAAGAAGAAGAAACAACGGTGTCTCTGAATCTGAAGAAACGGCCAGGTTCGAACAAGTGGGTGGTGAAGGAATCTCGGTTTTGTGTGGGTTAGGTTATTGGGTGCAAGGCTCAAGATGTTTCCCATGGCTTGCTCTCAACTTCCACATGGTTCACAGCCTCGGACTCCAGCCAGCCACGCTCCAGCTTGTGCAATACTCTTGCAGTCTTCCAATGGTGGCTAAGCCTCTCTACGGTGTTCTCTCAGATGTTCTTTACATCGGAAGTGGTCGTAGAGTTCCTTACATCACCATTGGAGGTCAGTTTCAGAACCAATTGTATAGGAAAGGAAATGAAGAAACTTTCTGATTTTGGCGATTTTTCTCCCTTTGACGTGTTCTGAAATCTTGAATGTGTCATCAGTGTTGCTGCAGGTTTTAGCTTGGGGTTCAATGGCGACGTTCCAAGGAGCTAGAGAAGTTCTTCCTTCGCTCATGGCATTTGCCATGCTGAGTAACCTTGGAGCATCGATCACTGAGGTTGCAAAAGACGCTCTTGTTGCAGAGTACGGCCTGAGATACCGAATAAACGGTCTCCAGTCTTATGCGCTCATGGCTTCAGCAGCCGGTGGAGTCCTTGGAAACTTGCTCGGAGGATATCTCCTACTCAGAACACCTCCTAAGGTCTCCTTCCTTGTTTTCGCTGCCTTGCTGTCTCTGCAGCTTGTTGTTTCCTTGTCTTCCAAAGAAGAATCCTTTGGTCTGCCACGGATCACAGAGACGAGCTCGGTGTTGAAGAGCGTCAAGAAACAGCTGTCGAACTTCATGGAAGCAATCCAGGCAGATGAGATCTCACAGCCTCTGATCTGGGCAGTGGCATCCATTTCAATGGTGCCACTTCTCTCGGGATCAGTCTTCTGTTACCAAACTCAAGTCCTAAACCTCGATCCTTCCGTTATTGGAATGTCGAAAGTGGTTGGACAACTCATGCTTCTTGGTCTAACAGTGGTCTATGATCGATACTTGAAGACACTTCCCATGAGACCACTGATCCAGATCGTCCAGCTCCTTTACGCTCTGTCGATTCTCCTCGACTACATCTTGCTGAAGCAGATAAACCTCGGAGTTGGAATCTCCAACGAGGTCTTCGTGCTCTGTTTCTCCAGCTTAGCAGAGATCCTTGCACAGTTCAAGATCCTCCCGTTTGCGGTCCGATTAGCCAACATGTGTCCACAAGGGTGTGAAGGATCAGTGACGTCTTTTCTTGCCTCAGCTCTGTGTTTATCACAGATTGTTAGCGCCTTCCTAGGCGTGGGGTTGGCTAATCTGATGGGTGTGACGTCAAGCAACTACACGAATCTGTCTTCAGGGATTCTGATACAGTCTCTAGCAGCTTTGGTGCCTTTGTGCTTCATGCACTTTGTCCCAATGTCGGAACCTGTGATTGGGAAAGAAGTAAAAAGAGGTTCAAGTAAGAGAAGCAGGAGAAGTAGACGAGTTGGGAGAGTAGTGCCTCAAGAGAACATTGCTAAACGACGAGGAAGAGAGTCAGAAGAAGCTCAAAGATAGTGTCAAGTATAATACTAAGTAAATCACTGATTAGAATAATTCTTTTTGCGGGGATAACCAAATTATACAATGCTAAGTTATAAGCTTACTTGTGTAAGGCCTTTGTATACTCTTTTGTCTATACTGAGATTTTTCCTTCTTTCTTTCTCTGTTTCTTGACTCCATCAAAGACTGAATCCTTGGGTTTTTGCTTATGTCAAAAACTCCTAGAAATCAAGACTTGATCAAACGGCATAAACTCGAAATCTGAATCATCTCTGAAACAACGTTTTCTCTGCTAGCCATATCATCAAACACTTCTCAGGCTTCAAAAAACTTTCCACATTTGCACCTAAAGAGAAAACTAATCACGATGAAATCTGGGAAAAAAGAACCAATATGTATTCTTTTACCATGAATTAGCCTCGGCGCAAGAAATCAGATGACGTCAAACGGCCTGTGATCATCTGACAAAATGGATCATGCGATTGCGATTACACACTTTCTGTAGAAGAAATAGTGAATGTAACCAGCATTGTACATAAAATTGTTCATGTACGCACGCGATTATCAACGAGTTCCATAGAGACACCGATTATCTCTCTTGCAGTAGCGCGAAACCGGTAAGAACAGGACAAAAAGATCACAAATTTAGAAGCTTTCTATGTTTGGTCTTGTTCGTACGGCTCGTTTGAAAAGTTTATAAATTTGTAAATAATAGTCCCGAACTTTATTTAATTTAAACATTTTAGCCCCAGAGTCCAGTTGGACTCGAGATTAACCTCAGCGCTTTTGTTTATCGTGATTAATTTTATAAACCAACCCGGTCCTAACCATGCTTAATTTGGGCATTGTATGGTTCAGTTCGATCTAAAAATAGACGGTTTGATTCGGTTCAACTGATTCGAAAAGCAATTTCTGTAAACTTAAAGAAGTGAAGAACAAAAACAAATGAACACACAAATCCATAAATTAACAAAAGAACACGAAAGGTTCGTTCGTTCGTCAGATCGATGGTATTACATTATTACATAAACTTAAACAAAAGGAACAAAAACACCTAATATTATATTATACTTATTATCCGAATTAACATCACATAAACAAACAAACACACGACCGACTCTAAACAGCCATGGTGGTTCCAACACCAGCCTTGTGCTCTCCAGCATGAGTGCCTGGCACATGATGATGACCTTGACCTGTAGCGTAGTCACTGTCTCTGTACCCAGGACCGTACTTGCTGCTGAATGCACCGGCATGGATCAACAAGAGGTAGAGCAATTGAGTAAACGTCAGAATTATAACGAAAGCTTCAATCATCTTCAGTCTCCATCCTCTCCATCCTCCTATGTTTATTTGCTTGCATGCCAAGCTTCATCAACACCACACACACACACAAAAAAATGATTACAAGACCCTAAAAGATTATACTGTTTTCATCGTGGTTAATAATCTATATTTACCCCATGGCAAGAGCGGTGACTGCCCATGCAACGATAGAGGAAGAGCCAGCGGCTGCGAGACTATCGTTCCTCCAAAACCTAATATGGTTAGCTCCGGCCAACTTCGACGCTACTCCTATAACAGCTGCTAAAATGGAAAACGTCAAGAAGAAGGGAGTTGCTCCGTTACCTCCGAAGCCTATTTAGTTAGTTTTAAACAACTGATCATTAATATAACAAGTAAAAGCTATAATGGAAGAAATAGATAAGAGAGTTTGAGGAATGGTTTACTTGGGTGATGAGTTTGGCCGTTGATGTACCTATTGAGACACCAACTTGAGAAACCGAGTACGATAAGGTACATAATCAGATTCAAGAACAGCAATGGTGCTGCTATGTTTCTTCCTACCGTCGTCGCCATTTTGGAACAATTTCCTCCTCTTTCACTATATATCTTCTCAACCTCTGTGTTTTGATGTTATGCCGCTCTTCTCTAAATCCAACAAAAGCTACCTTAACTTGTTCGGTGATGATCGATCGAAGGGATATGTGACATAGTTATATACAGGAAGCTTAGGTGTTCTTGTGGGGAGGGACACGTGTCGTGAACAGAAGACATTCATGTTTAGCTGCTTACAGGTGGTGGGACACGTGTCGCGACGCTGTTTTCGAGTGTTGGATATAGCCAGTGTTGTCACTGAGCTCGAATCTCCAAGTGCTTTAAATTTATACTATTATCTCCTTATGCTTTTATCATATTAAATGTTGGACGCTACCATATCTTGGGGCTCATTTTTCTGTAAGCTAATTTGTTGACATCACAACTCGTTATTTACAATATACCTCACCTGTATTTAATTGACATGGCCATATAGTGGGAGAAATACTTCATTCAATTCGATTATACTACATGTGATCTTGAAAAACTGTAAATCATCTCATAACTCTGGTTTCCCGTTATAAACGCAAGTGTACCAACATTGGACATTGGGCACAAATCTTGCTGAATATCATTTGGTGTAAATAAGTTTCTTGGAAACATTACACAACATTTTCATATCTACTTCTTCTTTTCCTGTATTTTTGACAGGTTTTTAAGCATCGTGTCTGAGTATTACACTAGTATAAATCTGATAATTTTTCTGAGACTTATGTAATGTTTAGATAACTTTTATATAGCAGCAGCAACAGGAGCCATGGTGATATGATGTTTTGAGAGAGTTAATGACTTGTTCCTCCGGTTTTGTCAAGATCCCGTTGTCTTGCTCGTTCCATTTTCCGCTTTCGCCATTCTTCCAATGCTGTTGCCGGATTACACAACATTTGTAACAAATCAAAACCTCAATCTGTTACAGATTCCATAACATAAATAAGAAGATTTATTACAGTTACCTTTCAAGCTGGATGCATCGTTCGATGCCCGGAAGTCCTTGAGCCGTTTAGAGAGATCAACAGCTGTGTTCTGTTTCACATCTTTCTGCTGATTGGTTTCTATCCCTGCAGATGTCTCTTGTTCGATTACTCTGACCTTATCATTCAAACAACACACAGTAGTACCAAATCTTTTCAGATAATTGCTTGTAATATATGACTGTCACGAGATGGGAAGAAATAGTAATATGTGACATGTGAAATGCTATAAAAATTGGAGTTGCTTACTCTTTTGATGAGCTCCAAAGGTTGCATCGCCAGCCTAATCTCTTCAGCTTCCTTTATATACCGAAGCTGAGCTGCAATTATCATAAGGTATGTAACTATGATGAAACAACGAATCAAAAGCGGCAAACGAAAAGAAGTCGAAATATCAATTGATTTTTTTTTTTATCTCTACAGGCTTTAGAATGTGAATCTTTTAACAGTTTTTATGTCAAATCCAAACAACAGTTCCATGGGAAGAGCACAACTTCAAGTATTGTGAATTCAGCTCAATAGGCAAAAATCTAAACTTTATCGAAATCGGTTCTTAGCATATTGTAAAAGCCAGAAATCCAGAAAGAGCGAACCCAAGTGAAATTGAAATCGAGAATTGAAGTGATTCATAAGATGATATAATTTAATCAAAGAAAGAGATCCAGAAATCTGAAAATTGGTTGACAAGCCTGAAATTTATTAATAGATCCGAGAACCAATGATCCCTCAAGCACCAAACTTTGATCGAAATCCGATGAAATCCAAATAAACTATGCAAAATCAGGATATACCCAACAAACCTGAATCGATACGGCGAGAGGAAGATGAAGAAGAAGAAGAAGAGGAAGTGAAAAAGCCCTGAAGGAGGAAGAGGAAGATGACGACGTTGACGATAGTGAGAGCAATTGTGGCGTTCTTGAAGGAAAATCTCATGCGCCATTGATGGTTGTGATGATGATTATGATCCATTTTTTCGACTCCAAAAACCCAAATCTAATTGTGGTGTTTAGGATTTTCACAAATCCTGGGTTTTAATGAGGATTCATGAGTCTTCTTCTTCTACAGACACAACACAGGTGTTTGACTTTAGTTTTCTTTCTCTTTTGGTTTTGGACTCATTTTCTTATCCTCAGTCTTAGGTTGGACTCTTCAATTGTTAAATCTCTTCCTTTTTTTAGGTAACGAATTTAACTAATATTTTGATTAGGTGAGAATGAATCCAAACATTTACCATCATCATTCAGATTAAATCTAAATCTAACGGATTAAGAAATGACAAAAAGGTAATACTTCAATTACAATTTTCGTTTGCTTGTTATTTTGACAAATCTAATAAAAATGTTTGTACGTATGAATTTGTTTGCAACGGTCTTCTCTGTTTCTGCAAAACGTTTTGACTTGGAAGTCAACAATATCAAAACCATATTTAAGGAAATTTGATATTCTTTACTTGGAATCACTTTGACCAAAACAACAAACATACGAAACAGAACAACTCTTATCACATTGGATTAGATAGCTTCAACTATTTACAATATGAGAGCAGAAGTAAATAGAAGACCATTATCTCTGAGAACAGAGATTCAGAGACAATTGTTACACGGCGATGGAAGAAACAACACAAACAAAATAACCGAGTAAACTAGAAACTGAATTTACCTAAAGAAAAACCATATTCGAAATCCGAAAAGACACCCGGATTCAAATCAAATCTAAGCTTTTGTTTTTGACTCTCCTTTTTTTTTTATCGATTCTGCGGTATACTTTCTTCAAAAAGTATTTGCTTCGACTTGCCAGCCTTGAAAGGGAAGCTACACAGGGTTGTCTCTTGGTCTCTCCTTCTGTTCTTGTTGTCTTGATGCTGCATTGACAAAATGACATTGTTTCAATCGTTTTTTTCTTTTAATCATTCGAGATGGGAAATCAAGAAACCAGTATACGATACTCTTGAAAACATACCAAGTCCATTAGCTTCTGAGGTTCTCATGATCCGAAGCCTTTTCACCGAAGTCATAAACATTCTAATAAAAGAAGAAACAAACAAGGATCAATGATTTAGATCTTAATAGGTTTTAACTTGTTGAAACGATGGTCCTTGGTTTGTTGTTCTTTACCTCCACGGAACATCTCCCACAAGCATCCAATCTCCTTCCTTGTCTTCATAAGTGAGTACAAACTCTGATGATCCGTCTAAAAGTCTTGAAGGTTTCACCTTTTCTTGACAAGTAGCCCCTGATGATTGTCAATGTCAGTCAAGCTCCATAGTGGAAATGCTCAGCTTTAAAGCATTTGACAAGAGAGTACTAACCTGTCATTCCAAAGAACATTTCCTCAAGCGTCTGAGCCAAGTTTTCATAAGACGAGTGAGCTCTCATATCCACTTTCCTGCCTATACCAACTCCATCCATATTCACTTTAACAAACCCTAAACCCTGAGCTTTCCCATTCATCTTCATTGACACATCTTTGGCCTCATCTTTCTTCTTCTTCCCCTCTTCATCTCCTCCTTCTTCCGCTCTCGCTGCCTTCATAGCCAGACTGTTCATCCTGTGTGATCCAATCGGTGGCCATCCAACTACCTGACTGGGAAAACAAAACCAAGAATTTTCACTCACTTAGTCTCAAAATTTTAGATGCAATCATCAAAACAAGCATCTTACTATGAACAATAGCATTAATAAGCATGAATGACTCCATAGAAGGGCAAGCTAAAAGCTCACCAATTTTGCAACATTTCGAGATAGCAGAGTCTGATTCAGGGTATACTATAACAGAACCTAGCTAATTCCGGACACAAACTGTGTTCTGAGATGGTAACATTCTCGCATCAAAACAAACAAAAAGATTGGAGTTTGCTTGGTAAAAGGACGAACCTTGAGCGAGGAGGAGATGCTCCTTGGTGAGAGGAAGAGTCAGCAGCTCGTTTAGACCCAACAGAAGGAAAATCTTTAGCCGTAAGAATCCTCCCACGCTCTCTCCACGCGCCACCGCCGAGAGAGAGCCCTAGTCCCAACTCCAGCTCACTCTCAGCCGGAAGATTACCCTTCCCAACCTCCGATTCTGACCCACCACGCATGTCAATCGAGGAACCGTAGAATCCAAAGATACCAGAAAGAGAGAGCCTTTCAAAGAACCCAAGAGAAAAAGCTTGAGAAGTGAGAACGCAGATGATGAAATCGAATGGAGACGAAAGGAAGAGAGCGAGGGTATTTAGGGTTTCTTCAGACTTGTGTTGAGAGAGATGATGAAATCAGAGTAAAGAAAGAGAGATGATTTGGTGGTGGAGAGAGTGATGAGAATTGGGACCCATGTGTCTTGTAATGGCCATACCACAATGCCAATTTTTCTAACCAAAGTCTTCTCTTTTGTTTTAATATTATTTCTCTTTAAACTTTTCGTCCCGACATTATCAAACCTGTCGTGCTCTCGTTGCGTTATTGTTGGTTCAAGCAGCAAGAGAAAGAGAGTCCCAAGAAACTTGTTTACAGTAGTGTGTGTGTGTGTGTGTGCAATTGCATAACAACAAATTGTTTATTGGCCAAGGTTTTGCTTTTTCTTACATCATTCTTGTTTTTTCCTTTTCTTTTCCCACTTGTATTTGTTTTGGTCTAAAAAGGTTATATTGTAATGCTTTAAGATAAGGGGTCATTTTCTTTTGAAAAGGGATAATCAAGAATCTAGAGAAACTTATGGATTGTAATACTTAGTTAGGGGGCATAAGTAATGGTGTACGTACCTCATTACGTTATTCGTATAAACACAACACTCTCGAAAGTCTAAAAGGTTTACACAAATTATGTAGTTGGGTTACATTGTAAATGTATAGCCACCTAGTTTTAATTCTACTTTCTTTCCCTGGGACCATGATCGTTGTCGAACAAAAGAAAATAATGAAATGAAAAAGAGAAGAAACAAAATTGATGGAAAAATAAGCAGCATTATTATAAAATCGTGGGGATGAGATATTCATCATGATGTTTGATGATCCTTTGAAAACTTTTGCAAGCGCAATTGTTTTGTGGGAATTACACTTTTGATCAAAATCATTATCAAGGAGTACATTATTCTCATGCTCTACTTGATGGGATCTGATAGAAACTAAACTCATTATCAGTCATAAAATCTGAATTAAATTCGTATACGGTAAAGAAGTAATCAGTAATGTATAATGGTTAATCTTTTTTTCTTTTAGAGTTTCCTTTCACTATTTAATAGTTTTTGGCGCATGAGTATATTTTTGTAAGTATTGTAAAAACACAAAAAGAAATGACTTATCAACAACAGTAAATAAGATTAACATTTGTGTTTATACTAGAGACACTGTTGTATAATTTACCACTTCAGCTCTTTTCCACCCTCTTCCAGAGAAAGAGAAAACAATATTAATCGATCCAAAAATTTTTAATAAAATAAAATCCGTAAATTAGAATCACACGAAACTCAGATCATCAGCAGAATAAGTGCGGTGCCCACGCCCGGTCCCACCTTTCTTGGACTCCTCAGGGTCCATTGGGCTACCACCACCACCACATACGAAACTGCATTCCACACCGCAGATCTTACTAAAACATGAAAATAGCCCGTTACCTCCGTCAGTGTGACGTCGGTTATGCTTCTTAACCGCCGGGGTTTTACGCCTCGAACTCCTTCCTCCTGTTGTAGTGGCGGCAGGTACAATTGAACCATTGAAATTGCTGCTGCTTACTTGGCTTGATCCTATGTCGTATAATGGTGGAAGCTCCATTCTCCATCTCTCGAGCTTTGAACGCAATCCTTCGATGCTAGATTCGTCGACGCTCCACTCGCTCAATATTGAGCTTTCCGTTTCGTGAGATTTCTCTTTCGCTATTTTTGCAGCCACTTCTGATGGAGACGGACCTAACTCCGATTCGGTTAAGATTCTTTTTCCGGCTAAATTAGATCTCATCGGTGTACCAAAATCGTGATGAGTTTTCATCGGTGTAGCCTTGTAACTTGATCTCATTGGAGTAGATCCGACGATGTTCGACCTCATCGGAGTTGACCCATACATGTTGGACCGCATTGGAGTTTGCATCGGTGTCGATTCCACCATGTTGGGACGCATTGGTGACATTGCGACGATATTTGATCTCATAGGAGTCGATTTAATCCCGTTAGACGACCGCATCGGAGTAGACGCGACGATATTTGATCTCAATGGTGTTCCATGCCTCGATAAGTAGGGAGAAGCACGGCCACGCTCGTAATCCTTCATAGATCTTTGTCTCTCGTTCATCGCTGTCTTTCTCGGCGTCTTACGGGATTGATGGTGTGAACCGTAAGGTGGATCATCGTGACTCTCCCTTCTATGCACCTCCGCATTGGGTTTAATCCCTGGGGATGGATCTACCAGGTCTGATTCGATCGAATCGTATCCTTGTTTTCCAATTTTATGGGTTTCGTTATAAGGCATATTATCGTTTGATTTCTCAGCATCGGAGTCCGTCGTGGTGGGTGCAGTTTCAGATTCGGTGCTCACTACTACGCTCGCTGGCTGTCTATTAGCCAAACGGCTTCGTTCAGCTCTGCTCAGAAGATCTGAAACAACCATCGAGCTCGTGTCGCTCTTTGTACGACGGAGCTCCGGCCTTGAGACTACAGACATAAACTGTCTTGAAACAGGAGATTGTGGATTCTTTGAGCTCCCTTTGTTGCTATTTAAATGCAAATGTTGTAGATGATGATCTTCTTCTCCAAGCAAATCTCTATATCCCACAGCAGATGAATCCATATGCGTATAAAGCGGCATACTTCGCATAGAGCCGTCGAGTATTCCAACACCAATGTTCAAAATCCCTTGAGGTCGACCTGAGGTACGACGAACCTGAAGCGCTACAAACCTCATTCCCGGAGGCGGCGTGCGACGGAACTCATTGTTGTTGGTTCTGTATCCCGGACGACGATTAGGCGGGATGAGATTGCTAATGAGGACACGAACTGTGCCTACATGGACATCTCGGAACCAATGCAATGCATATATTTCAATGACGACGGCGGAAGTATCGGCGTAAAGAAACTCGTCGTTGACTCTGAATACGAATTTGTCATTCCAGGTCGGGTTTGCTCCGCCATTGTAATCAACTCGTGTGGTGAGTTTACGCTCGGAATGAACCCAAGCCACCGCATAAGTCTTCATCTTGCGGGAAACAGGAGCCAAGTCCTGAGCTGAGATGATGTTCAGCTCAAGCAGCTGAAACGATGGAAACATCGACATTGTGATTCAACAGATTTATTTTCACGTTAAAAATCTTTTGGATACATTTCTATGTTTTTTTTAAGGAGATATGTGTGGGAGAACGGAGGAGAATTGCGAGAGAAAAAAAAAAGTTCTCTCTCGCAATTCTCGATTCAGGATTCTGAGAAGCTAGATCATGAATGAAAAAGACATAGATTGTTTGGTCAATGATAAGAGTTTCCGAAAAAATTGGGACAAAGGTAATAATAGCCATTGTTATAATTTTGCCTTGTTCATAATAACTAATTTTGGGTTTGTGTTTGAGAGAAAGACAACGAGTCTATTAGGAGTAGAGGCGTGTTGTTCAGCTGAAGGTTGCTATATTAGGAGAGGAATCGTAAGAATCAATCTGGCATTAGTAATTAATTAAACCTTGTGCGCCAGAGTATGTGTTTGTTTTAGTAGTGAAATGTTCTGTGTGTTTTTTTTTTTGCTTGAATAAGAATAAGAATTGGTGTGAATAGTGTGAAATCTTCAAGGAATTCTATTTTAGAATAAGTTTTTTTTTCTGTTCGATGTGAGACAAATAATTTTTTTTTTCTTTTTCTGCAGAGTACCGAATGGAAAAAGAAAATGATAATAGGAGGAAAATTTCCCTTTGAAGTCTGAAACATATACTACATGTTAAAGCCAAAACTAATAGTGTAACAGAGTTATTCATTTTCTCCTTCTGAACATGCTTACCGGCTATACTTAAATCCTTTGTACGGTATACGATGGTAAAAAACCTAGTAAATGACCTTTTTGTGGACCTATGAATATGACAAAAAAAAACAAACAAAATTTCAAGACTCAAAAAATGAGTTCATGTAAAGAGCTTATTATCCCTAATTAAAGTGCAATTCTCATGTCGATAACCCTGAATCTTTGTACATGATCCTTTTTTCTTAGATGGAGGCCCAAACTACATTTTTCAGAAAAAAAACCAGTCACTGTATAAAATTTTAAAGAAAATATACAACTACAAGAAATCGATCCATAGGTAAGATTTAGAAAACAATAAATCATACGCGTAAATATAGTTCCAAATAGGTTTTATAAAGCTCATTAATAAATATATGAACAGTAAAAATCAAAACCTGCCTTAGCTCAGTTGGTAGAGCGGAGGGCTGTAATTGGTTTCCTAACAGAAAATCCTTAGGTCGCTGGTTCGAATCCGGCAGGCAGGAACATTTTTTTAAATAGCTATTTTTTGCTTTCGTGTGATATTGGGTCAAATAGAAAAAAAGTAAACCTAAGAGCGGATTTTGTAAATAAGAAAATACTATTAAGGGGGTCCTTTGCGGTGGTTTGCCGTTTCCCCAGAGAATCAAAAATTCAACCCCACTTATCTTGTTTTCTCTAACTCACTTCAGAACCTCAAAATCATTTTCGTTTCACTTCAAATTATTGTCTCGGGGTCCTCCGAATCAATATCCACAAATAACATTCGAGGAATCTGTAATCCACCACCGACCAATCGTTGAAAGTTATTGAATTGAACCAACGTGCTCAAAGGGAAACTAAAGTTGAAGACTTTGAACGGATTCAGAGAGAGAAAAGACCCAGAAAGATGCTGAAGAGCGAGGCATCTCTCTCGATTTACTGCGATTCTGGGGATGTTTTCAAAGCCGAAGATCAGGTGATTGGAATCGAGGAGAATCTGGAGAGAACGGTTTCGATTGGCGATTCGGTTGAAACCGACTTCAGTTTCGCCAAAGACAAGATCAAGGAAGAGGACGGTGGTGGTGGTGGTGGTGCCCGTGAACGTCAAGAGCAAGGTTTTGAGATTGAACGACCACCGAGTCCTGCGATGCATTTAGCTGCAGGACTAGGGATTGATAAGTTCGATTTGTTTGGTAAGGAGATCAAATTCGATTTACCTGGTTTCGACGATGAGAATTGTGATGACTATTACAAAACCATGCTCGACGAGTATCCATCGCATCCTTTGCTTCTCAAAAACTATGCCAAGTTCTTGGAGGTATTGAGAATTGACTGAAATCGTAATGACTCTGTTTTGAAGTAGTTTTTTTTTCTATTAATAGCAAAGTTTCTGTTTTGTTTTTTTTGTGTGAAAAAAACAGTACAAAGGAGATCTTAGTGGAGCAAAAGAGTATTATCATAAGTGTACAGTAGTTGAGCCTAGTGATGGATTAGCCTTAGCAAGCTATGGCAGATTAGTGATGAAGCTTCATCAGGATGAAGCTACTGCATCAAGTTACTTTGAACGCGCTGTTCAAGCATCTCCTCAGGATAGGTCTGTTGATAACATTAATCTTTGCTAAAACCATTAGTTATATATTATGTGAATTACTTAACCTGATTGTATGTTTTTTCTTTTCTCTTCTCAGCAATGTTCTTGCAGCATATGCTAGTTTCCTCTGGGAGATTAATGACGATGAGGATGGCGTTGACGATGATGACTATACTGGAGACCGAACTCCGCAAGAAAAAGGAGAATTTGAGGTACTGTGTTCTATCTCACACTGATTCTTGTAGACATCTTAGGTGAAAATAGAGAGTTGAAGTTGAAGATGGGTTCGAGTTTGTGACATTTGTAGGCTTTCGCTTTTAAGTCTCTGATGTTGGGTTTTGTTTTGTATGGAAAAGCCTGAGGCAGCGGAAAAACGGAGCTCAAGGTTGTCTGAAACAGAAGATGGAGAAACGCTATGTAGATATGCGAAAGCGTTTTGGAGTATCAATGGTGATCATGAGAAGGCCTTGTTCTATTTCGAGAAGGCCGTTAAAGCCTCTCCAAATAACAGGTACAGTTACAATTTCGGAATCTTCTTTTTTGTTTTCTGATTTTGAAAACTGAAATGTGATCATCGTTTTCTGTGTTTAAACAGCATTATTCTTGGAGAGTACGCTCGGTTCCTATGGGAATTAGAAGAATGATCATCAAGATTAAGAAGAAGAAATCTAGCTGGGGAAAATTCTCAGGTTCATAAGATCTCTCTTTATAAAAAAGGCTCTTTACTCGTGTCCCTTGTTATGTCTTGTACGATTCCAACGTTTCTGCAGAACAAACTTTAAGCATCCAACTTCTGTAATATAAATGCTTGTTGATACGCTCGGAGCCATGTTATCTCACAAAGTGATGTAGGACTTTTCTTCTTTTCTTCATACAGATTGCAGACTATTCAATGGTCCTCCTTAGTGTAGACAATTCTTATGATGAAAACGATAATAGTCAAAGCATTATTAATGGAAAATTACCCCAAGTGGTCAATTTAAGATTGCTTAAAAAGAAACAATAGTTATGGTAGTGTTTATAATTTGGTCAGTTGAAATAGTTAGTGTGATTGATTGAGAAAACAAAATTCTTTTTTTGGTTCACATTTTCTGGAAGTTTCTTTTTAACATTCTAACCGTCCTTCCATTCACCAATCTGAATTCTGAACTAACAAAAATTGAATAAAAGATAATAACAAATTTCAAGAAATTAAAAGTTTGAACTTGCGAACTAATAGCACCTCAAAAGATGAAAAGTATTTGTTTTTTTAAAAAGCTTCAGGCTCTCTAGTCTCTTATGAGGGATTAGACTCCTTTTGTTTTCTTCCTCACTATCTTCAATAGTCTGCCAAAAGAAATATCATTGCAACGATTCAGTTAATCTTCTTCCCTTTATTATATTCTATATCACATGTGCATGTGTTTTGTATGTATGCATGTACATATGCTTTATGTATGTGAGAGAGTGAGATGGTACCGTCATGTTTCTTCTTCATCAAGTTTTTGGCGAAAAGCAAGCAAATGACAAGAAAGCCAACACCAGCAGCTCCTCCTACTATTATTGCCACCGTCTTCCCTGTTGCTCCTGTCAAGTTGTCATTATTATTTTTTTGTCAGCAGTATTGAATATCAAATGTACATCTAATTTACTCTATTTTTCCATGGTAGTTTTGATCATACTACAAGTACCCCCTTTTCTTTTCAAGGGGTCATATTAGAAGTACATTTCAAGAACATAAATTGGGTGCTTAGACCAATTCTAAGGAATGAATGTCTTCGATGACTTTAGTAATTCAATTTACTTTTTATGGGTAGAAAAATATTTAATGAAAGCATAATGCATAAAGTATTATTAATTGAACTGCATACCTATATGGCTAGATTTAGAATCATATGGATTATTGAAAATTCCAAGGAATAACTGTTACCAATTAATAGAAAAAGCGCACATTTCTTTTTCGTTTTAAAAAATTATAATCATCGAGACTGAAGAACAATTAAAATCTGAAAAAAAAAATCGATTTGAGAAATGATTGATGCAAAAATTTGGCCAATTTGTAAACCCAGATTCATATGGACCCTTATATTGAAATCTCAAAAGACATAATGACAAGAGAAAATAATCAGAATCTCACCTGTGGAAGACGAGATATCTGAACTGGAAGAGCCGGAGCTGGACGAAGAAGACGAAGAAGAAGAAGATCTCCTAGGGACACCATTTGGGTAATAGCTATAAGCGATGAAGCACTTGTGGAGGTAAATCTGACCGGAGATTGCGCTCCCACACTCGACCTGAGCTTTTTCGAGGGCGTTCTTAACGCAGCCGCTGCAATCGGAGTCTCCGACATCGCCTTCGCACTGTCCTAAAACGTAGACAGATTCGTAAGTGGTCGCGTAGAATCCATGCCCCGAAACTACGCCGTTTTGCATCACCCCAAACGCCGTGTCCCTCCTCTCCTCGAACCCTGTTCCGGCGATGTTGTTCTTCCCACAAGTCTTGAACAGCATCTCCATCCCTGTAAACATTAAACCGGAAATTAATCCCAGGAGAGAAACCGAACCGGAAGTTGATTTCCGGTTCGATTGAAGCCAAGGAAGAAGAAGAAGGTTACCTGAAATTTGAGAAAAGCCAGCGACTTCATAGAGAAGATAACAGCCGGAAAGCTGGACTCTGGAGGCAATGGTTTTGCCACAGAGCTTGTCGGAGAGAACGGGAAGACGACTTACACAGTTGTAACAGTCATGGTTGGTTAAATCTCCTCTACACTGAAAGAGACCAGTTATTGTGGTTTGACTTGTTCCTGTGGTGGTCTTGTAGAATCTGGTTTTAGTGGATTGAGAGACCAATGAGCCGAACATAGCAGAGAGAGCTTGTGAGTATAAGCCAGTTGGATCTGAGAATTGCTGTTTCGAACATCCTTTGTAGATTAAGGTTGTGAATTCGGTTGTTGCAGATTCTACGACACTGAGATCTGGAAACAGTAGACTCATCGAGATGATGGTGATGAGAAATGAGATTGAACGACCCATTTAAAATGTGTGGATTCTTGCTGGTGTTGTTGTGGTCTCTTTTTTCTTGAGGGGATTTTGGAGGAAAAGATTGGGAAGCTCAAATCATTGGCTTTCTCATTGTGGTTGTGGATATTTAAAGTCTTTGTGGGATTTCTTGAAGTTGTGGTTTATGGGTTTTTGAGTTTATGTAATTGGTTGCTTGGTGGCTCAGTAAAGCTTTGATATTTGTTTCTGTCTTCTAGGTTTCTGGGTTCTTGTTTTTGGCTTTGGGTGGCCACTCTTTCTCTCTCTAAAACATGTGAGAACTGAGAAGAGATTGAGAGGAAGAGAGAGAGAGTCCTTTTTCTTTTAACGCTTCTGAGCCATTCAGTAGGTTCTGAGAGGGTACAATGTTTGATTTACTGCAGCAAACAAATAGATAATTTATTGATTGAAAGCTTTAAATAACAGTTTATTTATTGATTACCCTCCTTTTTACCACCTATTTAGTGGCCTTTGAATCTAATTCAAAGTTAAAGTCATTTCAAGGACTTACTTTGTTGTAATCTGGTTGAGTGGTTGGTTATTTTGAAAATTGGGTAAAAAAAAAAGATGACAAACTTTCTTGCAATGGCATAGTTGATACCAAAATGACGGTGTTAATGAAAATTAACTAACAACTGAATCACAAAAGATGGGCTATAAATGGAAAACTATAAAGGCGAGAAAGAGAGAGAGAAAAGAGTTGGAGGAAGTGAAAAGGAATCTGAGATTGGTGGGAGAATGGGAAGATTGTGAAGTGTGTTTTTTGACCAGAGTACAGTCAATATCTCTGTCTGTCTCTGGCTTCTCTAATTTCTATGATCCACCATCACTTTCTTTTTGTCTTCATTTCATTGTCTTTAGACTCGTAAATCGTAACCTTGCCTCCAAAAAAGAAGTTGAGATTTAATTCTCACTGTTTAAAAGGTTCAGATTTTCTTATGTTTTTAAGTCCCACAAATTTGCTGAGAATAAAGAATATTCATATACCTATGATTTGCTTGCATAAAATAATGTATAGAGGGGTGCTGTTGATAAACAGAGAAAAATAAAACTTAAGGACGATGTTATATGATCTTTTTTACTTTAAATTGTGGATGGAGAAGGGAAGAGAGAGAAGCTCAGGTGTCTGTGATTGCGAAAGAGGCCAACAAATATCGAAGTAGTAACTGTAAAGATACAACAGAAATCGAGAAAAATTTGAGGATTTAACTACTCTCGAGTCTTGATAATGAGACTTGAGATATATTGTTTTCATGAATCCTGGGCAGAAGAATCTTCGGTATTGTCATCTCCAGGTAAACCAAATATCCTGAGATTACGGTCCATTGAACCGACTGCTATGTATTTGGAGTCGAGGCCAAACTTGACACATGTTGCTTTACCTGCAAGTTCATTATTAATTCATAAATGTCTGCATATTATAGACTCAAAAAAATGGAACAGAGACTACTTCAATCATATGATATGGCATATTTACCTGTACCGGATAGATCGGGAAGAGTCTTGATTGGGTTCCACTCTGCCTTTACACTGGCCGTTTGGAATACTCTAAAACATTGAAACACACAAGTTCTTTATTAGTACAAAAGTTATAACATATGATTCGCGAATTCCACAACTCTTTGAATATTTCGTTATCGAAGTGTATCAATGCATGTAAAACACACCTAATATCTGAAGCAGCAATGCCAAGATAAGATCCGCTATGGTCAAACTCAACTGCATAAAACATTTCATTCTTGTCTTAGAAATGAAACCCACAATCAACAAAATGGACTAGCAAGAGGTGCTTATAAGTAGTTGAATACCTGAGTTTGCATTTGGAAATTCAAATGTTCGGAAGTTCTTTAACTTGCGCAGGTCCCACAACCTAACACCATCCTGAGCAGCAGTCTGAACAATTTCAGAACAGAAAAAAAAATATGGTCAGTAAAGTGGAAGCTGTTTATTTCAGTCTTTCTATTTAGTTGGGTCAAAGTACCCACCGCGAGGAAATAACCGTTTTCAGAAAATGACACAGATGTGATTTCTCCAGTGTGGCCACCAAATTTCGCCACATTTGCCTGTTAGCCAATAGAGATGGATAAAACTAAGGTGAGAACAAATGGAGAATACTGAAAAAGTTTGATGATCTTAAGAGTTGATGGACAAGGTAAGGGAAGGGAAGGGGGTATTTACCTGACTCTTTACATCCCAAATCTTGACAATAGACTGAGCGGTACCAGTTCCAAGAATGAGACCATCGGGATGGAAAGCAGCAGCCGTGTAATCCACCTTCTCGGAATCATCCGTTACCTGAAATAACAACGACATGCGTGAGAAAAGGGATTTTTCCTAATGAGTCTTATTTCTCATTACCAATGTTCAACTAAAGTTTCTCATGCTTTCTATAAACATTTTTATGTTAGCATACGAAAAGAAAAGCTGAAACTGGAAAAACAGGTATCAGTTGCTTGTACCTGGGCAAGGCATAAACCGGAGGACAGATCATAGAAGCACCACGTACTGTCAAGAGATGCCGAGACAAAGTACTTATTTGTTGCATGGACAGTTACAGCTCGCACCTGGAAAGCACATTGTTGCTTATACGTTATAACAGAACAAACATGTATTACACGTAAATATGGCTTAAGCTCTTCAATTTCATCTTTACCTCTGCAGAGTGATCTCTCAATGTGTGTCTACAGGCATAGTTCCCATCCTCGGAGCTCCCCCAGATACGGACAGTCTGCAATGTGTCAAAACACCAAACTAATACCCATCAGATGAATGGTGATGCACATGATTTTGATCAAACATAACGTAGAGAGAGACTGAAAACAATCGATGGTGTGATAAACCAAAGTTATATGACATGCATCAAGTTCGTTAAAATCATGCAATACTCAGCAGAGGACAGGAGAAGCTCCAACACAGATGATGTACAAGCACTACGTAGAAAAACTATAAAATCCATCGGCTTTTGGGCATGTATATAATCTTGACTTACCTTGTCCGATGAAGCAGTCAAAACAAGATCAGTGTCACCCGCAAACTTAATACTCGTGACCTGTAAAGGGGACAATCCATGTCAAGCACGAAAGAGGTAAAGTTGGAAGAAAAAATAAGTATATTACGGCAAAATGTAGACCTTCTTTGAATGACCAGTCAGCGTTGACAAGATTTGTCCAGAAGGACGATCAAAGAGAACGGCAGTTGTATCAATTCCTCCGGTAGCAATGACATCCTGATCATCAATTCAATGCAATTACTTCCGAGAACAGAGAAAAACAAGTGTGAAGTGATTCATGAAAGAAAAAAAGAGAAGCTTCAGGTGCCAAACCTTGGAATGTAGAATGTCCATTGAAAAAATGCCAGGTTTGTTGGTCTTGTGAAGTGGGTGGCTTGAGAGTTGGGTGAACTTCTCCAGAGAATCAATTGAAGCCAATGTTGGAGGGACCTAGAGAACCAATGAGGATAAACGTATCAAGACATAAGGGCCAAACTACAAACTCCAAATAGAGATATCCGTTGAATGGTGTGAACAATAATAAATGGAGTTATCATTTAGTTCTCTCATGACTTCTACTTTCCAATCAAGATACTAATAGATGTGGAGCTATATGTATTACCTGTCTCTTCTTACGTTGCTGGGAAAGAGCAGCATTACAATCTGTCAATTCTGTGATAACTTCAGCAGAAATTCCAAGACGCATTTTCTTTGCATCAGGCCCTTGTTCACCACCTTCGACAGCTATTTTGTGACAATAAAACACAGCAACTTGTAACAAGAGAAAAGACTACATAGCCAACTTATGTTGAGAAGAATATGTAGAAACATACCTCGTTTACCATTACTAGCAGCACCATTCGCCGAGGCAACTTCGGGGGCTGCAGGTAACTGCCTTTCAGCCTCTGTAAGTAATTGTCGTGCTTCGTCTCTTTCGTTTTTAAGCCTAGCAATCACACGACAAGCAGCATCATGCTGCAGACAGAAGGAAAAGTGTACCCCCAAAAAATCCATCAATCACCTTTATCACCCAATGAGTAATGGAAACGTCCAGGTCAAACTGGAATACATAATTATTCGCAGTATTACCTGATACAACGCATGGCTTAGCTCTTGCCTAGCAGTATGCAGTTGTTGTTCCAGTGCGAAATTAGATAGCATCAAACTGTCCCATTCCTGCAAGGACAACAAATAGATAAACTTTTTGCGCACTTATTTTGCCTCATTCAGCATAACTGGTAGCTGACCCTGTATAAATCTATCATCTACTTAGATTCATATAACTCTACATGATCCTTAACTGACAGAGAGGGAAGTTTTCAGAGTGAACATTTTAACAAGAACAGCAAGCATAAACCCACAAGAGAAGGTGTGGAAACGAAAGATAGCAAACAAGACAGAAGCTTACAGTTTGGAACGATCCAAGCAATCCAGGGATGCTAGCTGTGTGTAATGGTTTTGGTTTTACGATCTGCAAAATGGTCCCGGAAAGCCAATCAGGCTACAATAAGTAACAGCATATAACTACTCTGTGACAGATAATCCCAGCAGGTGCATTACCTTTCCAGTTTTGATAGCGACAATGTCATGAATGGTATGTGGTTCACCAGTAACCGGGCATTTCCCGTAATCCTACAGGGTGCGAAAACCACTTGATATGTTATTTATCACGAGGCAAATAGTTGACGCATACACAATCAAGTTTTTATCTTGTAATCCGGATATAAAAGTATCAATGTTTGATTATCAAGCATTCCATCGAGCTAATAAGGATCTAAAACCAGATGCATTGACAAATCTAAAATCTAACCAAGCAATTTTATGAAAAGGAGCATATCATTGAGAAATCCAGCAAATGCAGGTAAGGAGGTAAACGAGGATTAACCAGCTGGAAAAACCCTAGATACGAGTCGAACCACGAAGGAAAGCGAAGAGCTTACCGATATATGTCTCTCGATTAGCCGCTTCTCGTAGAGCAAACCAGACTTCGTCGAAACCACAGGCTCCTCCGGAACTTCGCCGGAAACTGTACGGGGAAATCACCACAGTGTCACCAACCAAAATAAAACCCTAAATTGGTAAATAAAGAAGAAAGAGAAAAGCGAACAGAAGCCTCACTTGCACAGTTCATCTTAGATTGGACGAAGAAGGAGAAGAATGAGAATTCGCAGCAGCTGGAGATTGATGAGTTAAGCTAGAGCAGCTCCTTAGTGGCTGGGCTAGGGTTTATCTACTCCGGTCCGGCGCTAAACTAAACGAAATCGCGGAAGCCGGGAAGAGAGGATGAAGACAGGCGGAGAGAGAAAAGAGGACCAAAACAAAATTGTTATGCTCAACGAAAATTAGAGATTTCTTGCTTTAAGAAAATTGGGCCTTTTATGACAACATGATTTGTACAAATTTGGGCCTTTATCAAGCCCATCTGTATTCGATGTGGTTTCAATTCATCCTTTTCGGTAAGTAAAATATACATTTTAATCATGAAGAAAAGCATTTCTGATTAGTGATTACTATTAAGTAGTAAAAACTACAAATCGTTAACATAAAAAAGATCCGCTTCGCAAGTAAACACGACATAAACACGAATTTTATACGGAAAAGTGTTTGAAAGTACAAAATTAAGCTTTCAAAGAAGAATATTATATATGTGATGCCTATTTATTGTCTAACTAGCTAGGTTTTAGATTCTAACTACGAAACATACAGAATCTTATCACCATTAGTCCGGTACTACTATATAACATGCTGGTTATTAATCAATCCAAGTACTAATTACATTGCTACTTTACCAAACAATAAATCAATTATCGTATCCATGTTTTTTTTTTTAATTAAACAATTGATCGTATCCCTATTTAATAAGTTGATCATATGATCATAGCTTAGCTTTTTAATTCTATCTTCTGGGTTAATGTTCTTAAGAAAAAGAAAAAAAAAACGATTTTAACTAATCATGCTTTAGTATCATTCTTAATATATCTTGTTTCTTCTCTTTTTATGTACAATGCGTGTGCAATATTGCACTCAAATCCTTTGATGAAGATGTTTAAATATATCTCCAAAGTATCGATTCATCAAATCAGCTTCAATCTCAAGCTGATTCTTTTTCTTTTCGCCAACAAGTTGCTATGTATATTTGTATATATCTCTTAAGTAATTTATTGCAACCCCATGACCACCTCCGTTTTTTTATCTAATATCCACATTTACTTTGTGACCACAAAAAAAAAAACATTTGTGAAGGGTGATATGTATTATATTTTTCAAAAAATTGCATAACCAATATCTGATACATTGTAGAGGGGGAAATACTTAGTTGCATGCAATGATTTTCAAATGCTTCACATAGCTAGGGACCGAATAAGATATTGACAAGCGATGTTCCAATCAGGACCAAACTAAATCAATTAAGAAAACTATATTTTCTTACAAATAATTGTTTTCAAATTCTTGTGAATAGTATTTATCTTTATTATTATTAATTGAGAAGTACATTCTAATGTTTGGATACAAGAATTAGAGAAACATCTATTTGGATAGAAGAATAAATGGAAACAAAAGTTGTTTGGATATAAGAATAAGAGAAAAATCTATTTGGATAGAAGAATAAATGGAAAAAATTGTTTGGATACAAGAATAATAACTTAAAATAAACCGATGGTTTAGAAAACTTCCGTTTTCCATCTCTTAAAAATCTGCAAAAAAAAAACTTAACATAATCTAACGATAATTCCAAATCAATAGAATATGCTTTTTGGATTTTCGGGTTTTTATAGACAAGTTCGGGTTTGGGTGAAAATCTGAGACATAATTTTATAGAGATATATATAGAGATATAGAAATTGTTCGGGTTTCTTTGAAAATTTCTGTTCGGGTTAGGTTCAATTTTTTTTTCAGTTTAGGGTTTTCCGGATTTTTTAGATTTCTGGTTTTCGGGTTTAGATATATTAAAAAAATTGAGTATTTTAAAATTTTGATTAGGTATTGGGGTCGGGTTCCGGGTGAAAAAGTTTCCAGATTTTTTTTGTTCAGTCAGGGTTTTCGGGATTTTTTTGATTTCGGATTTTCATGTTTAGACCTATTAAAAAAGTTTGGGTTTTTAAATTTTTTGATTAGGGTTTTTTGTCGGGTTCGGATTTAGGGTTTAAATTTTCTACACAAAACAACAACGTCACACCGCACAAACGTGCGGGTACTCAACTAGTTACTAATAAATCTAGAAGATATAAAACTTAAATAGTATGAAATCATATTCCAAATTAGTAGAATCTTTCTAACTGACAAATATTTGTTTAATAAAATAAAACACATCAAAATTTTACTATACCATTTATCAAAAACATTGTCATGATTTATGTGTCTGCTAAAAAAAAAGTACCATGTTCTTGGAAAATTGTATCATTCTAATTTTGATGGATATTTAAAAATGACACTGATACACCCGTTCTTTACGTTACCTCGATCAATATTCTGATCTACATACTTATCTTTTCACATGTTTTGATGATCAGCTTGATATTTTGTTATGGTAATAAGAAAAACAAAGTAAAAGAAAATGACAACTCAAAGCATGGTATGCTAAAAATGTCACTGTCGCATAATTTTTATCCAGAGGAAACCATTTTCATATGAAAGTTTCAGTTTTCGAATTTTATTAAGCATCACGTAACTAAATTTTCATAAAATAAATATATTAGACATTGTACGATCTGTATCTATTTTTCTCCATTTTTCACTGACTTGGTCTCTTGTTGGTTAATTTTTTGTTTTCACTTCTTATCAGCTTTTAAAAAGCAGCCAAGTAATTAAATTAGAAAATGAAAAAGAAAAGAGAGAAAAAACGAAAATATTGCTAAAAATAATGTAGAGAAGCCAATTCTATAAATAGAAGAAGGCTTAATTTAGGACAACTTTCAGTCAAAAAGTCAAACTCATCGCCACAAAAGAATTGGGTCAAACTTCTTTGCCGGTCAACCAAGTCACCACTTAGGTGGGACCATTTTCTCCACGTCAACTCAAAATTCACCGTTTCTTCCAATTGGAACACGCCACATCACGAGAATAAGAAACTCCAGGACCAGCGGGTTTAACGTTACTTGCCAGCGTGGCATTTTCCGAAGAACTTATGACATTTACATACACTAATACATAGAGACAGGCACCAATTTACATAGATACACATATACATACACATTTAACAAAAAGTATATATATAAATGGTTACGATAACTTCCATAACCTCCAATTCGTTTTCTCCAGAAAGCTGTAAGAAATTTCTTTTCTTCTCTGTCTAAACAGAATTTCCTTTCGTTCTGTTTTATTAATTACTATCCCTTTTAATATCCCAGTATTCTAATTCGTCGATGGATTTTCTTGTTCAGACATCACTCCTCGCACATTCGACAAAGCGTTCAAGAAGCCTCGTTCAATAATTTTCCCTTCTTTTCTGGGAAATTTTCTCTATTGAATTTTTCCCGGATAATCTTGGTTTCACGTTGGAGTCCATATTGAAGACATAATTAAACATGTCGCAGGACGTAATTTCGTCTCATGAGCAGCTCTCCATGGTAATTCTGAAATTTCTTATAATTTAATCTCCTTCGTCGTTCTCTAATTCCTTTCTCTAGAATGTGAAAAATTAAAACCCATGCAATGCTAATTGATTGTCTTTGAATCTGTTTTAAGCCCTTGAATGGTTTTCTCTTCTCTTTTTTTTTTTTTGTATCGAAAATATTAAGTCCTTTGTTTAATATTGGTAAGAAGATAAATTCCTCCCATAATGTGGGTAAGTATATGAAGAGGTTCAATATCTTACATTCTCAAATAAAGAGCATTACATTCTCAGAGAGACTAATCTTTAAGAACAAATAATAAATTATTGTACTTTTTAGGACTGTATTTTTGTCTCAAAACAAAATCAGATGTTGGTTCTAACGAGGTAATGATTTGATTTCTCGACGCAAAAGAAATACCAGAATCCCAAAACTTTCCTTTTATGGAAACTCTTCCTCCTTATCGTTAACTTCTTACTCTAGATTCCATCTTGATGAAAACCACAGAGAACGAACGAATGATACCTGATCGTATAAATGTCTACCTCTCTGTAAACCACTATCCTAAGTTAAAATCAACCTTTAGTCTATTTGATTTTATTTCTTGTTTCGCAAGAAAACCCATATACCAAGAAGCTTTTCATGCAAGCCTTTAACGTATGTGTTCAAAAGCTAAAAAAAAAACACATGTACACATATTTACTCGCTTTTTTTAAGCTAATTCGATCTTACCTTGTTGCTTTTATTTTGTAGGATGAGATCACAAGCCCACTCACGGAACAAATCTTCGATTTCTGCGATCCACAGCTATTTCAAGAAACCTTTAATCAAGCTTCTGAAGTGACATCTGCTTCAAACTGTTGTGGCTATGTCGAAAACAGCAACAACAACAATAACTTTCCAGACAAGTCCAACAGCGGTTCGAATCAAGATCATGAAGACAGCACTATCAACAACGACAACGCAGATTTGTCGATCATATTCGATTCACAAGACGATTTCGATAACGATATCACAGCTTCAATCGATTTCTCTTCATCAATCCAATTTCCTGTCTCAGATCAACTCCAAGATCAGTTTGATTTCAACGGAGTTCAACTTCACCAGCCTCCGAACATTCTCTACTCTTCCTCCTCCGGTGATCCTCTGCCTCCGCCTTTATCCGCTTTCGAAGAGGATTGTCTTTCTTCCGTCCCAAGTTACAATCTTGGCTCCCTAAACCCTACTTCTCCTTCTTGCTCTTTCTTGGGTAATCCCGGTTTACCAGCTTACATGGCCGTAACCGGGAATATGATGAACACCGGTTTATCCATTGAAAGATCCGGTTTTTACACCGGTATCCATTTTGGTTCTGATTTCAAACCATCACATGATCAATTGATGGAGATCCAGGCTGACAACGGTGGAATGTTCTGCACCGATTCGATTAAACCCATCTTCAACCCAGTAGATCATCTTCAGGTTTAAATTCCAGAATTAAACCGGTTTTAGTGAAATGGGTATTGATATATTCGTCCAATACTGACCGGTTTATTGTTTTTGTTACGAAATTTAGGGTCTTGAAGGTGGCGAGAACCAGAACCATTTGGTGGCAACACCGGTTCTTCCGCAGTTAGGAACAGAGATAACCGGTTTAGACGACGCGAGTTTCAACAAAGTCGGCAAACTATCCGCTGAGCAGAGGAAAGAGAAGATTCATAGGTACATGAAGAAGAGAAACGAGAGGAATTTCAGCAAGAAAATTAAGGTCTCTCTGTGCTTAAACATCGTTAACCGGATTAAATATTGGTTATCGATATACCGAATTATTAAAGAAAAAGTTTGTTTATATAGTATGCATGTAGGAAGACATTGGCAGATAGCCGTCCAAGAGTTAGAGGACGATTCGCAAAGAACGATGAGTTTTGTGAACCAAACAGACAAGCTTCTTCAAGCCATCACGAAGACGAAGATGATGATGTATAAATCAATCTGGTTCGATTACGTTTGGTTTGATATTATTATTATTAACCGTTTTAACCCGGGATTCGGTTTGCAGGTGGGAGTAAAGGAAGAAGAGCAGTTGGTTGATTCTTCGGACATATTTTCACACATAAGTGGTGTCAACTCTTTCAAGTGCAATTATCCAATCCAGTCGTGGATTTGAGTTGATTAGTTACATGGTCTTATAATCCCCAAAATAGTATTTTTATAGAGGTCGTATATGTATGTTTACTAACTAGTACGTATTTTAGGCCATGAAGCTTAATTACTGTATTTTTTCGGAAAAATTTAGAACATAAGAAAAGAGAGAGAGATGAATAATGGGTTTAGGCAGGTCATTATTGAATAAAGTTGTAGTGAGGGAGAGGGTTAAGTTTATGTTACATAGAACATTACAAAATTTTGTAGATATATAACTATGAAAAGTATGGTATGATTTGTATGATGTCTATTGTATTTGATGGGTGTTGTATAGTAGTAATATATAACTAATGCTATTTAAAAATAATGTGAGTGTGTTATTTTATTTTTATCTTTAAAAAGAGAAGAAAAACATATGTGGTTGACCGTTGACCTTGAAGTCCTTCACATGTTCTTTTATATATGGGTGATATTGTTCAATACCAATGAAAACTTTCAAAATTAAGTTTCTACCAGTGACTATTTTTAAATTAAGTAGTTAGAAAAGAAAAATAATAATTAAATCTTTAATATCTTTTTTCATTTTATTTATCTACAAAAATGTCATTGATTTGAAAGTATTAATTATTCACCAGTTGATATATACTTGATACTGTTTATGGATCGGCTACATTGTTCATATATAAAATCGTTACATTATATGGTTTTGTTATCAATGAATTACAGCACTAGTTGATGCCCCCAACATTAGGAGGCGAAGAACTTATGTCACTAATCGTTTTACTTACGGTTTTTAGAGTTGCATATGGAGTAATTACAACTAAATGGCATATGAATGTTTCGATGAGTAATTAAAACAGTGAAAAGGATTCTTCCTTTGTAGAATGAAAGAAAGCGCTCAAATAAGATTCGAGAAGATGGGATTAACAAAGTAAAAGAAAAAGGTTCAAATTTTTATATTACCATAATATGTCATTTTGGAAATATTTCCACACCGTATATTATACATTAAAATACTAACAATTTTTTCCACGCTAACATTAATTAAACTTAAACGGTAAAAGATTAAGATTTTTTTTAAGAAATACATTTTTTTGAAGTGTAAATTTTCAATATTGTGATAATTTTTTTTCTAATTTTAATATATATGTTTGGGTTCACTAACCCTAGGTTAAAGTTTAGATTTGGGATTTAGGGTTTAGATTTAAGGGTTCAATGTTAGATTTTAGGGTTTTGGGTTTCTATTTTAGGGTTTAGAATTCTTCTACTTAATAGAAAAAGTGTAGTTTTGAAAATGGACACTATAGATATGTATTTTTGAAAATTGACACTTCAAAAGTGTAGTTTTGAAATTTCCCCTAAAATTTAACACTATATTTAGCTATTTGTATTATTCTCCGCTTTTAATCTTCTGCATTTTTTTTTATTGTTGCCTCTAGATAAGTGCTTATTTAGTACAAGCTTCACCTGAAACCCACAAATAAACTATAAACCGACAAAACTTGTAATCCATGCTTAACATGAAATGTTTTGAAACCTGAAATCCATACAAAAAGAGAAAGAACTTTAAACCCAAAAAAGGAAATAAAACATAGTTCGTACCACATAAACATTGCCGGAAGTTAGAAGAACATTGCTAGAGGTTGGAGGAGCATTGCCGGAGGTTGGAGGATCGGTGGTGGACGATGTGCCAGACATGATGATTAAAAAGTTATCACATGCCCATGCAAAAGTCGATTGTACACACATTTAGGATTTATATGATCATCATATACAAAATATTTATGTAGACAAAATTACCGAAGCGACGACAATCATTAGTAGTTAATTTGTTTCATTTTCATACTTATAGAAAATGAAATTTTAGAAATACCTTCTATAAACAGCTCCAAGTCATTGAACCTAGTAAGAATTTCCAAGATGCATAGTTTGGATTTCGTAAGATGATTGACAAGGGGATATTTGAGATATTTGAGAAGCTTCTAAACATATGGCTAGTCACACCGAATTTATATGAGACTGTTCAAGGGGATATATGTAAAGAACGTGGCAAAACATACAGAATCCCAATGGCATCTGGACATCTCCCGTGAAAAATGTATAAATAACCAAATAGTCGTAGTTGAATGTCCTAACAAAGTCAGGAAATAAAATAAACATTGCTAGCAAAATTCTTAAACTTTGTTTGATCTTATACAATCGACACAATTAAGTTTCTCAGTCTGTAACCGTATCAACACCCTCTTATTGAATTGATGGTGAAAAGTGAAAAGACTTTGACTAGAGGAAAATGTCTAAATAACCAAAGACTTGAATGTTATACATATTGTCAGAATATAAAATAAACTTTGCTTCCAAAATTCTCAAACTTTAGAAAGATAGATCAAATCGAATTAGTACACGATTCCATATGGGAAAGCAAACAAGCAATCAACAAACAAGAAACAATGATAAGGCTGAAGAATATTTAGGGTCCGTATGAAATGGAGCAAATGCCAGCGTTCAAGCAATAAAGCATATCTAATCGTATAAAAATCTACCTCTCTGTAAACCACTTTCCTAAGTAAAAATCAAGTTTTAATGAAAATGACGTTCAAAAAAAAAAAAAAAAGTCTATCTGAGTTAAAATTTCTTGTTTCGCAAGAAAACCTGTACCAAGAAGCTTTTTATGCAAGCCTTTAACGTATATGTTCAAAAACCAAAATAAACATATTTACTCGCTTGTCTCAAGCTAACTCGATCTTACCTTGTTGCTGTTATTTTGTAGGATGAGATCACAAGCCCACTCACGGAACAAATCTACCTCTCTGCGATCCACAGCTATTTCAAGAAGCCTTTAAATCAAGCTTCTGAAGTGACATCTGCTTCAAACTTTTGCGGCTATGTCGAAAATAGCAGCAACAACAACAATAACTTTCCAGACAAGTCCAACAGCGGTTCCAATCAAGATCATGAAGACAGCACTATCAACAACGACAACGCAGATTTGTCGATCATATTCGATTCACAAGACGATTTCGATAACGATATCACAGCTTCAATCAATTTCTCTTCATCAATCCAATTTCCAGTCTCAGATCAACTCCAAGATCAGTTTGATTTCACCGGAGTTCAACTTCACCAGCCTCCGAACATTCTCTACTCTTCCTCCTCCGGTGATCCTCTGCCTCCGCCTTTATCGGCTTTCGAAGAGGATTGTCTTTCTTCCGTCCCAAGTTACAATCTTGGCTCCCTAAACCCTACTTCTCCTTCTTGCTCTTTCTTGCTCTCTCTTCATCAATCATGGCCGTAACCGGGAATATGATGAACACCGGTTTATCCATTGAAAGATCCGGTTTTTACACCGGTATCCATTTTGGTTCTGATTTCAAACCATCACATGATCAATTGATGGAGATCCAGGCTGACAACGGTGGAATGTTCTGCACCGATTCGATTAAACCCATCTTTAACCCAGCAGATCATCTTCAGGTTTAAATTCCAATTTTTTTTTTTTTGCAATTCCGTTAACTAGTTCCAGTTTTCTATTATCCACACATAAGTGGTGTCATGTTTTCACACATAAGTGGTGTCAAACTCTTTCAAGTGCAATTATCCAATCCAGTATTGGATTTGAGTTGATTAGTTACATGGTCTTATAATCCCAATAAAATATGCATATATTAAATAGTGTATACACACATTTGGATTCAATTAGCTAGCTGGACTGCATAAATTCGTATGGAATGTTTTTAAGGAAAAAACAAATGTTTTTATGTGAATTTTTGTTTATAGACTATAGTCAACAACAGAAAAGATCAAGATCAGAGATATCTCCTACTTCTATCTGCATAGTCTACAAGACTACATTAATGATTACGTGGGCCACCACCTACATATTCATTTGTAGAATGATAGGAAGAAGAAGATGAGACTATTAACATAAATATTTCAAGAACTTTTCAAGATGAGACTCTCTCCATCTTCTTCTCTGAACGGCGGTCTTGGATCGGCTTCTTTGTGGGCTTTGTGGTCTCATCGAAACCAACACAACACACAAAACTTGCACTTTCTGAACCAAATACTTAAGAAGATATCTATAGGGAAATCAAGAGAAAATGAAAACGAGAATAATGATATGAAAAAGATTGAAATCAAAGGTATACCAGACCGCTGGTTTAGTATGGACAAAGATGAGTTTCGCTTTGAGTTGATGTTCATATGGTCCTTTCTACCTCTAATTCATATTTCCGTCTCAAGCCTAGTTGGCTATAACCACTCTGTTTACAATGATTTTAAAAGTCTTTTTGACTTTGTAGTTGAATCTCATAAGTCAAAACAAAGTCAGGAGATAAAATAATCATTGCTAGCAAAATTCTTAAACTTGTTTGATCTTATACAATCGACGCAATTAAGTTTCTCAGTCTGTAACCGTATCAACACCACAACACCCTCTTATTGAATTGATTGGTAAAAAATGGAAAGACTTTGACTAGAGGAAAATGTCTAAATAACCAAAGAGTTGAATGTTATACATATTGTCAGAATATAAAATAAACGTTGCTCCCAAAATTCTCGAACTTTAGAAAGATAGATCAAAGGGATCCACTAGTGATTGCTCTTTCTCTTTAGACGATGGCATTGGCAGCACTAGCAATCCTCGGCCAGAGATCGGCGCATTCTTTTCCAATAGGACCGGTGATTGCAGAACCTGATAAACCAACAACACACAAAGCAACAATTTCTGGTAAGAGATTGATCCGAGAGAAACTATCATATGTCAAAAACAATAACAGCTGATTTCTGACTGCTAAGATGAGCAAGTATGGAACAGTACCTTTCATTTCTCCCTTGGGGTTGACGATGACTCCAGCATTATCTGTCCAATGAACAAAAAAAGACCACACCGAATTAGTATTTCTTTTCATACACACGATTCCAAATGAGAAAGCAAACAAACAACCAATTAACTAACAAGAAACAATGATCAAGTTGAGAATATTTAGGGTCCATATGGAGCAAATGCCAGCGTTCAAGCAATAAAGCATCTGTAACGAAGGACACAATTAAGTTTCCCAGTCTTGTAACCGTATCAACACCCTCTTAATGTGTCGGTGAATACTTGACTTAAGACTGGATAGTATGAATCGCAGGAAATACAGTGAATGACTAAAACCATAACAACAATCTTGGGGAATAGCAATAAAACAAATCACAGAATCAGTAATGCAGTTAACAAGAAAAAAAACAATTGTTCAAAAATAAACGAAATATCGAGTTCAAATGGAGCAGATACAAGCATTAAAGCATTAGAGTATCAGTAACGATAGAACACAGTAAAGTCTACCAGAATTGTTTTGTATTAATCACCCTCTAATTACGTCGGTGGTTACATGACACAAACACTGGAAAATTGTATGAAATTCATTACTTAAAGCCTGGTGAGAAACTATGCAATCGAAACTAAGAGAGAAAAAGTAATAACCTTCGAAGTACATGAAGACACCATCCTTTCGGCGCCACGGTTTGCGCTGCCTAACGATGACGGCGGGAAGAACCTTTTTCCGAAGATCGGGTTTACCCTTTTTGACGGTGGCCATCACCATGTCGCCGACACAGGCAGAAGGTAATCGATTGAGACGACCCTTGATTCCTTTCACCGAAATGATGTAAAGGTTCTTAGCGCCGGTGTTATCGGCACAGTTCACCGTCGCCGCCACGGGAAGACCCAGCGACATCCGGAACTTGTTACCAGACGTACCTCCTCGTCCTGGTCAACATCAAAATCAACGAAAACACAATTAATGCTACGGTGAAGAAATTGAAACTAATTTAGATCTAGTAGCTTAATTAATAGGTAGAATACTTTATACGACGAAGAAGTACGAACCTCGTTTCGACATTTTTGACGGCTTCAACAGAATCTGGAGGTAAACTGAGATAGCTTCCGGCTTAATTTATAGTGACGCATACTTCTAGGGTTTACACTTGTCTGAAAGGAAGAAAAAGACAAAATGTGTGTTTAAGGCTCAAATTATCTCAGGCCCATCAAAGCTCACAAAGAATTGTATATTTGTATTAAAGGGTCCTTTTAGTTCTCCGTTTGATTAATCACGTCGGAAAACTAGGATAATTTTGCATTTTAAAATAAAAGGTACAACTCAAAAAGGCAAGGTTCTTTTTATACCAAAGATTGAAATCAAAGGTATACCGGACCGCTGGTTTAGTATGGACAAAGATGAGTTTCGGTATGAGTTGATGTTTATGGACCAGAGTGAGAGCGTCATGCACTGGCAGACTTGAGTGTTCATATCCTTCCTTTTTACCTTTAATGCATGCATATGCTTCTTCTATTTTTTAAGGAATTTTCCCAACGTTTATTTTTTGAATGATTTTTTTTTTTATAGGAGACAATCAAGCCTTTTGTGTCAATACTGGATTTTTGTGAGGCAATTGAAAGGAAGGAACCAAGGAAATCAGCAAGGCCTAATTTCTTACAATTATATCCATCTCTCTCAAATCATTATAATTTTGAATATGCTGGATTCTGTTATTAACATAATCAAGTTAGATTTTTGTTTTTATTTTCGTTGTGCATGTTGGATAGAATTTAGATTTGGATTTTGGGACAAGTTACTCGGAATAGGAGTTTTGCTAATTCTGGTTATTTTCATGAGTCCTCCTGATTTTTCTCACATCCTCTCTCCTTCCTTAGCACCGAGAGATTTGCTGTCGTTTAGCTTCTTCCAACTCGTCTCTCCACCTCCTCATTTCTCTCTGTTTTTCTTCTTCTTCTTTCTGTCTCTCATTTTTTTTCCCCCTTATTAATCCCAAGAACTCACTCTCTCTCCTCATCTCATAACCCCGTCTGGTCTTTTTTTTCTCTCTTATCCTTCCTGCCTCCCCTCCGCGATGGCTCGTCATTCACGGAGGGAGTCCTTTTCCGACATGGCCGCCTCTGTGGTTTGTCCTGACACTGACCTTCTCTGGCCATTCGGGAAGCTTGATGGGCTTGATCGGGATGAAATCCGCCAGACCGCGTATGAGATCTTTTTCGCCGCCTGTCGGTCATCACCCGGGTTTGGAGGCAGAACCGCTCTCACGTTCTACTCGAAGCATAATGGTGGCGATCATCAAGGAGATGGAATAGGAGGAGGAGGATCCGGGTCGCCTAACGGGTCCGGATTCGGGTCTTTAGGGAGGAAAGAAGTTGTAACGACACCAACAAGCCGAGTGAAACGAGCGTTAGGGTTAAAGATGCTTAAAAGATCTCCGTCTAGGCGAATGTCGACGTTAGGGACAGCTGCAGGAGCCGCGTCAGCTCCATCTTCTCCTGGAAATGGAAGCATTGGAGGTGGTTCTTCAGGTCACATTAGCCCCGGGGCTGGTTTCTTGACCGTCCCGGCTTCTCGGCCTAGACGACCGTTAACATCTGCGGAAATCATGAGGCAACAAATGAGGGTCACGGAACAGAATGACACACGGCTTCGGAAAACCCTAACGAGGACGCTTGTTGGTCAAGTAAGCTCCTCTGTTTTCTCCATTATGAATAAAACAATGCTTCTAGAGTAACTACAGAAAGTAAATGTTTTTTTTTAACGTTTATTCTCCAGAGTGGTAGGCGTGCAGAGACAATAATCCTTCCGTTAGAGCTTCTCCGGCACGTGAAAATATCGGAGTTCGGTGACGTGCATGAGTATCAGATTTGGCAAAGACGACAACTTAAAGTCCTTGAAGCTGGTCTTCTCCTTCACCCATCAATCCCTCTCGATAAGACCAACAATTTCGCAATGCGGCTCCGAGAAATCATCCGTCAGAGCGAAACAAAACCCATCGACACTGGAAAAACCTCAGAGACAGTGCCGACACTTTGTAACCTTGTGGTTTCTTTAGCATGTCGCAACGCCAACCAACCCACAGACACATGCCATTGGGCCGATGGATACCCTCTTAACATTCATCTCTACGTGGCGCTTTTACAGTCGATATTCGACATACGTGATGAGACTTTGGTTCTTGATGAGATCGATGAGCTCTTGGAACTTATGAAGAAGACATGGACAATGTTGGGGATCACACGGCCCATGCATAACTTGTGTTTCACTTGGGTTTTATTCCACCAATACATTGTGACATCTCAGATGGAGCCAGACTTGCTTGGTGCCTCTCATGCCATGTTAGCTGAAGTTGCCAACGATGCTAAAAAGTCTGATCGAGAGGCTCTCTACGTGAAACTCTTGACCTCCACATTGGCCTCTATGCAAGGATGGACCGAGAAAAGGTATTAGTCCTTTTTTGCCTTATAATGGACTTCATGAGACAAAACTTATAAATCAAATGTCATATTTTCTAAATCGGATTGTGACGTTGTGGTTATAGGTTGTTGAGTTATCACGATTATTTCAACCGAGGGAACGTTGGATTGATAGAGAATCTTCTACCATTGGCCTTGTCTTCGTCTAAGATTTTGGGGGAAGACGTGACAATCTCTCAAGGGAACAGTCAAGAGAAAGGTGATGTGACATTGGTGGATTCTTCAGGGGATCGCGTCGATTACTATATCAGAGCCTCTATTAAAAACGCCTTCACAAAGGTGACTGAAAGCATGAAGACCAAATTGGCAGCAACAGAGGAAGGAGAAGAAGCGGCACAAGTGTTGCTTCAACTGGCTAACGAGACAGAGGAGATGGCTTTGCATGAGCGCGAATGTTTTAGCCCGATTCTTAAGAGATGGCACACGGTTGCAGCTGGTGTCGCCTCGGTTTCGCTTCACCAATGCTATGGTTCGATACTAATGCAATACCTAGTTGGTCGGTCGACTATCACTAAGGATACTGTCCAAGTTCTGCTAATGGCGGGGAAGCTCGAGAAGGTTCTTGTGCAGATGGTGGCTGAAGATTCAGAGGAATGTGAAGATGGAGGGAAAGGTCTTGTAAGAGAGATGGTTCCTTATGAAGTCGAATCGATTATACTTCGGCTTTTGAAGCAGTGGATCGAAGAGAAGTTGAAGACAGTTCAAGAATGTTTGAGCAGAGCAAAAGAAGCTGAAGTAAGTTTTATTGTCCAAGCTTTACTTGCGTTTCAAGTATACACACATTGTTCATTTTGTTTAATTTGTTTTTGTTCTCTCTGTAGACATGGAACCCTAAATCAAAATCAGAACCCTATGCACAATCTGCTGGAGAGTTGATGAAGCTTGCGAATGATACCATCGATGAGTTCTTCGAGATTCCGATTGGGATAACTGAAGATCTTGTTCATGATCTCGCTGAAGGATTAGAACAACTCTTCCAAGAATACACCACGTTCGTTGCATCTTGTGGTAAGTAGAGAATTGAAAGCATAAAATGGTATATACGTCATTTTATAAGAACCTATTGTGATGATGACTCTGTTTTTCATTTGCCAGGTTCAAAACAGAGTTACATTCCTACGCTTCCTCCTCTTACAAGGTGTAACAGAGACTCCAAATTCGTGAAGCTTTGGAAGAGAGCAGCACCGTGTTCCGCATCCTCCATAGAACATCTTAGCGACCTCGGTGGTTCCATGGCTATCACCTCCGATGGCCACCACCCGCGTCCATCCACAAGCCGCGGGACACAACGCCTCTACATTCGTCTCAATACTCTACATTTCCTAAGCTCTCAGATTCACTCCCTCAACAAAGCCCTCTCTCTCAACCCAAGGATCCTCCCAGCGACCCGAAAACGCAACCGCGAACGGACCAACTCCTCTTCCTACTTCGACTTCACGCACACGGGAATCGAATCTGCTTGTCAACACGTCTCCGAAGTCGCAGCGTACCGGTTAATCTTCCTCGACTCGTACTCGGTCTTCTACGAGAGCCTCTACATCGGAGACGTCGCGAACGCGAGGATCAAACCGGCGTTGAGGATCTTGAAACAGAACTTAACGTTGATGACCGCAATTCTCGCGGATCGAGCGCAAGCACTAGCGATGAGGGAAGTCATGAAGGCTTCGTTCGAAGTGGTTTTGACGGTTCTGCTCGCGGGAGGGCATTCACGAGTTTTCTACCGGACGGATCACGATCTGATCGAGGAAGATTTCGAGAGCTTGAAGAAGGTTTACTGCACTTGCGGGGAAGGGCTGATCCCGGAGGAGGTGGTGGATCGGGAGGCAGAGACGGTGGAGGGAGTGATTACGCTGATGGGACAACCGACGGAACAGCTTATGGAAGATTTTAGCATCGTGACGTGCGAGTCAAGCGGGATGGGATTGGTCGGAACGGGGCAGAAACTTCCGATGCCTCCAACGACAGGACGATGGAACAGGTCGGATCCGAACACGATCTTGCGAGTGCTTTGCTATAGAAACGATCGTGTTGCTAATCAGTTTTTGAAAAAATCGTTCCAATTGGGTAAACGAAGATAACACCAGAACAAAAAGATAAGATTGTCGTGTTGATAAGATCATAAGACGTGATCGTTGTGTATTATTATGAGTTTTGTGACGAAGATTTAAAAGACAAAAAAATACTCGTTTGCTACTTGCTTGTATAGTAGATCTTGTCAGATAAATAGAAAACGTTTTGTATCAAATTCCTTGGTTATGATTCAAATTCACCCTATAACTCTGTTGGCCCAGTTTGATTTAGACATTTAAAACCGGTTTGGAGATAACCAAGTTAGCAGCGTGCTTAAACGACGCCGTAGGCTCTCTCCTCCTCTGTCTCTTTGATTCCATTGACATTTTAAACTCTGAGAAAAAAAGGCGACGCAAGGGCCTTGGCTTCGGATTGCTTCCATTTCTCCGCCGAAATCAGTCGCTAAGGCGATGGTTTTGTCACCTCTCAACTCAGCGGCGTAAGAATCTCACGTATTGGTACTTCCGGCGACGCCATCAATTGTATAGCCGTACATTGGGCTCCCTCAATCCAGCCCATCGTTGCTCGTACGCTTCTCTGAATTCTTCTTCCGCCTTCATTTTATTAGGGTTAAGAAGCTGTAGGGAAAATCTGCGGCATTTCACTATTGATTAACTTCGTGTCATAAAGTTTGATTTTTTTGGCTTGCTTACTTCCTGTCTAAAACTAACTAGAATTCACCAATGCTTCAATTCCTGCAACGAAATTTCCGGACTTGAAGTGAACAATCACAAAAGCGATCGTGAATGCTGCAGAAGGAGTTTATGAAAGATATCAGTTGCTCATATGGTTTGATCTCTGTTTCTTTGAGTTTGTACTTGTTACCATCTTAAACATTTGCTTTTTCTCTCTCTCTCTGTGGCGCATTGTTTGAAAGAATTTGGTGTTTTCATGTCAGGTAGAATCTGCCCTTTTACTGGGAAGAAAGCAAACAGAGTATCCTTCTCTAACCACAGGACCAACAAGTTGCAATTCGTCAACTTGCAATACAAAGAAAGTTTGGTGGGAAGCTGGGAAACGTCTTGTTCAAACTACGCTTATCAACAACCATAGAGACAAACGGGCTCGATGCTGTTGCCAAGAAAGCTGCCATTGATCTTCGTAAGAAATAGAAAATGAGGTATATGTACATTATTCTTCTGTTTTAGTCCATCTTTAACATCGCCAAACTTATATGAAAATTTAAAAATGAGTTTTTTTTTCCCTAACTAGAACCATTCAATGATCATTGTTTCAACGAGAACTGCAACTAGAATCTCTCCTATGATTTTATCACTCCTCTGGTGCTTAATCATCCTCTTTGTGAAACAAACATGTTTTTTTCCTCTATGGAACAGTCAAGAAAGCCGAGACTATTCTCATTTCTCATACATACACACACGCAAACACAGGTGACTAAAACCATTCTCTCTTTTAGTCTTTGTCGCTGGTATTATCATTAGAGTTATCGACTACTGATTCAACAACAGAGTTCTCTGGTTTTGCTCTCGTCTTCTTCATTGACAGCTCTCCACCTCCTCCTCCTGACCCTTTCGCCTTCCTATGACGTGATGTAGACTTTCTAGTGTGAGCAATAGAACCACCACCGTCTGAGTGAGGGTAAGAGCCTTCCAAATCAGTAACCGCCACAACACGCCTCCTCCTGCTGACCGACGGATCATTCGACGAGTCCATCGACCCGTGCCTGCTCCTGTGGTGACGTCTCGAGGGTCTAGGTTGCAGATCTGACGATGACACGTTGCTGCTTCGTCTTGGAGGAGAACCGTTTTGGGAGGCCGTCTCGGATTTGCGCCTCGTCTTCTTGTGCTTTGGTTTCTCTGGAGGAGGCAACAGCTCTTGTAAACCAACTCCTTCTCCTACTTGATTGTTGTTGGCATCTCCTCGGGAAACTACTTGACCATTCTCGTTTTCTTGAGGTTTGAAGTCACTCATCTACATGGACCATGGTTTGTTTCCAAACAAGAGTGATGAGTATACGTATACGTGTATGTGCGGAAATATACGTAGAAATGTAGAAACCGTACCCAGCTTGGCGCATTGGCTGCGGGACCGTCGGATCCGATGTGGGCGACATGCTTTACATCGGTGGGAAACCCGATCTGCATTCCATGCTGGTCTTTGTCTTCGTCTGCAGTTAGGTTTTATTGTTTAGAGATGTAGCTTGTATTACAAGAAAAGTCAAAATATTGATTAGTGATCAGAGAGACTCACCGAAAATCTGAGTAATGTAGCGAAGGCCTTTAAGAAGGCCTTTCACGGTTGTCCCCATCTCGGGAGGAATGGTTTCCGGTTAGAACTTGAGATGCTGCGATTCTGTGACTAAGCCAAGCCCTAACTTGTAGATCAAACAAAACGAACAAATCAACGGTTTTGCCACAGATTAGCATGTCTGTAAAATCATGTAAAATGTTCGGACTAGACAGATAAAGAATCTACCGATATTAGAAGATTCAAACCTTGATCGCGTTGATTTTCATTCTCTTAACTGAGAGATGATGAAAGAAAAAATTTGGAGATCGAGATGCAGAGAGAGAGAGATTAGGTTTCAAACAAACTCTTGGTTGAGAAGAAGAGGGAGAAGCACTAAATTTTATTTACCCAAAAAAAACAAAAAACTTTTTCAAGGTTTCGATTTTCACTGTTTATATATATTTGTATAAATAGACTTTTTTCTATTTTAATGGAGGCAACATAGAGTTTACTCGATCCTCCTCCATGTGTAAATAAAAACTAGTCGACGAGAGGCTTTTCCGGGTCGAGAAGAAGGAGACCAAGACCACTAACACACAAATATAACAGAGATCACCCATTTTGGATAAACGTTTTCTATAATGAAAAAAATTGTAACTGGAAAATGGTTTGGGATTTCATGAAGATCCATCATATGGGAATAGGACGATCAAGAGGAAATATCTAAAACAAAAGTGAAAGTTGAAAATAACGAAAATAAGTTTTGTTTTTTTTTGGAGAACGAGAAAATGATAGGATATATCATAGCAAAATATAAATTTTATTCTCTAAAGAAAAAAAAATTACATAGTACTAATCTGAAGAAAAAGAAAAAGAAAAAGAAAACAACAACAACATCATCAACTACAACAAACTATAACAAAAACAGAATAATGCTTCTTAAGAACCCTAATTTCTCCAATCACAAGAATCATATTCTGTTTGTATTATATCTAACTCTTCTAAGACTAAGAGTCACATCCTTCAGTCACAGCCTTAATGTCAAGTCGATGGAACTCGAGATGGCTCCGCTGTTCCTCGTCACGGTATCCACCGATCTCCGTTGCTCCAGCTGGCGAAGAAGCGGCAACGTCTGAACACTTTCCGATGACTTCTCCGGAAAAAGATCCATCAGCTTCGGCTTCTGCTGTTGTCCAGACGAAGAGTTAGTTTTCCTGGCCGGAGCAATGGTTGGAGATCTTTTATGAAACCTCCCTTCTTCATCTATATAACCACTACGGTAATAATTCACCGGAAAAGCAGGATTAGGGTTTCGGTTTAGGTTTGGGTAGTAGCGGAAGGTGGTCGGTGCTGCCGCGGCGGAGGAAGAGAGGGTGGAGAAATGGTGTACGTGACTGGAATGAAAAGAGTTGAAGTGCAAGATCAGGTCGTTGTGTGTCATGAAGATTCGGTGACAAATCGAACACTCGTGGGGTTTTGAAAATCGCATGACATCCTTTTTCATGCCAAAACCACCATTCATTTTCGACAGTTTTTTTTTATGTATTTATCAGTGAAGATGTAAGAGATTGAGATTTAGAGGGAGAGATAACAATATGATGAAATGGAGAAGCCAAGGCACATCTATTTATATACAAATTTTACGAGTGAAAAAAGAAAGAAATGATGCCAGCTATTTGAGGAAATATGTTTCCATATGTGTTAATTTTGTCTTAATTTGATATGATAATTATGATGAGGATGGATTTGAGTTGTCATGTCAACTATGCATGAATTTATTATCAGTATTTTAAAGAAAACTTTTCTTCTGTAATAGAAAAGAATATTGTATACATAGATATATCTAATCATATAAAGAAGTCAAACATTCTAAGAAAAGTTTATAAGGTAGGATGACTTAAATGCTAATAAAATTTTATGAATGATGAATGAATGTTCTAATTTTGGGAAGGATGATTATTTGTGAGCAACTAAATCCAACACTTGTGAGCAACTAAATCCAACACTTTTGGGAATTTCAAAAAACTTTTGTTTTCTTTTGTTTCTTTTAAGGGAATACATTTCTTGCTCCATCTTAAAAACAAATTAGGGAAAAAATCATAAGTAGCTATAGATATTGTTTGATTTTTCGTAAATATTTTAAAACTGTATTCTTTCGTTTCTGGTCTTCCATGTGGATTGTTCCATATATGATGCTAATTAACTATCCCAAACTTGTTTGTCATAACGATTCATCTTTATATGGAAATTAGCAATTGACTAGATAGGTAAAACTTCATGAAATTGGTATAGCTAGATTTATCAGATTAAGTTTGCTATAAAGCTAATAAGTGAGTACATAAGTCAGTGGAGTAAAACACATGTACATGAGATTCTGTTCCACAGACAAAGATTTGTTTCTATGAATGTCATAAATTTATAATACTAAAATATAATGACACCAAGTTTTTATAGTTTTATATTTAATTTAATCACTATAAGTAAGAAGTGAAAGGTAAAAGGTACAAACATGTTTCCAATTTCTGTATATGATGAATCAGAGAAAAGGATAAAGACGAACTAATCAAGCAGAATAAGTAAAGCTGACTATTCATGTGCTTAATCGGCTAATAAAACCATAGTCACATATACAGACTTTTTTATCAGTGTAAAAAAAATCTAGAATCTTTGAATAGGTTGAATACTTAAATCTGTTAAAAATTAAGGAAATAATAATCCAGTTTGAATAGATCCACTTTTAAGAGTTCAGACTTCAGACACATTAAACGCAGACAATTGGAAATCAATTTAATAGCGTAAAACTGTAAGATACATGGAGTATAATTTTTGTAATAATAATGAACAACACTGATATAACCAAGTTAAAAAGCATATTTGTTTGATCACATTCTATCTTTTTATACTTGTTTCGTTCTTAACAATACAGTAATTTCTCAAACAGAGACGATAACTGTGATGATCCAACCGTCAACTTGGCGAATAGCAAATCCAGAGAGTCAGTCACTGCCTCTTCCCGTTACCGATGGTGAGGAGCTCGAGACTCGGGAACGTAATGTCACGAGTAGTTCTAGCCGGTGCAGCCTTTGTGGCTAAAGAGGAGGACGAAGGAGCGAAGTGGGTCCTCTGAGTTGTAGAGGACCGGGCGTTGTTTGGGACGAGTCTGCTCGACCGATTCTCTGTGAAATCAGCAGAGGCAGTGGCTCGAACACTTGATCCAGCTACTGCTTTTCTTGAAGAACTCTGGTTCCTAGATGAAGTGACTGGTCTCTCCTGGTTTTGCTGATTCAATAGGAGAAAAGAAGAAGCTTCTTTTGTGTGAGTCCATAGTTCAAAGTCAAACAATACAGAGTAGGGTTTTGAAGCAGGTACATGATGACTAACCGTGTCTCTCGATGCAAGAACATTCTCTGAGGTTCTAGGTCTACTAGACCGATCAGCTTGAACGCCCGTTCCCGAGCCATTTCTTCTCGTGTATGCCTCGAAAACGCCTGCGAATCTATCGCGTGTGTCTTGTCCAGCTGTGCATTATTCATAGAACATAGTGTTTGTTAATCTCTGAGTTTCTTCAACAACTACCTCTTTAAGAGTTTAGACAAGAGATGCTTACTTGAAGGCTTTTCCGCTTTCTCGGCAGATGGTAGTGGAATATTCAGAGTCGGTCTAAGGCTTGGCTATAAGAAACAGAGGAAAAGCGCGTGAGGAGCTTGCTACTCTTAAGCGCTTATGCAGTCTGCACATATATAGCTTAAGAATGGTGGACTTACCCTTGGTTTTGAAGTGGAACTGGAGCCTAACTGTGGATACATCAAAGTCGTCCAATCGAATACATAGTCAAACTGATAACCTGCACAAATAGGAATCAAAGCATTTTCTTGGTTAAATACTTCAAACATAAGCACATCATAGTAAGTAACTTGGACAGTTTCACAACCTTCTCGGATGAATAGTTCTCTGAAAAGCCGCTTTAGGTATGAGTAATCTGGTTTGTCTTCAAACCGTAATGATCGCACATAGAGGAAATACGATGTGAACTCAGGTGGAAAGTTTTTACAGAGGACCTGCCAAAGAAGATTTCACTCATGGAACGGTCTAAAACCTTTAAGAATAAATAGCATTTACTGGAGAGGGAATCAATACCTCAACTGGTGTCAGTCTTTTCTTTTCACTGATCTTGTCATACTTCTGCTTTTTGGTACCTGCACGAAGGCCTTGCCAAGGTAGGCTGTAAAAGAAATTATGAATTAGGGACAACAACGATAAATACACAAGGAATAAACAGAAATGTAGAGATTTATCATTATACCTTCCTCGAAGAAAATACATAAGCACATAGCCAAGAGATTCCAGATCATCCCTCCTACTTTGCTCTGCGTACGAATCAATTAAGAAACTGATTAATTGGCAAGTCATGCAATTTGATGCACAGAAGACAACTTCCACTTGCAAACATGAGAAGCAAGAAAACAAAACTCACCAATTCCAAGATGGGTGTTAACACTTGCGTATCGAGCTGTTCCTGTAAGATTCTTGTTTTCCCTAAGAATGTAACTCTCCGGATTAGCAAAGTGAAAGATAACAAAAAGAGCTTTGGCAGTTGCAAACTGACACATACTATGGCAATGCACGTTGTGAGTTAAACATGGGCTCGATTCTTTCTACATGAGAAGGAAAAATGTGTACCTGTAGGGAATATGCTTGTGTGTTTGAAGATCTCTGTACTTTTTCGCAAGCCCATAGTCAATGATGTACACCTGCAAACAAATATGTATTAAAGAGAGGATGAACAAATTCTGAAGCTCTAAAAAAAACTAAAGTCTTAATATGAAAACTCACCTGGTTTGCTTTGCGTCCAATACCCATCAAAAAGTTGTCTGGCTTAATATCACGATGAAGAAAGCCTCGTACATGCATATACTCGACTCTGTTTATCTAGCGAAATTTAAAAAAAATAGAAACCAAAAGTGTAAGCACATGAAATGTAATCAGACATAGAAATAGCAAACGGAAGGAAAACAGTGTAGTATACCATCTGATCTGCGAGCATAAGAACTGTCTTTAGAGAGAAAGATCGATTGCAAAAGTTGAAGAATTCCTCCATGCTACGACCGAGAAGGTCGATCACCATACAGTTGAACTCACCCTCAACCCCAAACCATTTCAGGTGAGGAATACCAGCTTCAGGTAAACATATTAATAAAAAATCAGTGAAAAGTAAGAAGAATGTGAGAGCTCATGTCAAGAGCGAACACTCAATGCAAAACCTACTTCCTCCTTGGAGAAGCATATAGAGCTTTGACTCGTAATGAAGCTGAGGATGCCTCGCTCGAAGAGGTTCCTGCGTGTGAAGACGCAAATATCAACACACAAGGATGAGAAACATTGTCGAGAGCTAAACGTGCTAATCATTGAGATAATAACACTGTGATGAAGAGGGAAAATGGTTGGAATAGAAACTTACGAGCTTAACAGCAACTTCTTCTCCAGTTTGTACATTCACTCCTGCAACAAAACCAATTCAGAATACAAAGTTAGAAAAAGCAAAGACATAGACAAGAAATTAAAAAACCCAGAAATGAAAAAAAAGAAGTGAATACCTAGAAAAATTTCACCAAATGATCCGCTACCAAGCTTTCGTCCCAGCTTGAACTTGCCACCAACCACACGATCCATTTTCTCTATCTCCAATATAAGTAACCTTTTTTTCTTCTATGAATTAAATCCCAAATTCAATTCAAATGTTTATTGGTGATAAGAACTCAGTAGTCTAGTGAGCTCGATCTCTGAAATTACTTTCCCCCCAGATCTCCAATCGCGATCGCTAAAATCCGATCGAATGGATATACTATTCTACCAACACGGACGCAAAAGAAAGACAAAGAGCTAGAAATTCTAGTAAAAACCTCAGAATTTCAAAATCACAAAAAATAGAAGCTTTGATCTGTACAAGTCGTTGATCGATTTGCGGAATAAACTAAGTTGGTAAACTTAGCTTATGGCCTTATGCTACAACCAAACTGAAACGCTCAGAGAGAGGTTATCAGCAGAAGAGAACTGACGGTGAAATCTGATCTAGAGTACTTCGAATAGACCAATGGATTCAGATTATTTTCTAGGAAATGGAAAAATTCACAAAGTGGAAGAGAGAAGCCTCGAGTTTTTATATTTTTGATTGCCTTATCTTGATTTAATACACAAAAGGTCAATAACTCTCTGTTTTGTTTTGCGTACTGATTTGTATAACTCTCTCTCGCACATGGTCGTAATGTGAATAAAGGTTACCTAATCTTGTTTTTTTTTTTTTTTTTTTTTTTTTTCATTTTGGCATCACTCACTATATAGTACCATATCAAACACTAGGTCCATCATTAAATTCATTACTAATACATATTTATGTTTGGAATTGGATGCCCTGCACTGCTGACTACTGTTTGATATTAAAGTGTTAAATCTGTAAATTGATTATAATTTGTCTTTCTTACTTTAGTCGGCATTGTTAATTCTAATTATACTTTCTTTTGCCATGTACCACAATATTCTAAAGTTTATTGCTGTCCTTATTTATGCCAATAACTTGATAAGAAGTAGATCACCACAAATTTACAGATTACAAAGACCTCTAGAAATAATGATTGTCAACGATTTCGTGAAGTAATTACCTGTGAACTAATTTCACCAAAAAAAATTACCTGTGAACTAATTGATTATGAAGCAATATCTACTGTACGTTGAATCTGTCAATCGTTATCTTCTTCTAAAGAGATATGTTATTTGATTTTATCTTCCGTTTACATTTTCTTCAATGGTCAACCATATAATACAAACAGCAAAGATACACTAAGATAAATCGAAAGAGGAAAGCGTAAACGACTTGACAAGATCATAAGAAACATCGAAAGAGAAAAAATGAAAATTTCAACAAAGTAAAAAACAATGATTAATTTTAGTATTTATATAAATAATAATGCGTGTGATACAAATCAAACTACAATAATCAAATTTAAAACTATATAAAAAACTTGTGGAAGTAAAACAATTTCTTTCTTTTTTTGTTTCTCCTTTAGCTTTTGATATGAATATTTTGATTATTACTCAGTGTCCCTAAGGCTTTCACTGGTGAGCCACAGTTTCTTCTGGACAACGAAAACGACATTGTTCTCACCATCGTCATTGTCTCCGTCAAGCTCTGAACTTGTAGTTACCTTCTCCGATGCAACAATCTCCCAATGCAAAGCCTGCATATACTTCTTGATCGACTCAACAACACTTTGCTTATCTCTGATGATGACGAATCCTGTAGGTCTAAGAATCCGATCCATCTCTATCAGTAGATCCTCCGCGCTGCATCCTTTGCTTCTAATGTCTGAAAAGACGGTCCACGCGTGCAATAGATCGTATGTTCGTGGGTACGTAGAGAAAGCCTCACACCTAAGGAGACAAACAAAAGTCAAGAATGATGAAAATGTAAATCATTTTGTTCATTATTGAGGAAAATTTTGTGGTTATGTACCAGTTGTGATTCGTCCCAATCAAACCACGGTCGTAGATCAGTTTAAGAGTGTTGGGACCGTCGGGAGAGACAACGTTCATCACCCAGACATCTTTTTCTTTAAGAGCAGCTGCGAAAGAACCCATGTGAGCTTTCATGTCCATTATGTTCCTCACACTGTTTGCTTTTATTTTCGATGACATTAAAGTCCAGTAACTGTCCACTTGTTGTCTCCACAGTTCCTACAAACAAAGAAAATAAAACAAAATAAGAAACAAATCCATGGAAGAAGTAAAAGATCAAGATTTGCGATTTGATTACCGTGTCTTTCTCAAACATATCGTTTGAGTAACCGAAATCCGCAAGACGGGGAGGAGGAGAAGTCACTCTAGCTGGCCATGGAGCTAATCCACTTCCCTTGCTTTGATGGTCATCTGAAAACAAAAACAGAGTAAGACTGTTAATTACGTCATATAAACCAAACCGAACCGGAATCAAAATTCTCAAATACTGAAACCAAACTGAATTCCTTCTAAACCATTTCTCAATACCGTAAAACCGAAACGAAATTATGAGAAATCAACATTTTTCACTTCAAATTCAGTCTAAATTTCTCAAAACCAAGAAAAACCGAAAAACCAAAAGAAAACCGAACCGGAAACCAAACCAACTTTTGCAAAACAGAGCAAAGCAAAAGCAGAGCAAAACTTACGCTTGGAGTAAGGAGTGATGCAAACTTCCATCGACACACCCGCAACAGCATCAGGATCAGCGTCCGAGCGACACAGAGGAGGCTGAGTCCCAGGCTCTCTGTCCAAGTAACAGTCATTACTCAACGGCTTCTGCCAAACCACAGTTTGGTTTCTCTTAGCAGCGATCCTCCAACACATTCTCTCAACAAGACCACTCATCTCCTTCCATATCTTCAAACTCTCCTCGTCTTGCGCGTAAGCTTCAGGAGACGAGTAAGCGAAGTAACCGCCCGGTCTCAGCACCCTGTCGAGCTCGAGAAGAAGGATCCCGTCTCTCTGAAGCCAGTCGATCCTGCAACGAGAGCAATGAGCCAGCTCGAATGATCTGCTCGGGTATGGAAGCCGCTTGGTACCTAGCACACCGAGGTAAGCAGGGATGCCTCTCTCTAACGCAAACTGGATTTGGTTCTGGTGAACGTCGTTAGGTGCTAACGACATTGCGATTATGTCAGACGAGAGAAGGTAAGCTCCGAAACTCGCAACTCCACATCCAACGTCGAGAACCGTTCTCAGCCTCCCTTCGTCGTTCAATACATCGTTCGAAAAGTTAAGCATCTGCGAGTCAACAACAAGAAAAAATCCATTAGATTTTTTTTTTTTATAATTTAGAAACAAAAGAAAGGTTTCAAAGAGGGTTTACATTAGCGATGGATGAAATGTATTTATCAGCTCCGTAATGGAAATGAGTGCCACCACCGGGGAACGAGATCTTCTCGCCTTTGACAACCATCCAGTTCTGATCAGACTTCTCTTTCGCAAGGTGAGTGTGAGGTATGTTTGCTTTCCACACTTCATCTCTGCTCTTTGGCCACTTGATTGGAACCTAAACTCAAATCAACACAAAGAAGAAAACAATCAAGCACATATAGATAAAATACATTTGGAAGGCACAAGAAAGTGAAAAATGAGCACCTTGTAGCCAGATGGAGGAGGAATCAAACAGTTAAACTTTCTTTCAGGAGGAGGACAATGGCGTTCGTAATGTTCCATTAGAGATAGATCCAGCTTCAACCTCGACTGGTAGATGAAATTCCTATCTAAGCAAGGGATGATCTCCGAGTGACGATCATCACAAACCTTTTAACATTTATATATACCAAAAGAAGTTAGCTTTAGATTAACATAAAGTCTGCAGTTACCTAAACTTAATGAGATTTCGAAAAGAGAGAAACAACTTACAGGGAAGCTTTTGGCGACAGCGAGACTGTCTTCTTCACTGGTCACAGATTCGTCCTGTTTGTTATCAATGCTGTCATCATCTCCACCCAAATAGGAAGATCCGAGTTTTCTCAGTGATCTTCCATACTCCAATGCTGATGCGCCTTGGCTTGAGGAACCATAGTACATGTACAAGAAACAGACGAATAGAGACACGATGCAGACCGAAGCAATTAGCCGCTTCTTCTGGCCTCCATCAGATCTCCCTCTCATCATCCAAACGCAAGTTTTCTCCCAATCCAAAGAATCAAAAGAGCGTTTTACAGCCTTCAAGAGAAATGTAAAACTTTACTGGCGTTTCCTCTCTGTTTCTGCATAAATCAAAAACAGAACAATCAGAAGACTTTAAACAGTCAAAAAGTCTGAGATGCTTTTAGTATAAAGTTCGGTGGATAGTCACTGACACTTAACACAAGATCAGAATTTTGGAAGTTATCAATAAACTGAGGAATAAAAAAACAAGACTTGGAAGATACAGATCCGTGTTTATTGGGTCAGAAACCACACATTAGCATCTTCATTCAGAGCCTAAAGTTAAGTGGAAACCAAGTAAAGAAGAAAAATGGCCACCGACAAATTTGTTTTCTCAGTCAAAGATTAAGTCTCCTTTGAATTAGATAGAAGTGCTAGATCTGAGAGTGTCGGGAAAGCTTTTAATGGAAGTCTCAATTGCCCGGGAAAATTGAAACAAACACTCGTTCATTGGTTGAAAAAAAACGGAAACACAGTCACCACACAGAGAATGAGATCGAACGCTGAAACGAATCTCAATGGCCGAAAAGAACAAAAGAAGAGCGAAACATGGATTTTCAGAAATCGAATCTCGACAAAAACCCAGAATCGAAAACTCACCGACAAAGAAGAGTCGACGTCTACTGGTAACAAGAGAGCCGAGGATGGGAATGAGGAGAGTTAAGAATGACGAATTGGCATATGAATGGAAACTTATAAATGAAAAAAAATACAAAACTTTTTTGAGATTCAGATCTTAGGAATGATGCCTTTTTATCACTGGCTCTATGTTTTTTTTTCCTATTTCAGAGCGATAAGTACAGTGTTTTCGTTGTAAAGGTCTCTCTCTCTGTCCACACTGTCGACTTGCTGTAATTCATTTTTTTTTCTTTTCCAAAAGATATAAGTATTTGGACGATTTAATTTTTACTACTAAATCAATCAGTTTATATATTTTGGGATTTCGTAATCTCTGCAAGTAGATTCGACATAATGCGTTTTCAATTTCACCATTAATAAGTAACAACAACCCACATGGTTTAGTGCTTGCAATTTTCCTTGTTTCGTCCTAGTCTTTGGATCTTTGGATCTTTGGAATGGAATTAATAAATTGCTTTTTATGAGAAGAGTGGAGAGTAAACCAGTTGCCTATTGGAGAAGTCACTGTCCTATCACCTATGTGGCTATGTCCATTACACACGGAATATAAAAATCCGTGAACGCGTTATTATTCATTGTGTCGGTGATTACTCATTACTGACTCCAAAATGACGAGCGGTGAGTTTTTATATTGAATCACCATTTAACTCATGTTATTCGATTTAGTATTAATCACCATACAAAAATAATATTACAGCAGTAGAGAGAATAACGTTCAGGTACGGTGAGGTCACAAGCTCAGAAGAGAGACATTTTGTCAAAAGAAAGAAGGGTCTTTGTACCTTCTGAAAACGGCTTCAATATCAGCCATAACTTCCGGCGAAAACGGCCGCTCAGTCATCAGAAAAGCATCAATGTCTTCTTCAAGTTGCTCAACTGATGTAGATCCAATGATCGTGCTCGTCACAAAAGGACGGTCACGTACAAACCCGAGAGCTAGCTCTACCGGAGTTAAACCGTGCTTCTTCGCCACCTCAATGTATTGAATCGTTGCTTCCTAAGATCGGAAGAAGAAGAAAGTTGACCTCAAAGACGTTGATTTACACAACCATGTAACGTTTCTTATGCATAGTTGGATCAAAAGAACAAACCTTGGCTAGGGATCCATTGTAACGTTCCATGAATCCAGGGAAAAGATTCAGCCTTGACTTTTTAGTAGCTTCTGGGTCTGCAACCAAGTATTTTCCTGACAACGAACCGCCTCCGAGAGGGGAATAAGCAAGCAGGCCAACATTGCAATTTTTCGGGTGGCATACTTCTACCAGATCAGCTGTGATTTTAACCACAAAACAAAAGAGTTTAGGACATGTTCGTAGGACGAAATGTCTTTCTCTGCTTAACTTCTACTTTTCTCTACCTTCAAAACGGGATCGAGCAAGCAAGCTGTAACTATTCTGGATGCTAACAATCTTCGGTAGGCCTTCAAGTTTAGCTGTGTGAACAAACTCCATCACTCCATACGAAGTTTCATTTGATACACCGATGTAGCGAACCTGTTACATGATTTGACGGAAACATCAAGATTCTGTTTTTGAGATTTTCATTAAAGGAGTATATACTATATAGTATCTGTAGAGCTGCTGAGAAGAAAAAAAATCAACTTTAGTATATCTGATGGTTAAGGAGTAGGGCACTACCTTTCCTTCATCTATGAGATCCTGGAAGGCTCTTAGCTGCTCGACAAATGGCACACTATCTCTCCATTTCAACGGATCATAGTAATTCTCACCAAAGAGTGGTACATACCGATCTGGCCTGGACTGAGAAAAACATCAGAGTCATGATTTTGCGACATTCAGAGTTATGCTTAGAGCACGAAACTACACGATGTTACCAGTGTATTTGAAGCAAATCAATGTAGTCAGTTCCAAGGCGCTTAAGACTATTCTCGACACTTTCTTTGATATTAGCTGCATCTACACGCGTAACCTCAGCATTTTCCCGCAAGTATGCTGTTCTTTCTGAAAACCCACATACTTTAGTTGCCAAAACAAGCTGTACACAGAAAAACATCAATGAAAATACTTCCTTATCTATCAACAAAATCCACAAACCAAAGCAACAGTATGCATCCAAAGCATGAAAGATGGTGATACCTTGTCACGGCGCTGAGACTTCAACCAGCTACTGATATAAAGATCCGTTTTACCTTGCGTCTCCTTCTTCATCGGGACAGGATACTGGAACAAAGAAGGTCAATGAATAGATGAAATGAAGAGAAAAATGAACAAAGAAGAAGATAAAAAAAAAAAAAAATCTCACCGCTTCGGCAGTGTCTATACAGTTGATGCCATGTTCAACTGCATAACTCAGCATCTCATGAGATTCCTTCTCCGTATTTTGCTCCCCAAATGTCATCTGCAATGATTACACAAAGAAATATGGTAATCCAATTCGATCCCACAGCTCCAGCAATACTAAGGAATTACACTAATAGATGTTGGCCATTACAGTTCCCATAGTGATTTCGCTGATATTGAGCTCGGAATCCCCCAATTTCCTGTACTCCATCGCCTTCTCCGTCGACGATTTCGCCAAAACCGAAGCTCTGAATATTCTCCTCCCGGCATTCGGTGATGGAGCTAAACGGCGGCGCGCGAAGGCTAAGCGATCGAAGCTTCGATTGTTGTCGATACCGTTACTGCCGCCTACCGCCGGAGTGACCGTTGAGAAGGTGACGTATGATGACGCCATGCCGGAGAATCTATTGGACGTGGTTCTCTCGCCTTATCGGCCTATCTATCGCCATGTCCACTGTTTGTTTAATTCACGGCTTGAAAGCTCCGGGCTGCAACTGTTTGGGCCTAATGTCCTCTCAAAGGCCCATTAAAAATCGTATCTTTACTAAATATCATTTTTCCAAATTTAAATTATTTAATATGATGTGTAATCTCGGGATATTTATTCCTTCGAGATAATACGATTAAGTTTGATGACGTGGCATGACACTTTCGATATCTCCCACCACCAATAAATAAAGCAGAGTGAGCTTCACGGATACTATACAATCCATCCGCTCTCGTGAATACCGATCCGTTTTCCGGCGATAATCTACGATCTAGATACGATGGCGAAGGAACCAGTTCGTGTTCTTGTCACAGGAGCTGCAGGTAACTTTATCTATTCCCGATCGTGCTTCTTCTCTCTCTGATTTCGGATCTCCGGCTAGTGATTAGTGAAACCCAAACCCCTTGCTTACTCTAGTCAGATCTCTGCTTAGACTTGCTTATGCCATCCGGATGTTTAGTCGATTGATGAAATAGACGTCAGATTATTGTTTGTTTCGTTAGATGATGATAGAGTGGGATCTGGGCATTTGAAATTTGAAATTTATTGGATCCTCACTTTGCTAGGCTCGAAATATACCTGGATTCTTATTGTCTGGTGCTTCGTATGAGTTAATCATCTTGCTTCATGCGAAAACCATATAATATTATCGGTTGAAATTTGCCTTTTTTCGATCTTTCTGTGGAGGGTTTGATCTGAAAATGGACGTGTTACCAGAGAGCAAAGTCAACCTTTTTTTTTTAATCTTTTAATATTCTCGTCGATTGATGACATTTTTCATGCTGGTTCGATTCAACGTTGACCAACTATTGATTGAGTTGCCTCTTATCTGATTTTTTAAAGGGAGTATTTTATACGGTTTTGGTTAACTCTGATTTGGAAGCCGTGTTTTTTTTTTTATAATAGGATATAGTTTAATTCTGTAGTTCGTGTTTAGAACATCCGTATAGTGATTGTTCCAACTAGTGAAGTAAGTAACTGAGTATTGGTGATGATTGCGCAGGACAAATTGGGTACGCTCTTGTCCCAATGATTGCAAGGGGAATCATGCTTGGTGCTGACCAGCCTGTGATCCTCCACATGTTGGATATTCCTCCTGCTGCTGAAGCACTTAACGGTGTGAAGATGGAGTTGATTGATGCTGCTTTCCCTCTTCTCAAAGGTAGTTTACAGATTTTCATGCTGTTTGAACATTTACTGTGAATATTTGGAATCCGTTGCCATATGTATACTTTTCACGTGAGAGATATGATGAACATTTGAACTTTTTAACCAGGCGTTGTTGCTACAACTGATGCCATTGAGGGATGTACTGGAGTCAACGTTGCTGTTATGGTTGGTGGTTTCCCAAGGAAAGAAGGAATGGAGAGGAAGGATGTCATGTCCAAGAATGTCTCAATCTACAAGTCTCAGGCTGCTGCATTGGAGAAGCATGCCGCTCCAAACTGCAAGGTGATGATAGGATCTGTTTGCCTTTTAAACCGGTTTCATTGCTTTATATTATCAGTTGGGTTCTAGTATGTGAGTCTCTTGCTTAGATATCCTCTTTCGTTTTGTCTTTTTCAGGTTCTTGTTGTCGCAAACCCTGCAAACACCAACGCATTGATCCTGAAAGAGTTTGCACCATCCATCCCTGAAAAGAACATCAGTTGTTTGACAAGGCTTGACCACAACAGGGCCTTGGGTCAGATCTCTGAGAGGTTGAGCGTTCCTGTGTCTGATGTCAAGAACGTCATCATCTGGGGAAACCACTCATCCTCACAGTACCCAGATGTTAACCATGCTAAAGTACAGACTTCAGCTGGAGAAAAGCCTGTCCGTGAGCTCGTTAAGAACGATGAGTATTTGGATGGAGAATTCATCAGTACAGTTCAACAACGTGGAGCTGCAATCATCAAGGCGAGGAAGTTGTCTAGTGCACTTTCTGCTGCTAGCTCTGCTTGTGACCACATCCGTGACTGGGTCCTTGGAACTCCAGAGGTTTACAATGATAACACTCTTCCCATTATTAGCACTGCGGTTTTCTTAAAGCCCTTTCTAACATGACTTCTTCCTTTTTTTGTTTCCATTGGTCAGGGTACATTTGTTTCCATGGGAGTATACTCTGATGGCTCTTACAACGTTCCATCAGGACTAATCTACTCCTTCCCTGTGACTTGTCGCAATGGAGAGTGGAGTATTGTCCAAGGTAAGAACAAGCTTTTACTACTCAATACTGAATTCCCTACTGTTTGCAATACTAATGTGTGTTTAATTTGTTTGATTTAGGGCTTCCGATCGATGAAGTATCAAGGAAGAAGATGGATTTGACAGCGGAGGAGCTGAAGGAAGAGAAGGACCTTGCGTACTCATGCCTCTCTTAGACCGCTACTCGTCTTGTGAAGCCATTGTTCACCTATCATGTGTGAGAGATCACTAGAAGCTTTTGAGGCTTTGTCGGAATAATAAGTTTGTTTAAAACGATCTCAAAACATTGTTCAAAATATCTCTTTGTGAGTTGGTCCCTGTCTGTTTCTAAGCCAGGACATCGTTTATTCTGTTTCTAAGCATTTGGTTTACTCATAAAGAAATTTGGCAATTTCATGGTTACCGTTTATTATGTTCACTAATTAGTAATATGAGGATTCGAGTTTTTATAAAGGGATCTTATACTAATATTCAAAGTTTTGAGAGAATTTAATATGGAGGAATATTCCCTATCCCTTTTGTAAAGTTAAGGCGGTGGATTTTGCTTAGATTCCGCGTAAAAACATGAATCAAAAAGTTAGATTTTATAGTATAAAACTTAAGTACTAGTATTAATGTTTAATGGATTCTAGAAAAGTGGGCATGACCAGAATCGTGTTCATGAACCATTGTCTTCGGCCCCAACGTTAGACTTTATTTTCTAACACAAGATAAAGAGGATACTTCACTGAAACTTTAGGCCCACTCAACATTCAATCGAAATTCAATCTCTTTGTAAAATATCTTATGGAGTATCAAAAGGTTCGTTGATGATCCCCAAAAATCTTAGATGAGCAATGAAAAATGAGATGTCGGTAAAAAGAAACAAATAAAAGCCAACGCCACTAGTTTGTGGATAAAGTTCTCTGCTTTTGTCTTGTACTGAAATTTTATATGCACATTATTGGCATACAGACTCTCATGGGTATGTTTTCGCCTTCCATTAGATCTCAAATCTTTTAATTTTCATACCCAAAATAGGAAGAAGATTCAGTCACCAAAATAACCTTCACAATTCGAAGATCTTTGTCACCAAGAGACATCCACTCTGATTCAGTTCTGGTAAAGTTTCCTGATTTTGAATTCTTGAATATGCTTTCATGAGCTAGAGCAAGACTTGGTTTTTATTTATTAAGTAGATCTTGATCTTTTGATTTTTTTTTTTTTTTTGTATTTTCCTCAATTGAAATTGTCATGCTTCTCTGTTTCTGGGGTAAAGGATTAGGTTAGATAGACCCCTCCCTGTTTGCTTTGATTTTGAAACTTAAAGATCACAGATTTTTAATGAACCATCCTCTGTTATTGATACAGAACTATCCCCTGGAGGAGCTTGAGCTAGAGGTCTAAAAAAATAATGGAAATTATTGGTCAGAGAGTGGAGTTTGATTAGCTGATTTGGTATTGATCTCTGATCAGAGAAGTCATAACAATGACGGCGACGAACAAAAAGACAATAGTTTGGTTCAGAAGAGACCTAAGGATTGATGACAATCCAGCATTAGCAGCTGCTGCTCACGAAGGATCCGTTTACCCTGTCTTCATTTGGTGTCCTGAAGAAGAAGGACAGTTTTATCCAGGAAGGGCTTCAAGATGGTGGATGAAACAATCACTTGCTCACTTAACTCAATCCTTGAGATCTCTTGGATCTGACCTCACTTTAATCAAAACCCATAACACGGTCTCCGCTATCTTAGACTGTATCCGCGAAACCGGTGCCACGAAAGTCGTCTTCAACCATCTCTATGGTACTCTATTCTCTCTTTATCTCCTGCTTATCAAACATTTGGTGTGAAGTTAAGTTTGATGAAGTTTCATTTCCTTGTGCGTAGATCCTGTTTCGCTAGTTAGAGACCATACCGTAAAGGAGAAGCTAGTGGAACGTGGGATCTCTGTGCAGAGCTACAATGGAGATCTACTGTATGAGCCGTGGGAGATTTACTCGGAAAAGGGCAAACCTTTTACGAGTTTTACTTCTTACTGGAAGCAATGCTTAGACATGTCCATTGAATCCGTTATGCTTCCTCCTCCTTGGCGGTTATCTCCAATCACTGCAGGTAAAATCCTTCAAAGCTTCAACCTTTTCGACTTTTGGATACAACGGTTAAGAAAAGTTTTGGTCTTTTCTTTGTGTTAGCGCCTGAGGCGGTTTGGGCATGCTCGATTGAGGAGTTAGGGCTAGAGAACGAGGCAGAGAAGCCGAGCAATGCGTTGTTAACTAGAGCTTGGTCTCCAGGGTGGAGCAACGCTGATAAGATACTAAACGAGTTCATCGAGAAGCAGCTGATGGATTACGCAAAGAACAGCAAGAAAGTTGTTGGGAACTCGACCTCTCTGCTTTCTCCTTATCTCCACTTCGGTGAGATAAGCGTCAGGCGCGTTTTCCAGAGCGCTCGGATGAAGCAACTCTTATGGGCAAGAGATAAGAACAGTGAAGGAGAAGAAAGTGCGGATCTTTTTCTCAGAGGGATCGGTCTAAGAGAGTACTCTCGTTACATATGTTTCAACTTCCCTTTCACTCACGAGCAGTCGTTGCTGAGTCATCTCCGGTTTTTCCCTTGGGATGCCGATGTTGAAAAGTTCAAGGCTTGGAGACAAGGCAGGACTGGTTATCCGCTGGTGGATGCAGGAATGAGAGAGCTTTGGGCTACTGGATGGATGCATAACAGGATAAGAGTCATCGTTTCGAGCTTCGCTGTCAAGTTTCTTCTTCTTCCATGGAAATGGGGAATGAAGTACTTCTGGGATACTCTTTTGGATGCTGATCTTGAATGTGACATCATCGGCTGGCAGTATATCTCCGGGAGCTTACCTGATGGCCACGAGCTTGATCGCTTGGACAATCCCGCGGTAAACTACGAGAAAACATATCTAATCCTCTGTTTTTGGTTATTGACATTGTCTCTGAAAAATCCTCTGTTTTGGGTTATTGACATTGTCTCTGAAAAGTCCTCTGTTTTTGATTTTCAGATACAAGGCGCAAAGTATGACCCTGAAGGTGAGTACATAAGGCAGTGGCTTCCAGAGCTTGCGAGGTTGCCAACGGAGTGGATACATCATCCATGGGACGCTCCTTTAACGGTACTCAAAGCTTCAGGTGTGGAGCTCGGAACAAACTATGCGAAACCCATTGTAGACATCGACACGGCTCGCGAGCTGCTCACAAAAGCCATATCAAGAACTCGTGAGGCACAGATCATGATCGGAGTAGCACCTGATGAGATTGTAGCAGACAGCTTCGAGGCCTTAGAGGGCAATGCCGTTAAAGAAACCGGTCTTGGACCGTCCACGTCTTCTAACGACCAAGAAGTACCTTCGGGTGTTCGTTACAATGGGTCGAAGAAGAGAGTGAAGCCCGTGGAAGAAGAAGAGAGAGACGTGAAGAAATGTAGAGGTAAGAGTGAAGTTAGTAGAGAAGAAAGGGACTTGTTTTCGACAGCTGAGTCTTCTTCTTCTTCTACGGTTAGGAATGTGTTCTTGGTTTCGCAGTCGTGTTCGTTGGTGTCAGAAGGGAAGAATTTGGAAGGTGTTCAGGATTCTTCTGATCAGATTGCTACAAGTCTGGGGAAAAATGGTTGAAAAAAATGATTAAAATAAGCTTTATGTTGTTCTTGGTATGTTATCAAAAAAAAACTAACATGTAGTAGAAGTGTGAATGTGTGTTTTTGACTCTTTGAGTGAATAATAAACATTTTTATATGATGCTGATAATACGGTTTCTGTCTATATAATCTCTGTTGCTTACAATTTCTGCATGTTATCATTAATATACATTCCGTTTTTCTGTGGAATTTTGAAACTTGACATTGAAATTGGAAGAAGAAGAAGAATTTGATTTTGGAAATGAGAAGGCCTTATTTATAGGCCCAATATCGAAATCAAAGGACGGTGTCTCTGTGTGGTCCATGAGCCAAGCTCTTCGTCCTTCTCCGTTGAAATCACAATTCGCCGGTAAATTTTTCAGTCAAACGGGAAGCGGAGAAGCTACTCCGGCGACTCGTATGGCGTCATCAAAAGGAGGAAATACCACCGCCCATATGAACACTCTTCACCAGCGTCTATATCACGCCCTCAATCTCGGCTTCAGGTCTTCTCTTCCTCCTCTATCCTCTCTCTCTCTCTCTCTCTCTCGTTTTCTTTGTCTTTGGCATCACCTGTCGATTCTCCTGCTCCGTCTCGATCTCGTTATCTATGTACGGTTGATTTGCTCATTTACCCATTTGAGTTTTTTATCCTGAGAAATTCTGGTTATTGATTTGGTTATGGTAGGAGGGTGTGTAATGAGAAGGAGAAGAAGTGGGAGTGTACTGATATCGAGATACAGAGGCATGTGGTGAGGTCGATTTCTGCGTTTCTCGATTGTTTTTCTCGAGGAACAGCTAACAATCGTCTTATCAAGGTATATATATGAGTTTGATCCTGAAATTTCGTAATTTCTTGTTGAAATGATTTGCTTAATTTGAAGCTCTTTTCTTTTGCTCCTTCTTAGGATTCAATATCTGACATAGCCGGGGCGTTGGTGTTTATTCTAGGATATAAAAACAGAGCAGTGGTTGGTTCAGCAGCCAATGTAGTTATTAGGTTGATTCGTATTGTTCCTCCTTCTATCTTGCAATCACATTCTTTGGATCTCGTGGAGTCTTTATCACCTCTGTTGAGCTGTCGACAGTTGGAAGTTTCACTTCCTTGTGCCGTTGCTTTGAACGCCATTCTTTTAAACATGAGAGAAACAAAGGAGAAAGAAGCGTGGAAAGTTTTAGAAGACGCAAGAACTGTAGCTTCCGTCGTTGGTAATCTGCAGAAATTTTCTGAGGGGAGTGTTTCGGTGGAATGGTTCCAGGAGATGGCTTCGCTGTTGAGTACAGTTATGTTGAAGTGGCCTCTGTCAAGGTATTCTGTTTGGCACAACTCTTCCTTGATGGTTCTGTTGGAGAGTGTTAGTCAGAAGCCTGATATGGGTTTGAGGGTTGCAACTCTGAAGCTGTATTCTTCTCTAGGTATATATATGGTTGTCGAAGTTATCTACTTAGCTACATATTTCCAGGAAAATTGGCCTTAACTTGTCCCTTGGGGGTTTCTCTGTTTTTCTGTTACAGCTCTTTGTGGCCATGGTGCAAGTGAGCTTCTAGATAATGGGAAGCTTATGCTAGATATGATGATTAGCTGCATGGATGAGTCAAACCCTCCAAATGCTCGGATTGAAGGGTTAAAGCTAGCACAAAGGCTTGCGGTAATAGTGCTTCTTCACTCTGTTTACCTTTACTTCAACTATCTTTTTTGGATTTCTAAGCGGTGCTCGTTGCTCAGACAGGTAACCAAGAGTGCTTGAAGATGATAAACATATGTTCTGAGCCACTAGTAAAAGCTACAGTTGAGATCATGGGTAAGTGGTTCTTCAGCTCAGGAAAGCTTGAACATGATCATATGTCGTTGCTTGTGGAGGCTTGTAAACTGGCTCTAATCGCTCGTTGGGAAGGAGAACATCATATTTATTTCTGGAAGTATCAGATCTCAGAGGCGCTTCTTAGTCTTGTTGTGGAGAATTTTCGTAGTCTATCCTTGGATTGTCGTATGTCTCTAGAAGAAGAAGTTTCAGTTGCTGAGAAGGTACTGAATGGAAATTTTCTACCTAGTCTGAGGTCATATGTTTGGGATATAATTGGATTCTTGGCAGCTCACTGTGAGGAAGATTTTGATTCCATTTGTATTGGAGATGAACTCCGCCTCAACTTTCTTGTCACATGTGCATGGTAAGACATAAGATTGTTTGATTCTTTTTCCTCAACCTCTTACTTTTGGATATAATCTTATCTATTCTGATGATTGTCCTTTCGATTTTTTTTGTTAAGCTTGACATTTTCAAGGTCAGTTCAAAAAGGCTATCAGATATGTCAAAACGATATAATGAGTGCTTCCCAAAGCGAGTCTGCATCAAGAGCAGTGCTAATGATGATATATTCTCCCTCCAAATACATATCAACGAGGGCCAGAGTTACTCTTTCGTTTATCTTGGGAGAAGATGGTGAGCAAAATTTGAATTCCCTTGTGAATTTCCTGAGTTATATTCCATCTTCTGGAGGCTATGTACTGCCAAATGTACTCCAAACTACCGTTTGCTTGGTCGGCTTGGCATGCTACTCATCGATCCCTCAGTATGCGGGTTTCATTTTAGGACACAAGGGTTTCGAGATACTGTTATCTTTCTGTAGTTGGTATCAAAGGAATCGGGGTAATATTGGAGAATCAAGTTTTGCTCCTTATCCCCAGAGCACCTCTGAGAAGAGGATATGTTGCTGGGTATGTCCAGAAGACTGGGACAGCAAAGATGCTTTTCTTCTGTATGCTCTCTTGGCTTTGGCCGAGTTGGTAAATCATTCTTTCTCTGAACAGAATCACGCCGAAGAGTTTTCAATCAAGAGAGAAAATGTGAAAGATCGGTTATGCACCACGCTTCAGGAGATCCGAGATGGAACTTATGGCTCTGGTCCAAGGTGGTATGCTTCACACGTCCTAAGCTATTTTGGATACTATGGCTTCCAACATAAGCTGGGGAAAAGGCTCATTGGAGCCTTCGAAGATGAGGAATGCAGCGATATGCGACTCCTTTTCGCTAGTGGGAATAGTGTCAGTGTTAACAAAATCATTCTCGCTGTCAGGTGTCCGACGTTACTGCCTCCCGAAAAGGGAGCTCGCAGTGGCTCGATGATATCATCAGAGAAACCTCAGAGAACCGTCCAAGAAATCCGCATGTCTGCCAACGTCGATACTTTGGCGCTTGTTAAGCTATTGGAGTTTGCTTACTCTGGGTATGTGGAAGTAGAAAGCACGACGGTGAAGAAGCTGAAAACTTTGGCGAGACATTGTAAGTCAAAGGTTCTGCTGCAGATGCTCTGCAGAAGAAGACCCAAGTGGGGTTCTTCAATACCCAGAATCGATATTCCCCTTGCCCTCACTCCTAAACTCATCCATCTCTCGTAAGTTATATCAGTCTCATCATTCTCTTCTAGGCTTACAATCTGATAATAAACTCTGGCATAGATCACAGCTTTTCATGTAAATTTCAGGGATTTTATATTAGTACCTAAAGAAACAATCATCACTGGCTTCAACTGCCGTTTTTGTTCCTCAACATCTCCTCATGCCCACTCTCACCGAGTTATACTTTCATCAGGCTGTGAATACCTTCGTGCCTTGTTCCGGTCCGGGATGCAGGAGAGGTATGTAACAGTTACTCTTAGTTCACACTAGGAATAAAAGGGCTCTGAAGAATCTAATAGCTGTTGTAATCTTGTGATTTGCAGCAATTTGGATAGACTAAACGTTCCCGTGAGCTGGCTGGGGTTAACTAAGCTTGTAAACTGGTTCTACTGTGATGAATTGCCAAAGCCACCATTGGGTTGCAAATGGAACAACATGGACACTGAGGCAAAGCTAGATGAGCTTGAAGCTTACGTGGAGATATACTCGCTTACCGAGTGGTGGATAATGGAAGATCTTCAAAACGAATGCGCTCAAGTGATTCTCTCCTGCTTGGAATCCGCTAGAGAGTTATCGATCAAGGCAATCGAATTAGCTGCAAGTTTCTCAATGTGGAAACTGGTGGAAGCGGCGGCTGAACATGCAGCTCCTATTTACCATCAGCTTCGGGACTCAGGTGAGCTCGATGAGCTAGATGATGAGCTGGTTAACTTGATCCGAACTGCTGCTGTTCACTTTTCTCAACAGGGTTGTTAAAGTAACCCAACCAAAAGCTAAAGCAAGGAAAGAAAAAAAAAAAAAAAAAAAAAAAAAGAGGTAAAATTTTGTAAGTAATGTACATCAGTAACGTTTGAACATCTAAAGATTTGTATTTGAAACCTCCTTATACAAAGTCAATTACAATAATCGTGAGTGCCATTTATTCCCAAATCGTAATATAAACACACCCATTTCAGTTTTTCACTGAAACACAAAGTGTGAACTAAGGAAAGAAGGAAATGGTGAAGGAAATTCGTGAAGGCATCAATCATATCGACTGTATGAGCTTCTTCTGTAACGGACGTTTTCACTTTTAAGCATCACGCGCGAAACGGTCATTGTGGGTCCCTCTCATCCAAAAACCCAAACTCTAGAACTTTGTCTTTTAGGGTCTTCACGTTTCTCTTCCTCCTTCATCTTCTTATTGACTCTGGTTATATATGTAGCATTTTGAGAAATCTTGGGGAAAAGAAAAAAAAAAATGGTGTCCAAAAACTCTGTCGAATTTGAAGGCCTCATTGAAGCTCAAAGCACTGAAGTTCCTCCAATCTCTGGCCTTCCTCCAGTTGCCTTAGATGACAAGAAACCTTCTGTCTCTGCCTCAGACTTCTCAGTCCCTACCATCGACCTTGCAAGCGTCCACGTAGACGCTGCATCGCGTGAAGGTATCGCAGAGATGATCAAAGACGCTGCAGAGAAGTGGGGAATTTTCCAGGTGATCAATCATGGTGTTCCTTTAAGCGTTCTTGAAGAGATGAAAGATGGAGTTATTAGGTTTTATGAGCAAGATCCTGAGGTGAAGAAATCTTACTCTTCGCGCGATTTCAACAAGACTTTTAATTACCTCGATACTTTCGACGGTTACAGTTCGTCTGATGGTAATTGGAGAGACAGCTTCTCTTGTTACATGGCTCCTGATCCTCCAAACCCTGAGGAGCTCCCAGTGGCTTGCAGGTAATTTCGTTTGTCACTGAAAATCTTATTTAAGGGTATATTGATTCTAACTGTAATTAAGATCATAAATTGGCTCAGGGATGCTATCATTGGATACTCGAAGCATGTGATGAGCTTAGGTGGTTTGCTCTTTGAACTTGTCTCAGAAGCTCTTGGTTTGAGCTCCGGGGCCCTTAAGAGTATGGATCGGACCAAGGGTTTGCAAATAATATGCCATTATTACCCTCCATGTCCAACACCTGACCTAACTTTGGGCACAAGGAAGCATACCGATAACGCCTTTATCACCATTCTTCTTCAAGATCAAGTCGGTGGTCTTCAAGTTCTCCATGAAAACTGTTGGGTCAATGTCCCACCTCTTCCCGGGGCTCTTGTTATTAACGTCGGAGATTTCTTGCAGGTAAGCTATTGATACTAATCATAGGTCTTAGTGAGAGATACATTGAGTTTATTTCTTACCTTTTATTTTGGTTTGTTTAGATGATGACGAACAACAAGTTCGTAAGCGTGGAGCATAGGGTTCTTGCAAACAGAGATAGACCGAGGATTTCAGTCGCTTGCTTCTTCTGCTATCCAACAATGCTTGGATAAACAAAAAAGCTTCTCTCCGCAGAAAAAGCTGCGGTGCCAATTAAAAAGAATGTATTAATGTTGGATTTATATTATGTAAGGGTTTTATCTTTAAATTGTTTTAGTGTATGAAATAAAAGAGCTTTTAAAAAAGCACAAATTGTCTATCAATCAAAATACTCTTGTCTCTTTTTCATCTGTTTACATTTCTTTGTTGCACATCGAAAAATTCAAAAACGCTTCTTTTTGGAAGATTACAAAATATCAATTAAAAAAATCACTCTTTTCTTGTTTTTTACCACTTGTTGAGTGTTGATTCGTTTTCTTTGTCGCACATCGAAAAATTCAGTAACGCTTCTTCTTTTTTTGTTTCTATTGAACTCTCGTATACAAAAGAAACAAAACTCTTTCTTACATAACTTTTAATTCGAAAGGTTACAACGTAATAACAGCTGAAAAGTAAACAAAACCGACATTTTAAGCTTCACGAAACGGTCATATCCCACACACACAAAGACCAAACTTTGAATTATGTCTTTTAGTTAGGACCTCCACGCTTCTCATGTTTTGCATGCTCTTCTCCACGTTTCTCTTCTGTTGCCTGATCTCCTCCTCCTCCTTCTCATCTTAGTGAGAGATGCATGGAATTACTTTTTCACCTTTTATTTGGTTTGTTTGTGTAGCCGATGACGAACGACAAGTAACACGTGGAAGGGTGAGAGAAACGCCATCGAGACGGTTTTCAGATCTGACCTAACGGCGGCTGAAAGAAAAAGGGTTTGGGTGGATTAGAATTCAGGTTTGACCGCCGGTGGCTCGTCAGCGACCGCCGGTGGGTCCACACGTGATGGCGCCATTGAAGCAATCAACCAAGAGATTGGTGGACACCAAAAGGTTTCTCTGTGCTACTTATACAGACGATCACACATCTTTTAAATCAATTTTCACGTTTTAAAGGGCAATTTTTCTTTCCAAACATACCACAAAATAAAACTAAATTTTAAACCCACAGTCTTACTGAACTCTAAACCCTAAAAATAAGTCTACAACTTTAAAAACTACCATAATCCCAAAATATGAAATCCAAAACCCATATATTTAGCTTACAAATTCTTTAAAAAAAAATCATTTATTGATAGTTTGGAAAATGGAGGTATTTTGTATAGCAATTTTTCCACAACTATTCAATAAATTTGAAGTTTCATAAAAAGAGAGAGAGAGAGAGAGAGAGAGAGAGAGAGAGAGCTAATTTTATTAATATTTAGCTTAGTCTTTAGATTTCTCTTTCAGTATTTGGCTTTTTCAAAACTTCTTAAGCTCATGTAGATGAATTAGCTTAAGTTGCGAGCATATCAAATCATATAGCTTACACATTACATAAAACATAAAAGGATATTTCATATAATCATTATTTCAAATGATGATCATTACATTCTCAAAACTAACTACACAAAAAAGGACCTGTTCGAACTTTGAAGTTCTAGAAATTAAGATGACCTGCTTGTAAAGAATCTTATTCGTTATAGAAATCGATTGACAATAACAATTTATTGGCCAATTACGTTTTTTTTTTTTTTTTTTTTTTTTGTGGCCTATATATGGGAATTGTCTGTCACGTAACTTTCAATCGACAACGATTGTATTCCCTTTATTGCCTCTTACCCATGTTAGTATTATTATTCTTGTTGTAGTTCTCTCCATATTCAAGAAGTTCCTCCAACACACTGTCGTCCAAGTACTCAAACTCAAAAACTTGCCTCGACGAGGAAGAGTTAGCCGCAGTTGCTGAAGATGTTGAGGACGATCCGCTTCCCATATTATACTCATGGGGGAAGTTGAGAATGGCCGCTTGACCTCTCATGGAATAGGCTGCTCGGTCATAGGCTCGAGCCGCGTCTTCCGCAGTGTCAAACGTCCCTAGCCACACACGCTCGCCGTGCTTCCTCGAATCTCTTATTTCCGCTGCGTATTTTCCCCAAGGCCGCCTCCTTACTCCTCGGAATTTTCCTTGCTCGGCTCCTCCCCCTCCGCCACCGCTACGACTTCCTTGATCCATATATGTGTTTGTATGTGTGAGAAGAGAGACAAAGGCAAAGTGAAATTAGAAGAAATGGATTCTGAGACTTGGGACGGACACAAGTTTTTGCGTATGTTTTTGTCTTTGTGTGTGTTTTATTTTGCATGGGTTAAATGGAATTTCATTTGGGGAATTTATAGGCAAGGAAACAAGTGGGTCCATTAACCTAATATTCGAATTTCGAACCCTCCACTTATCAAAAATCTTATATAGATTCTTTATACCTTTTTTCTCTTCAAAATCTATGTTCCTTACATATATAATAAAGAATTTTCCCTATTGGTGTTATGAATTCAGTATATTTGTACGTATGGGGTTTCCCAAATGCATGTACACCAAATCTATCTGTAATATGGTCAAAAATCAGATGTAACAAAATCACAACATTTTTTTGTTGTATTCCATTAAGTTGTTTTTTTACCGTTATAATAGAATCGGAAATTCATTTGAAAATATTAGCATCTTACATAACCTCCGCACTTTCTAATAACCTAAATGAAATTAAAAATACTGGTATGATACACTGAAGTTTGAATTACTGAAATCCACAATTTATGTTTTCCCTCATTTTGATGGATTTTTCTTTCCGTTGACAAAAAGAAGGATAGGTTCTTTTTTCCTTAACTATGGATTCAATGTTTATGCTAAGATAGAATATATATTTTTTGATCTGCTAAAAATTCTAGATCTTCTAACTAAAAACGAACTTGTCCGAAAAGTTCGATAAATTATTTATTAAATCAGGCAGTCCCTTAATAAACTATACATCATATTTGGTATCTTTGGCAATGAGATTTTGCTAACTAAAAAATATGGTGTGCAAATGCAACTGAATAAAGTTGATGGGTGGGCCCATTGGAATGTGCTTGACTTCGGTAGTGCCCACGTGGGTTGACTCCCAAAACCGACTCGGAAGTTTTCGTTGGACCATAATTTTACTATGCGACTCAATACGCGTTGGCGGTGAGACTAGGGTGGTCTAAGTTCTTGACATGAGTTTACATTTTGGAGCGAAAACAATTTCTTATATTGTTATGCATATATCGCAGACACAGTAACTAATTAATTGAACTTTACGATTAATCAATTTTTTTAAAAATTACATATATACTCTCGAATCTGAATCTTATAACTACATACACGGAAATCTTTGTGTTAACAAATATTAGCTTTATATAGTTAGCTAGGTCCACAAGACTACTCGTTAAAGCTCCATGAAATTAACTAACTGTAGGTGTCACTATCATTAAGAGCATGTATAACGCAGAATCCCATATGAGACGCTTAGCTAATAATTTAATATAAAAGTTGTTTTAAGCACTTTTTTTAGCAATTCATTGTTTTCTCTTCTTTAATGGGAGAATCCAAAACAAGAGTGCTTAGCTCAAGCAAATGGAAAATATTCAACTTTTTATGAAAACAAGAGTGAGAAGTAGGAAAATCAAAGAATACACAATTGAACATGCATCCAAAAACAGAAAAATTTTAAGTTTGAAATAGAGAATTTAGACCAAAACAAAACACAAAGCTTCAAAACCAGTAACCCGAAGTCATAATCTAAACCGTAACTTAGCTTAGACAATAGTTTGTGTCTGCAGTTCATGAACTCTGCTATTGATGTTTGATGCAGTTCCATACTAATCAGTCATCACACATCATCTTGGTAACACCAGAGACTTGACTTGATCACGAGGAGGCATGATGATTGACATCATGTTGGTTCCGTTTCCCCTAGCTGCTTCAAGGGATTTGATCATTCTCTTGATCTTCCACATCTCAATGTTCATGTCATCGTCATGATTAATATCTCCCATTTTAACCTGAAATCAACACAATAGCAAAAAAGCAAAGCTAGTTGATAGCCAAAAAACATGTACAATTAACAAAAACAAGCCTTGATCAACCGTTGCTGAGTTGATTCCTGTGACCTAAAGAATGTCAAATTTAATAACAACAACACGGCAAGGAAGACCATTGAAGAAACTTCCACCAACCTGGAATTGAACAAACTGATCTTTGACAAACCGTAGTACAAGACCCTATTTTCCAGCACCAACATCTCCAAGTAAAACCTGAAAGGCTTAACCAAATACAGAACCAAATCAAAAGAAGAAGAGAAATCGAAATGTTCACAAGCAGTTAAGACTTATAAAGCAAAAGTAAACTCTTGTTACAAAAAACCACTAAGAAACGAGCAAGACTAAATGCAGAAACTTCCATGGATACAGATTACAAACAGGGACGAAGAACAATGGTGGTTTTTGATCAAGAACAAATCGTGGTTTGATCAACATCCAAACGAAACGAAATTTTGGAAGCCCAATCAACAACATAACTCTAAACCCAAAATTAACCACGATATATAGCCGATTGTGGAAGAGAACTTACCATAGAATACAAAATCCTTGATTCAAATTGGTTGATCTTCGTGTATTTTTTCGCCGAGTCGCATCACCACAAGATAATTACAAACACCACACCACACCACAAAAAAAATCATGATTTCCGCCTGATTTCTTGAGCAAAATCGAGTAAAGGTCCGATTCACAATCAATCGCCATGGGAGATCAAGAGAAGAGAGAGAGAGAAGACTAGAAGAGCGAAGGGAAAGAGGAGAAAGAAAGCGTTTTTTTTCTCATTTACCTCCCTCGAATCGCAAGCTGCCACGTGTCACTTGGCGTCGATGCTTATTACGCTTGTTTAGGCGTCGACGCTCAGTTTAAAACATTTTTTTTATTTAAATTAATTGCAATTTTCTCTAAGAAAATCTCTAAGCGACCTGCATTAATCATGCTCTAAGAAACTTATGGTGTTAAATCCTTGAGAAACTTCTACTACAGACTTCGTATAAATGAACATTCCATTTCCATAGTATCTTTCATTCGTAAATCTCAAGTATTTAACTGACACTATCGAAATTGAACTTTATTAACCTATTTGTCACGTGGGTTTTTCTAATGATTCATGCATCCTTGTGATTAAGGATCAAAACATCTATAGTTAACCTTAAGTCAGTTGGAAGAAAAAAAGGGGAAAAAGAAAACGACACGTCCAATGTATCTAGATGATGGTGAATTCATGATCATGGTCACAGTAAAGTAGATATACTACTTCTTCTAGTTTTCCTTTTTCAAAAATATATTTTTGGTCAAATATATATATTTATTTTTATAAAAACATTCGTTAGCCCTTTTTGGCTGCTCGTAGTCGTGGATTCGATCTTTTATGTGTCCGTACATATTCAAAATCAAAGTCTACAAAGCAAATTTATAGAGTTATGTTTCCTTCTTTATTTTTCTTTTTCTGTTATGTCTGGGTTCCTTTCCCTTTCATCACATTATAAAATAATGATTACGATTTTATTATTAAGTCGTTTAAATCTGACTAAGGCTTTGACGACTTTGAATCAATCCACGACCGATATTGTATTACATGTATAGATTAAATAGAGTAATAGCAGTAAATGATTATAAGTTTGGCTATTTATTTGCAAAAATTAGTGACTGGTGGAAAACCAAAGCTAAATTAGTTAACGTATTGATTTGCTATATAAAAAAAAAACATTTTTGTGTGTTTTTTTCATAAGAAATATCATGTTATAGCTAGTATGATAGATTCACGGTTTTCTGTGTAAAACACACAAATTAAGCCCGTGTTTCATACTATTAAATTTACAAAAAAATCATTGTATATATAAAAGCCCCATTAACAAAATTTAAAATGAATTAAAGCCTAATATATACCATAATTCAATAATATTATTTTCAAACAATCCAAGCATTAGAAGGCGATGGACCAATCGTTATTCAACAGTAAGTAAGCGAATAATATGAAAAGTGAATTCTTTAGCAAAAAGAAGTATGAAAAGTGAAATTAACGTTCATTCTTTTTGTTATTAATAATCATTTAAAAAATTTGCGTGGTTAAGATTGACGCAGAATCAGAATGTATGCTGTAATCTCCATTACGACTAGTGCAAGGGCTCTCTCGAGGTTGGGGACATCATATAGCTGGACTCAGAGTCTTTTTATATTATGTCTTCGTGCATGAACCATTTAATTGAATATCATATACTCTCGAGGTTGGGGACATCATATAGCTGGAGTATACTATAATTTATGTTAACTAACAAAAAAAAAGATTTATTATAATTTACGATAAGAAGAATCTATCATATAATCGGTCACGTATGTGACGAACGGTTCTACGTAAGTAAAGGTTAAATTAATCAGTGCGCATGAACTCAAACAAGTAGATGAAGCTTCTAAAGTTCAAAATAACAATATTTTCAATTGAATTAGGTTTTCAAAATACTGTTTAAGGGAGTGCTTACCAACATTCCTGATAAAGTATCTTACAATTTATGGAATTAGGCCCAGCCCAAGTTTGCTCGTGACCCACAGGGTGTATGCAGCTTAGCCGAATGTTTACAAGACAGACAAGGGTGTCAATTGGTATAGCCAAGATCAAAGCGCATGTTCGACAATAGCACTGGAGTGGGATGTTTTGACTTTCAAATACTGAATACTGAAATACGTTGACCCAACATTGCTCTCAGTTTCTTAAGTGGCTGAGTAAAAGTCAACACTTCGTATGACATCAACTATACATAAGAGTTGAAACTGGTTTTTGAAGTTATTTTACATTTACTTGATATGAGTTCTACATAATCTTCTAATGTTATGATAGTCGATTTGATGTTAGATCTCTCTTTAGGGTGAAAAAAAAAGAAGAAGAAAAGAGCCGGATCTAGATGTGACCAGTGACCGGCTTAGGGTTCAGTTTTGGATTCTCTAGTAATTATTAAAAAGAATCTCAGACGTTAAAACAAACATACCAAAATAATAGACGTCTAATGCGAGTTCCTTCTTGGAGCTACGTGCATCGATGATCTGACTTACTCACGTGACCGACCAAGCATCACGTGCTGCTGATATATCTCGCCGTTACTGTCTGAACTCAGTGGTCGACGTGGCGCATGACGATGCATCCTCAGGACCTCATTCGTAAAAGGAGTTCGTAGTCTTTAGTCAATAGTCAAACAGAATAAATTCTGTTTGAAATGTTGAAACCTAGTTCGCTAGGGTACTTCCCAAAGCCCAAATGTTTATACTATTGCGCAAACAGTTTGTAACCATGGCTCTGAATCTAGTTTTTCGGTTTGTGATTTCATAGATTTCCCACTATATTTTGAAAGAAAAAAAGATTGGATAATTGAGATAAGATATCATTTTTAATAGTTTTTTTTTTGTGAAAAACAACAAATTACTTCCACTACGGTTTGTCTCCGTCGTGGGCACGATTTACTTGTTAGAAGAAAATTTGAGATCAGTTTAATAAAGTTATAGTATCACTATCAATTACAAAAAATAATATCCATGTCCATGCAAAATTCGATTGTACACACGTTTATGATTGTCAAATACACAAATATATATGTACAAATAATTACTGATATAGGTAATTGTGAGAGTGTGTATTTTATTAATATTATTTTGCTACAGATGAGGAATTATTGAGAAGAAATGTATAAATATAGCACGAAACTGTATTTCTCACCGAAACCTGTTGTGTTCTGTTTTGTCGTTGTGAACCAAACTCGTCAAACATACTTACACGTTAGAGTATGGAAACATTGTCGTCCTGAGTCATTTTATTTTCTTTATCACCGATTCATTTCTAATAAATCTATAATTAAAACGAAAAAACTTTGAGTTCAATTCACTTGCGGTAGATTTGACTTTTGGCGGGTACAGAAAAACGATAAGTCTTACTAACCTTGATTGTATGTATGAGAGAATAAGTTTTCTTTTCGTAACGTTTTGAACCATATGCATAACTTAGATCTTCAATATTGTTCTTTATAATTGCAACAGTTCACAAAATCAAAACCATGTGAAAATTGATAAATTGTTATAATCAAGTCTTCTCCACATCATACTTTTAAAGTCCTGATGACTATTTTACAAGAAAGTCAATTTAAATTAGCAACCGACAATTGTAGTGAGCTGGAGTTTGCAGATTCTAATATTTTTTAAAGATGGTACCACTATAATACTAGAACCAAATTTATCATCATTACGTATGAATTAAATATAGAGCTAATATACATCAGTACATGGATAAACAAAACTTTCGCTATCAGAAGATCCAAATAAACTATACTCATCAAGATGGCGATTAAGTTAGTCCACTTGTAATAAGTAAACTTTCTTTCTCATTGCTTTCCTCACTTAAAAGTACAGAAAAATGTTTAAACAAAAGAAATCTTACAGCAAACGAGTCACATAGATCGAGAAATCAAAATTTATAAAAGATTTAGAAAGATGATGATAAGTTAAATAAATATATGAATCATATAAGAGCCTCTGAAATCTCACCAACTCTATCCCCCTCTCTCTCTCTCTCTCTTTCGATCACTTCATTTTACTCCATCTCTGTTTTTCTTAGCTACCATTATCGATTCCTCTCCTATGGTCTTTCTCTAACACACGCATATACGTATATATACACACAGACAAACACATAAGATTCTTCACTAAAGAAAGGGAAAGATTCAAAACAAAGAAACAAAATTGAATTGATTTCTTCATTCTTTTTTTCTTTTTCTATTGACTCAAAATCCTAAAGGGTTAATTTTCTAGTTTTTCATTTTTTTCTAAAGTTTCTTCATTTTATTTAGATCATTGTCTTCAATGGATCTAACGGACCGTCGCAACCCTTTCAACAATCTAGCTTTTCCGCCGCCGCCGCCATCGAGGACCTTCACAAGCCCTATTTTCCCACGAGCAAGCTCTTCCGGCACAAACTTCCCCATTATCGCCGTCGCGGTGATAGGAATATTAGCCACTGCGTTCTTGCTTGTAAGCTACTACATCTTCGTGATAAAATGCTGTCTTAACTGGAACCAAATCGACATCTTCCGCCGCCGCAGACGAAGCAGTGACCAAAACCCTCTGATGATTTACTCTCCTCATGAGCTAAACCGAGGTCTTGACGAATCCGCCATTAGAGCAATCCCAATCTTCAAATTCAAGAAGCGAGACGCTGTTGCTGGAGGAGAAGAAGATCAGGACAAGAGCTCTCAAGAATGCTCTGTTTGCCTAAGCGAGTTTCAAGAAGAAGAGAAGTTGAGGATTATTCCCAATTGCTGCCACGTGTTTCACATCGATTGCATCGATACATGGCTTCAGAGCAACGCCAACTGTCCCTTGTGCAGAACCAGCGTTTCTTGCGACGCAAGTTTCCCTCTTGACCTAATCTATGCACCAAGTTCTTCCCCGGAGAATAATCCTCCTCATCGGAATCGGAATCTTGAGCCGGAAGGTGTTATAGGAGGCGACAATGACTTCGTGGTGATCGAGCTTGGGAACAGTGATGGTAATAACAGACAAAGCGTGAGAAACAGAGACTTCCGCGTGGAACAAGAAAGGGTTGTCTCGGACCAATCGATCAGTCCTTCGCCTAGAAAGCTCGGAATGCATAAGAAAAAGAGAATATGTCACAAAGTGACGAGTATGGGAGACGAATGTATCAATATTCGTGGCAAAGATGATCAATTCGGTGAAATTCATCCCATAAGAAGATCGATATCGATGGACTCTTCAGTGGATCGCCAGCTGTACCTGGCGGTTCAAGAGGCGATTGGCCGGAGAAACGGGAATATTCCGGTGGTGTCCAGAGACGGTGGGGGTTGTACGGAAGATTCTAGCAGTAGTGGTGGCGGTAATAACAGAGTGATGAAGAGATGCTTTTTCTCTTTTGGAAGTAATAGAGCTTCTAGAAGTTCCTCAATATTGCCTACTTATTTGGAATCCTAATTGTTTTTCTTCTTCTTTATATTTTCTTTTCTGAACAAAATTAATTTGTTTTGATGTATTTTTTTATTGTTATATTTTGAGGTGAAATTATGAAAATTATCTTGGAGGCTGAGATAGGAGAGAAATATATATCAAAGGAATTCACGAATATACATATTTTTTTCTTTGCCAGCAATTCATGAATATGTAAATATAATCATACAGAAAATACTGAAGAGTGAATAGTAGTTTTCTTAACATTACATCAAAGTCTTTAATGTATCATCCATCAATGTTGGGTGTGATGGAAGCATACATTGAAACATTTTTCCTACATAACACAAAATAAATTAAAAAAGCTTTAAGAATTAAGAATATATAAATTATAGTATTCAAGAAATCGGTTTGGGTGGCTTGTTAGGCTATGGTGCGCCACCAATCACCGAGTTTTCGGCCGCATAATTGGCCAGGCAGCTAAGAGTTTGAACAGAGATTGCACAATTTCTTTTAATTTCTCATTCTTCATCTTGTGTATGACTTTCTTTTTGACAATTTCTTCTTGTATGCTTCTCTCTTGGTCTCTTTTTTGAACTCTTATTTGAATCTCTCCTTGGAGATACATGTGATCCATAGTTCCATGCCAAATCAACAATATTCAAATGGTTAATAGCAACAAAAGAAATTTATATTAGAAAAGTGATTACAAGTTAGCCTAAAAAGAAAAAATTTATAACCTAAAAATTGATGACATGGCTATCAGGCTATTACTGGTGGACTAAAGAAGTATATATGGAATCTTGAAGGTCCACACAATTTTCGGTTTCAGATTCATTATTACACATAAATTTCGTTATAAACCATAAGCAAACAAAAATTGTAATTGTAGAATTGTGAAATTATTAGCTGAGCCAAGAAGTGACAAGGACCCCATAGATGCACAAAACACGCAAATATCTTTCACCAAAAAAACGTTTAATTCTCTTTTTAAGTTCTCTTTCATATCTTGAAACTCGAAAGATACGATGTTCCATCGAGGCCTTTCACAAAGTATCCCTTTGTGTATTCTTCTAAATTGATATTTCTGTATTTTGGAGGGTTTTCTTCAGAGATAAGCTCTTTGATTGGTCCGTAAACAGTTGAGTTGGGAAGCATACTCGTGCTGAAAAAGCTCGCTACTGAAATCCTCGGTCCTGCTCTGTTCGCAAGTACCCTATGCTCCACGCTTATGAACTTGTCATTCGTCATAAGCTACATATCAATTGTATCTCAGATTCTCAACAAAGTTACACTGTTTGTTATAATTTTCAAAGTTTGAAAGAATAAATCAATGAACTTGCCTGCAAGAAATCTCCAATGTTGATGAGGAGATCCCCCGGAAGAGGAGAGACATCGACCCAACAGTCCTCATGAAGAACTTGAAGACCACCTATTTGGTCCTGAAGAAGAATGGTGATGGAGTTGTCGGAATGATTGCTTGTACCCAAAGTTAGGTCAGGTTGAGGACATGGAGGGTAGTAATGGCCGAGTATAAGCAAACCCTTCATGCAATCCAGGCTCTTAAGCATCTCTGAGTTTAAACCGAGAGCTTCTGAGAGAAGTTCAAAGAGAAAATACCCTAAGCTTATCATATGCTTCGAATACTCGATCATAGCATCCCTGAGCCAATAAATGATGTTAATGAGAGTATATCATCTTCAGATGTTTCATAGATAAGACTTCTTATTGAAAATCGAAATTACGTACCTGCAAGCCATTGGGAGTTCCTCAGGCTTTGGAGGATCAGGAGCCATATAACAAGCAAAACTGTCTCTCCAGTTAACACATGAAGAAGAGCTATACAGATCGAAATTGCTATTGTACACAAATTTCTTGGCTGCGTCACGAGTGAAGTAAGATTTCTTCACCTCAAGATCTTGCTCATGAAACCTAACTACTCCATCTTTAATCTCTTCAAGAGCGCTCAAAGGAACACCATGGTTAATCACCTGGAAGAATCCCCAATTCCCTGCCGCGTCTTTGATCTTCTCTACAACGACTTCACGCGACGCTGCGTCCACGTGGACGCCTGCAAAGTCGATTATAGGGATTGCAAAATCCGAGGCAGAAACAGAGGTTTTCTTGTCGGCTAAGGTACCTTGAGGAAGACGGGAGATACGAGGAATCTCAGTGATTTGAGCGTCGACGAGACCTTTCACACCTGCTTTCGTCTCGTCAAAAGCTTTGCGCTCGCTATAAGAGTCGAATTCAATCAAGTTTTTGATCGACATGTTATTTTGAACCTATTACAAGATTTCTCACAAAAAAGGCTACACCATATTCAAGAAAAATAAGAGCGTGTTCTGGATTTTCATATGATAATTATGGCAAGAAAAATGGTTTTCGGTTTTTCATTGTTGTGGTCGAGAGTTCTTTTATACACATAAAAAGATAAAGCTTTGCGAGAATGAGATAAATTAATAATAATTTTTTTTGTTATGAAGTGAAGAAGAGAAGATACAAACTCGATGGTTGAAAATTTGGTAGTTGGCGCGTGGGACTGACAATGACCGTTGGTGACGTATGTTCGTGGTTGTTGACTGTGTCTGAAACTGATGTCAGCAATTGTTTTTTCTTTTCTGGCCATAAGAGTCGTTACTGATGTAATTTTGAATTTACTTGTAACGAGGACAATTCAAAAGAATCAAGTAATCCACGTAGTGAAGTGTTCTGATACCAACGAATAATAAGAAGAAGAAAAGGAAGTCAAATCTCAATCGGAATGACTTTGTACTAGTTTGTACTTTGTAGTAATGATTTTTTAGCTCTTTCCCCTCGACAGCAACTAATGATTGACCTAATTGATCAACTTCGTTGCTTCCTCTCGAATGGAACCGCACCTTAAATTCCTCCATGGGTCGTAGCCAATGCTCAAACCTCAGTATCACGATATAATAATGATTTTAGCTCCATAATTTCTGAGTACAATTCAATTTGTTTTTCGCTACCTTCATTTTGTTTGGCTCATTGTTTACTTTCATACAATCCTTTTTGTTGACTTTTACTCTTATCATTAATACGATATTTATAGGAAGATAAAGTGAATAATCGGGTTTCCAGCGTAACATTGGTTTTCCAATTCCTAGATCGTGAAAACAAATAAAAAGTACAGTTCAATTTTAATTTTAAGTAAGAAAATACAAAAGTCAACGGTTTATAAAGAAATTTTGATGGTATTAATTTAACTAGTTCGGTTGAGTTTGGTTCGATTTTGACTTTCCTTCTTTTCACCTTAAAACCAAATCGAACCAAACTAAATTGAATTGAACACCCTGATAAATAACCATATACATATGGAATATTGTTATCAATCCAAGGTAGATCCCACTCACTTATTCTTCTCTAACAGTTGGGTTTTGTGTCCACGATCAAGAATTACATCTCTTATTTTATTTTGCAAACAATTTCAACTTTAAATCAAGATTAAAAAATTAACTATAAACCAGTCAAAACATAATTTATTACATAATCAAATATGTGTGTGATACAGTGAGGAAAATACATTCAACACTGAATTAACCGAAAACATGGTAGATATTTCGTACATTTTTTAAATTAATAGGTTCCACTATGTTGTCTAGGTATATTTGAGCATGGATATTTGATTATTTACAATATTCATGATGACATGATTGTAGAAATTTGTAGCAATTATCAGATTGTAGAAATAACAATTTTTGTTGGGAGTTGGTGTAAGCGATACAAGCTCAATCCAATTTATCCGATTTAGCTCACGTCTCTCGTATACTCTGTTTCCCTCTCTCGAAGACTCTCGTATGTTTAACAGGGAATAGAGATGAAGAAGAAAAAGCAGTAAAGAAGACAGGCAATTACAGAGTTCCCCACTGCCACTCCAGGTACGTCTCTCTTCGGGATCGGAACCCGGAATCCACTAAGAGCTTCACATTACAACAATGGCGATAAACCTCAGCCACAAAGAAGAAGAATCCGATTCACTCTTCTGTTACAAGTTGCAACGACTTATAACGGTGTCGTTACACTTAGTCACTTACACGTGAACTGGCTCTTGGGCCTTACAACTTTAGGCCCACCAGAAACTCAAATTAGAACCATCTTTTTACAGTTGGGAAACAAAAAGAACAATTATAAGACAACAATATAATTTTGATTGATATAAGATAATTTTTTTCAAGATAAACACACATCGAGATCCGAAAAAAGACAATAAATAAAAACATGCTAATATAAATTTTCAGGCCACAATACACACGGCCTACTAAACTATAACAAGTGAAACATAGAATTTTACCCAGAATCGCCATTATCTTTCTTGGTCTCGTACTTAATTCTCTCCTTGATTTTCTTGTTCTTCGAGTTTCTGAATCTTTTTCTTGGATAGTTTCTTCTTCTCACTGTCACGAGTTGGTAAACAACATACCAGATGTAAGCTAACCACTGAGAGCTTGGGTTAGAGCTGTCAAAGTGGACATCGGCCCATGGGCGAGTCCATATCCATATAAAAATGGACAGACATGGACAAGCCCATTTTCAATATAGACATAATTTGGGCATGTCCAATTTAGCCCATGGACAAATATGGACGGACACGTGTGGACATGGGCTGTCCAATGGACATAAATATCTAGGTCAAATTGATTTGAGAAAAAATCATTTTTCATAATCTGGGTTAAGCTTGGGTTTTCGGTAGGCCTGTCAATTTCAGACCCGAACTGCGGGTCCTGCCCCGATTGACCCGCCGCGGGGCGGGTGCGGGTCGAGAAAAATTCAAAAAAAATTAGTGGGTCATGCGGGTGCGGGTTGTAATATTTTAGTCCGCGGGTTTGCGGGTTACCCGCCAATTTTTTTTTCTTTTTTAATTTCAATTTTTTTTAAATATTATTATTTAGTCAACAATTGTTCTTAATTTATCGAAAAAAAAAATATTCAGAAATATTTTTAAATTATTTAATAATATTTAAAAACTCTTTTAAAAAATAAATATTAATGATTTTTATTATTAAAAAAAATTATTTGTAATTTTTTATTAAAAATATATATAATTTAAAATTTTATTATTTTATTAATATTTGCGGATTACCCGCGGATATCTGCAGATTTAAACGGCGCGGATGCGGGTCGAAAAAAATATGTTCAAAATTTGGCGGGACGGGTCAAAGCGGGTCAAAAAAAATATTGATATGTGCGGGGCGGGTCAGGCGGGGCGGGTTTGACCCGATTGACAGGCCTAGTTTTCGGGTTTTGGTTCGGGATTTGATCGGATTTTTCGGATTTTAGGTTTTCGGGTTTAGAGATATATAAATCGTCCGGGTCTTTTAAAGTTTCAGTTCGGGTTTGGTTTAAGTTTTTTTTCGGTTTCGGATTTTTTTCGAGTTTTTCGGATTTTCAAAGTTTTTTTACGAATTTTTGGGTTTTTAAAGTTTTTTACGATTTTTTAGGTTTTTCGGGTCGAGTTCGGATTCGGATTCGGGTTTCACGTAAAAGTCCTAAACCTAACTCGCGCAGAAAAAAAAAATCGATTTTCAAAAAAAAAATATATATAATATAAAAAATTGATTTTTTGTCTATGGACAGCCCACGGACAGCCCAGTTTTGATGGGCCATAATGGGCATGGTCCAATATGGACATGGAGCTAAATGGACACGGACAATATTTTGTCCATAAAACAAATGGACATTATTGGACGGGCCAAAATGGACATGGACGCCCATTTTGACAGCTCTAGCTTGGATCGACATGAGTATACTGTTCACATAACTTCACATAATTTATAGAGAGTCCTCATAATTTTACGTAAACAAAAAGGAATAAAAAAAATTACACCGGCCCCATGCGATATCCAGTGTCAGAAAATATGGTTTTGATATTGTTGACTTTTAAGTCAAAAGCGATTTGCATAAACTTAACATGATTTTATATAATGCATGTTAAATTTCCTTACAAGTAACAAACAAACAAAAATTGTAATTCTAGAATTGTGAAATGTTACTTTTTGTCATTTTCTACTCTCATATATTAGACTTGATTTGAAAAATGATGATAAAATGTTTGGCTAAAAAAAAAATTACAACAAATCTAGTGGTTTTATTATTTAAAGTTGAACTAATCATATTTATATACCTTTTCTGTTTTTAATATCTTTATAAAAAAAAGATTATACATAATAGCCATATTATCTATTTGTAGACTCTGCATAAAAAATTAAAGAGAATGGCCAACCACATACAGTAAAACCTCTATAAAACAATAATGTTGGGACTTTGAAAATTTATTATCTTATCGAGTTATTGTTTTATCGATAAAATAATAATAATTATTTTATAAAATATTCTATAAAAAAAAGAAACTTTATAGAAATATATGTAAGTAGGTACACGTAAGGAATCAATTGTGGCTTCGAAAACTCTTCACAACTTTTGGCCCCAGAAATTGTTGATGCAATAAGAAAATTCGAGATGAGCTCCAACGAGAATCCAACTTTCATAAAAGACAAACTACATTGGAGTCATATTTTACTAAATTGCCTTAGATATATATGCCTTAGTTTTATAATTATTATCTTAGCCTATTGTTGGGACTATATTTTTACATAGGAGTTTCAAAAATATTATTGTCTTATCATCTTATCGCATTATGCTATTTTTTACATTGGCCCGAGTTGGGACCGGAGAAATTTATTATCTTATAGTGTTTATTGTTTTATCGAGTATTATTTTATAGAGGTTCTACTGTACATAGTTGCATTTATTTCAATATAGTTGTGCACCCAAATATTAATGATGAGAATTCTTATTAGTGATGAGAATTCTGACGAAATCTGTTTTGGTGTAAAAAAAAATTGTTTTGCTTTGAGGTGAAATTATCAAAATTATCTTGGAGGTTGAGATAGGAGAGAAATATACACATGTTCACTAAGGAATTCATGAGTACTTAAATTTAAATAGTATCATACAGAAGTTACTGAACAGGAATAGTAGTTTTCTTAACATTAAATCATGTTGTACAAAGACACCAAAAAAAGTCACACCAACTGTTGGTAATTTTCTCAACTTTAAGACTTTGTAAAAGAATATTTGCTACCATGCATCTATAAGCGAATAGTGCAATTCCACGAAATCAAATTCTAGAATGAACATAACATGTCAAAACAGACTGAAACTTTGTGCGATTCCCCAGGAAGAGGAAAGAAGTCGACTCAACAGTCCTGGTGAAGAACTTGAACTTGAAGACCACCGATCTGGTCATGAAGAAGAATAGTGTGAGAAAAGAGTTGTCGAAATATTACTTGCGCCCAAAGTCATTGGCACGAAGTGGAAGTGGAATTTTTTTTTTTTTTTTTGTTAAAGTGGAAGTGGAAATTGAAGTAACCAATCATTATAATCACACACACAAACTTCTTGCTTCTTTTTGTTTTAGTTATTAGATGAGCCAAGAAGTGACAAGGACCCCAATAGATGCATGAAACACACAAATATCTTACACCAAACAAGATGAATTCTCTGTTTTGGTTCTTTTTTCATATCTTGAAATTCGAAAGATGGTTGTTTGTCCATCGAGGCCTTTCTCAAAGTATCCCTTTGAGTATTCTTCTAAATTGATTTTTCTGTATTTTGGAGGGTTTCTCAAAGTATTCCTTTAATCTCTTCAAGAATGCTTAAAGGAACACCATGGTTAACCACCTGGAAGAATCCCCAATTCCCTGCCGCGTCTTTGATCTTCTCTACAACTACTTCACGCGACGCTGCGTCCACGTGGACGCCTGCAAAGTCGATGATAGGGATTGCAAAATCCGAGGCAGAAACAGAGGGTTTCTTGTCGGCTAAGGTACCCTTGAGGCAGACGGAAGATACGAGGAATCTCAGTGATTTGAGCGTCGACGAGACCTTTCACACCTGCTTTCGTCTTGTCAAAAGCTTTGCGCTCGCTATAAGAGTCGAATTCAATCGGCTTTTGGGTCGACATGTTATTTTGAACCTTTTAATGGTGGATGTCAAAAAAACAAAAAAAATAAGAATGGTGTAAAGGCGATTTTTTCACATGCAAGTTAGTCCGTCCGTTGCAACCGTTTAAACTTTTATAAAAGTGGTATTTAAGAAAATTAGTTTAAAATAGATAATAGGTGAAATTCAGTGGACCAGCTTAATATGCGTTAATGTATAATATGATATCACATCAATTAATTTGTCATATCTGACTTGGGTTATAATAAAGGTTATTTCTAAATAATTTAAGCCGCTTATCGTTTTTTCATATAATTATAATAAGCGATTGATTAACTATTCAAAGACATATTACCTTTTTGTTTTAAACTAGAATATGATTCTTTCCATTATATGTGGCACACAAAATCTCTCAGAAAATTAAATAAGTTATAAAGTGATTGGTTTAGTCTAAAGTTGGTACAGGAGAGAATAAAAAAGTTATATTATCTCCTTGGTCTAAAGTTCATATGGTCTTTATCATTCTTTTGCTTTATAAACGATACAAAATTTATCAGATATTAACAAAAGTCACGAACTATGTCAAGCATACTATTACTTGGAAAAATGTTTTGTTTGCAAGAAACAGGGCCGGCCCGAAGCTAAAGCCCGTAAGGCATGGGTTTTGGGCGCCAAAATTTACAAAATTGTTTAGAGTGCTAAAATATATAAAGATTTTAGGGGCACTATAACCAAAAAGGTCTCTTAAGCGTATTGGTTAAGTTTGTAGACTATACAGGAACCCCGGGTTCGAATTTATCTTTTTATCTTTCTCTCTTCTTCTTTTTTCATAGTTAAATTTAACAAAGCTTCATCAATTTCTGCTAATCTCTCCAACAATTTATGTCAATCTCCAATGATTTTCTGTTACTATTCATGTATGTTGTCTTTTCTGAATTCTCATTTTTTCTATTAGCAAATTTTGTGTGTTTTAGGAACTGAAACATGAAGTTTTTGATTTTTGAATGGGTTATATTGGTTAATCATCCTCTCTCATCTCTCTCATGCCTGGAGAAGTGAATGATTCAGTCAAAATGTCGTAAAATACAAAAAAAAAATTGTGATGAAAGGGCATCATATTTTACATTCGCTTTAAGCGCCATGAGTCATCGGGCCGGCACTGGCAAGAAACCGTCATCAACAGAACTTTGAAAAATGATCATATACTCCCGGATAGCTAAAAGACCTAGAGATAATAACTGTATAGAAGACCAAAAATATAAAGAAGACCAAACTTATATCAGACCTAGAGCTTTTATTTTATTTTCTGATAGCTTTGCCAATGGCTCGAAACCTATTAGCAGAAGCTAATGAGCAATTTTTTTATTTCTTGAATAACATTAAAAAAAAAAGGTAAACAGAAAGAATGAGGAAAAAAAGTAATATATACTATATAAAAGTTGAGGCTATAAGCCTCTAAGAGCGTCCACATAGGATTTAAAAACGCGATATGATTGGTCCACATAAGTATTTCCTAGATTAAGAAAGTTTCCGAATTTTAAACAACCAATAGTATCAGTCCACATCATCACATAAAATTAGCTATTTGTTCAATTAGTTAAATTCCTTTTTATATTTTTATATTTTAAGAAAGTTTCATAATTCAAAGGTAAGCAATAGGAAAGTTTCCAGAATTTATAAGTGTAATATTAGTAGAGATATGTAATAAATAAGAAAATTATACCAACAATATCATTATATATCAACATCTAAAATTATTTATATTTGAATTTTTTTTCATTAATTTACTTTTTATTTTTATCAGCAGAATTGTAAAAAAGGAGATTTTCCTTTAAGAAAAAAGAAAACAAATAATAATACTATTGGAAATTAAATAAGGAAACAAATAAGGAAATTTTCCTTTAGCTAATAAAAATTAAAAACCCTAACACACTTTTGCCATCTATTTCTTATATATACCAAGAGTCATCTCCTCCCTTTTTAACACCTACAAAAGCTACAATTGTATTAACTGGATTTTGATCAAATGTAGCTTACATGAATAAACATATGTTCACGTCAGAGCTTGATATAAGATCAAACAAATCCAACATCGAGAAACCACCTGGAAACAAGATGGAGGGATATATATTGAAGACAAGATACTTTGACATCACATATTGAAAGTTCACATAGATCGATCAATTCTTCTAAAGGATATGTAGTGGATTAATGAAAAATCATGAAGCAAAGGAATGATTGAAACGAAGACAATGGGCATCACACTGAAGGTATACATGTCCTTCTGTGAAATAAATAAATTCGCTTGCTTTATTTCGAATATTATCTGGTCTATGGTGTTCAATTGATTTTCTTTGTATTTTGATAATGGAAGCACATCCAATTAATTAATAAATAAGTTACATTACCACAAAAAATTCAAAGGACTATGAAGAGAACAAGGAATCGAAATTACCAAAGTGTAGATTAAATCAAAAGTGAATTGTTGCTCCTAAATTAGTAAGCTTTCGATGGGGAAAATAATATTGATTATGAAGAAAGAAAAAAAATCAGAATAGTGATTACATGACACAAATTGAAAGGAAAAGGCAAACACAATAGAAGGCTGTATTTTGTTCCTTTTCTATTTTTCTATTTTTGTTTTTTCAATGTTTTGTAATATTTACATATTCATGTGTTTATAAGTAGTACTTTTAAAAGATGCCACTTGAAAGAGAAGGAATATAAACAAAAGTAAATTTATGAAAAACAGAATAAGATAAATTCCTTCTCATTTTAGTATTTACATATGACATTCAAAGGGCCTGTTTTGAATATATTTTGTTCAATAAGTCATTCTAGCTTGATTTTATTTTCAGTTTTTCAGGTAACGAAATTGTGTTTTATTTAATTATAATTTATTCTAAATTTAAGAGGAATAGAGCCATGCAGAATTTTAATGGAATTTTAAGGGTCGAGAATAACCTACAGAAATAAGAGAAAAAAAATGAAGAAAAAAGTAGACACAAAGAAGAAGAGTACCAAGATAAAACCGAAGAATAGCGAAAACAAAGATATTGAATTGCGAATACAAAATAGAGACCAAAGAAGACAAAGATGAATAAGGAAAAACCATATTAAAAACTTGTGAAGAACAATTTGAAGAGGAATTCGAACAAGAACGAAGGAGAAGAAACCTAACAACAACAACAAAAAAACTTGCGAAGACCAATCTAAAGAGGAAATAAAATAAGAACAAAGGAGAAGAAACCAAATCAAAACAAAACAAAAAAGAGAAAAAAAAAGAAGAGCGAAGACGAAGAAGAGCAAACGCGAAGATGAGTGAAAATGAAGAAGAAATCAAATAAGACCAAAGACAAAGAAGAAAACAAAACATAAGATACTGAAAAAGAATGAATCAAAGAAAATTAAAAAAAACTTTAAAACAACAACGAAGAAGAAAATGAAGAACAATTATGTGTGTCGACTAGCTTCTCTTCATTTAGGTTTTAGGTTTTATAACCATTGAAAACTTACCAAAATATTAGTTTATCATCTAGCTTAAATTTATTACATACAAATATTGTTATTTATAGCATTTTAAGTTCTAACATAACCAACTGAAGTTATTTTAAATAAACATCATGTTACATACAAATATTGTTGACATCTAATTTTAAGAATTTCACTAAACATATTTAAAAATATATTTCTGTTTAGAAAATGACTAACACGTCACAATAGTTCATAAATTAACATTACATTTTACAAGTAAGTTTAGTGATAAAGTAAGTTTGTCCTATTATAATGATTTGAATATCTTCAAGTAAGTTTTGGTCATTAGACATACACAAACATTTTTGTTACCGGGATATGATCTAAACAATATTTTTGTATGTCAAGATTTGATCTCAATACGATATTGATATATCTAAAAACTTTTGTTTTCCAGAGAGTTTTGGTATTGAAATATTGATAAATTTTAATTGTTGATTTTTGCAGTTTAAAAAAAAAATTAAAATATATTTTAAACTGATTTAAGATACAGACCCGCGCGTGCGCGGGTGAAAGTCCCAGTAATATATATAGTCCTCATGAAAGAGAATATAGTCAAACTTTAAATTGATTAGTCTAATAATGTACGTACTAGTCAAAAGGAAAAACACTAGAAAAAAAAAAAGGGAAAATAATCAATAAAGATTCGACCGTTTAACCAAAACACAAGCCAAACACACACTTGAATTCTCTTCTCTCTATATATACACACTCACACTCACACATAAGACATAAGACATAAAACCAACGACAACAAGAAACTTCGGCGATGTCCACGGCGAGAAATTTTTCGGGCGGCGGAAATCGAAAGTCGAGCAGGCTTCAGCGGCGCGCTCCACCACCTATAAAGATAAACCCTTCCGAGCCGAACTGGAAAGTGGCTATCCCTCTTCTATCACCTACAGAGTCGCCGCCGCCGAAGCTACCGGTGGTAATGAAGAGGGAGGAGCAACGGTGGGGAAAAGAGGCGGAAAATCCACCGGTTTTCAAGAAGTGGCAGCACCCGGCAGCGCCGTTTTTCTACCAGCCAGAGCCGTCATCGAACAAGCCGTTTGCATGGCCAAATTAGTGGTTTTTAGAATTAGGGGCCATTTAGGGCTAGCACACACATATTATATGCGCTTTGTATGCCGATCGTATGGATTATCTTTACGCATATATATGTGGGTTGTTATTTCTTTCGGGTATTCATGAGTAATTGTAAGCCAACTAATATATGTAGTATAGAGTTCGTGTCTTCGTGGTACATCGTGTAATAGCGTGTTATATATTCTAACGATCGTAAGTTGTATAATTGAATAAAATGTTATATTAATGAATCAATGAAGCGTACATATATGTAAAATTCTCAACAACAAAAAAAATGTATCTAATCTTGTGACTGTCACTTTTCAATTTCACTATAATATAAATATATAGTACCTTTTTCTGTGTAATAACATTGCGCTTTTATGTAATATATGTGATCGAGTAATTTCGGTGACAACTTTTTACAAGTCTACAAACTAATCTTCATCCATGTTCTGAGTAGTTGACGAAGAAAGTATATAGTGTATGTTGTTAGACTGTTAGTCGAAGCTTGTGTGGTATTGCAGATTTTTTCTTTTAAAAAAGATGATATGGTCTCATGCAAAAAGTAAAAGTTATGATGTTACAATTGTTCTTCTCTATTGCTTATCATGTATGTTACCTGAAGAGGGATTGGTAGATGCATGCATTCTTCTTACCTGGCATTTTCTTGAAAAAACAAGACATTTGTTTCGCCGTAGCCAGGAGGGAACGGACAGAAAAGGAAGGGAATCAGCACGTGTTGGTCACCCGACATATTGATAAAAAAAGGCTATGTTGGAAAAAATGCACCAGCCGGGAATCGAACCCGGGTCTGTACCGTGGCAGGGTACTATTCTACCACTAGACCACTGGTGCTAAGATGTTCAGCTTTCATTTACAAGCTATCACTAGTTAAACACTACATATTTTTTCAAGAAAATCGTTACAACTGTAACTAACTGCTCGTTATTGTTAAGTTTTTTATTTTTTTTGGTAAAAGTCGTTATTGTTAAGTTATGTAGTTATATGTTGTTTGTGTCAAATTTTATAAGGGAACAAAAATAATAATATATACGGATTTGCATGTATAATTTTGGAATTTTGGATTGAGGGAAAAAACTAGATTAGTGGCTCATCATGTCGAATTTGAACTCACAGTTTAAAAACATTATCAAATGAAAGATATGCCAGGAAAAAAACTAACACTGAGATATTTTAGTGACACTTGGATTCAGTGAGATGCTCTTGCACTCAACACTCCTTTCGTGATAAGAATTAAATTGGGTTAGGCCCACACAAACATTGATTCGGTATGTTGTCAATAGAAAAACAAAGATGGAGTGTTTAACTAAATCATGTCTAATAAAAGGAACAACAAAAACGAACTCATATCTAAGTAGTAGCAAGTAGGCTAAGATATCGGGCAAACGTAACGTGTTTGAAACGAAAATTGGTAAAAAAAGTAGTACGAATGTATTTTCTAATTCTTAGCTCTATCTAACTTATGTTATCATATCAGCCACAAATTGTGCCATTTCGCTAATTTATTGAGTAGTAGAAGACTAGGAGTAGACTTCATACTTTAGAGTTTATATTTTCTTCTACTTTGAACTTCACTCCACAGTTTAGTACTTTTGTATTGTTAAATGCATTTTTCTTTAAATGCATTTACTTTTCGCTAATCGTGACAATACAAAACTAACACCAAGAGATTAACTAATAATTAACTTTAACATTAAACACTCTAACCCCAAATTATGTTGTCACTTGTCAGTCAAAACCAATTAATTTCTGATATGTTTACAGTCATTTAAATATATATTTTAGGGTCATTAACTAGTAGCAATTAAAAAGAAGAAAAGGGATAAGAGAATCGGAGTAATTGAATTTGGTAAGAGTCCACGTAGGTCAAGATGTCGTGCTCGTGTTGTGTTCCAAACTAAAAAGCGTCTATGTTCTCTTCATGTACCGTTTATGGGCCCCACGCTTTCCTTCTTCAGTCTCCCCCCAATTCCTTCTCTCTCTCTCTCACCAAATTTTACTCTCGCAGACTCTCTCACACAATTTACTCAGAACGCACCTCTCTCTCTCTCTCTCTCTACTTTCTGATGAGTTTCGTGAGTTAGAGGGAGAGAGAATCATAGAAACCCACAAGGTATCAGAATTGTCGTGACTTGGATAGCATTTTTCTTCTACAGTTTACATTTACCGGAAAAGGAGATTTTCGCTGAATCGTTGTGTAATACTACTTACAGGTAATGGTTTTTGTAATGTGAGATGAAATTTTGTCAATTGTGGCTATTTCTCATCTGATTTTGTCCTTTTTTCGATTATACATTTTTGGGATTTACTTCTGTGGATTTTTGTGGGAGGGAAGCTCCAGATTTTGGTTTATTGTTGGTTTTCCTAATTTCAGAGAAAAGAAAATTGAGTGGTGAAAGAAAAACTTATAAATTTGGTCAGTGTCCTGAGAAGGATTAGAATTTAGCGACATAATTTTTCAATTAACTTTACTCTCTCCAAAGAATTTTGACAATTTTCTGATTTTGATTTTCACCATGTTTCATAGGTAAAAAAGGGGAAAAAAATATCCAAACTTTGATTCATAGATAATTGAAAATCTCGAATTCGAATTCTTGGTATGAACGAAAAGTTGACCTTTTTATAAATTTGTCTCTCTCAGGGAGAGTGATCGATGTTAAAGACATTGTTAGTTCACGGGATACTCTTCTTCTTCTTAACCGGCTCCATCGCCGCCGACGAAAACGACGGTGGCTTGTCCTTATGCAACTGCGACGACGAGGACAGCCTCTTCAGCTTCGAGGCAATCCTCGAATCGCAGAAAGTCGGCGACTTTCTAATCGCGGTCGCGTATTTCTCGATCCCAATCGAGCTCGTCTACTTCGTCAGCCGCACCAATGTGCCTTCGCCTTACAACTGGGTCGTCTGCGAGTTCATAGCCTTCATTGTCCTCTGTGGCATGACCCATTTGCTCGCTGGCTTCACCTACGGACCCCACTCGGCTTGGGTCATGACAGCTGTCACTGTCTTCAAGATGCTGACTGGGATCGTCTCCTTCCTCACGGCGGTCTCGCTCGTCACTCTCTTGCCTCTGCTTCTCAAAGCCAAGGTTCGAGAGTTTATGCTGAGCAAGAAGACGAGAGACCTTGGCCGTGAGGTTGGGATCATAATGAAGCAGACGGAGACGAGCTTGCACGTTCGTATGCTCACTAGGAAGATTAGGACGTCTCTTGATCGTCACACGATACTCTACACGACGCTCGTGGAGTTGTCCAAGACTCTGGCGCTCAAGAACTGCGCCGTTTGGATCCCGAACGAGATCAAGACGGAGATGAATCTTACTCACGAGTTAAGACCGATGAACGATGACGAGAATTATGAGAATGAGACTGTTGGTGGTGGTGGTAATGGTGGTGGGTTTTCTTTACCGATATCCGAGGCTGATGTTGTGAGGATTAAGAGAAGCGAAGAGGTGAACATGTTGAGCCCTGGCTCTGCGCTAGCCTCGGTGACTAGCAGAGGCAAGGCAGGTCCTACGGTTGGGATAAGAGTACCGATGCTTCGGGTTTGTAACTTCAAAGGCGGGACGCCGGAGGCGATCCACATGTGTTACGCGATCTTGGTCTGTGTGCTTCCGTTGGGGAAGTCTCGGAACTGGACATACCAAGAGCTTGAGATTGTCAAGGTTGTGGCTGATCAGGTGGCGGTTGCCATCTCTCACGCCGTGATCCTCGAAGAGTCTCAGCTCATGAGAGAGAAGCTGGCGGAACAGAACCGAGCGCTTCAGGTGGCGAGGGAGAACGCGCTGAGAGCTAACCAAGCGAAAGCTGCGTTCGAGCAGATGATGAGCGATGCCATGAGACGTCCCGTGAGGTCTATTCTCGGGTTGCTTCCTATGATAACGCAGGACGGGAAGTTGCCGGAGACGCAGAAGGTTATTGTTGATGCGATGGGGAGAACCAGCGAGCTGTTGTTACAGCTTGTGAACAACGCCGGAGATATAAACAACGGGACGGTCCGGGGAGGGTCGGAGACGCATTGTTTCAGTTTGCGTTCGGTTGTGAAGGAAACGGCTTGCTTGGGGAGGTGTTTGTGCCTTGGGAACGGGTTTGGTTTCTCAACGGAAGTTGATAGAGCGTTGCCTGATTATGTTGTGGGAGATGCGAGAAGGTTGTTTCAAGTGATGTTGCATATGCTTGGGGGTTTGATGAACCGGAAGATCAAAGGGAATGTGACTTTCCGGGTTTTGCCGGAAAGTGGAAGCTCGGGTTTAGAAGAGAGGAAAGATAGCCAAGAAGCGGTTTGGCGACAATGCTATTCTAAAGAGTACATTGAAGTTAGATTCGGGTTCGATGTAGCTGCTGCAGAAGGCGACGAGAGTATATATAGAAGTAACATGGAGGAGGAGGAGATTCCGAGATTCGACATCTGCGAAGATATCGTAAAGGTTCGACATTCTTGTGTTGTGTTTTTGGTTATATATGTTGAACGACTTGGTTTATAATCTGGTTTGTTTTGTGACAGTTGATGCAAGGGAATATACGGGTTGTGGAGAACGGTCTAGGTTTGGTGAAAAGCCTATCGGTTGTTTTCCGGTTCCAGCTCCGGCGATCTATAATGTCACGTGGCGGTGGATATTCTGGAGAAACGTTTAAGACATCAGCTCCTCCGTCTGCTAGTAATTGACCATTGGCCGGGAAAAATGTGGTGCAGAAGAGAGATAAGGGTGGAATCTGAAAATTTGTAAAACTTGTAGGGGGTTAAGAGTGCAAGATCTCAGAGAGCTACAACGGTGTCGTTTGGTTTTATAAAGCTGAAAATTAACTAGGCTAACCTATCGTGATGTAGGCAAAAGGTCCAGAGTGACTTGTTACTTGGTAGATAAAAGAATTCAAAGTTAAATGAATGTATGAAAGTATGTTATTAGACTTTGTAATTGAGAATCCGGCGGCTCGGGACTATCATCATCACCGAAAATTCAAGTTAATCACGACATCTATACAACCATTTCAACACGATCTGAATTCACGACATCTAAGAAGAACTTCAAAACAAAACAACACGATCAATGTAGCTGATTCTTACTAGGCGTTGCTGGTGGTTTCGTTCTTTGATTAACCTCCTTTCATGGTCGATATTATGACAAATAAATTTCTCTTTCTCTTTCTCTTTTTACATTGGTTGTGAGATTGCATAAGAATTTAGAGGTTATACACTTATACTAGTTCTTACGGCTAACGTTATCCAATCATGTTTTATTTTTATTTTTTTATACATAAATAGTTTTGAAATCCACATATATTTGGTCATATTTTCAGTTAAAAATTGTTTCAAATATATTTATTTCCTTACAATATAAATCTTTTTTTGTTGACTTCTAATATAAATCTTTCTTTCACTCAAATATTGATGAGCTTCTCTAATTTTGAAAACATATATATATACCATCTTAACTCTAGTCGAATTCAATTTCAAGCATTTTATGAATCCAATCAGATTATTGTGCAATTATTCATTCCTTACGTAATACATAAAAACTTAGCAGGAAACATTATAGATTTACGGTGGATTTGAGGAATTTTGTTCTGACATATATTTGTTCTGAAAGAGAAATGTAATAACTTAGATTTCAGCAGGAAACATATTTAATTTCAACGAATTAAAATAATTAGGAGCTATACTACTAATTAAGTTGACAAAAAAAAAATACACTACTAATTAAGTTTTTAAGGAAATTAATAAGGGTTTTATTCTCTGTTTTTTTCTTTCCTTGAGCTCTTTCGTGGACATCTCTCTATTTATCTCTCTTTCATCCTTGCGTCGTCTTTTTTTGTTCTCTCTCTCTAGAATCTCTTCGAGCTGCCATTAACCCATTCAACGAATAAGCTTCTCTTCGCTCTTTCTTCCACCATCCCAGGTTCGCTTCGATCTACAAGACTGCCGTTCAATATCCGCTCCCTTGTTGTTCAGATTTCGAGTGGCTTAGGTTCCGATAACAAACTCTCTCTTATTTCCGGGAGCGGTTTCTGATTTTCCGATCGTTGATTCCATCTGGGTTTTGTTAGGTTTCCGATGCCTTGATGAAATTGGGTGTTGTATTTGGAGCTTGTAGTTGATAGAAATGAAATATTGATCTTCCTCTAATTTTTCGGCTGATTTTTTCACCATCTATTTTCTGAGATTCGAATTTAGGGTTTATTGCCTATCTGTGTGGGTTTTATGGGTTTCGATTTATGCCATGAATTCGTTTGGCTCACGGATACAATCGAGAAATGAATTTCGGATTTAGACTTTCGTTTTCCCGTGGCTGGGGGATTGAATTGATACAGTTTAATAGGGCCAGATCGTTGAATATTATCCAATCATAGGTGTGGGCGAGATTTAAGAGGCATATATGATCGTTGCAGTTGGAGACTATATATCTGCTTGCTCTTTGTCCATTTGAGTGACCAGATCAATTGCTTTTTTTCAGCTAATCTTATTGTTTAGAGTGGGGACTTGGCTATTTTTTCATGAAGATGAAATTGTGGGAATTACAGAATTCATGATCTAATTTTTTTTTTTTTTTTTTTTTTTTTTTTTTTTTTTATATAGTTGAAGAAGAGGGAGCTTTGACGAAAATTTCATCTTGGGGAATGGCAGAGACTGTTGATGAAGATTCTGGAGTGGGACGATCAGTAGAGCAGAGTTCTAATGGACAACACAGTCAATCAGGAGAAGCACTCTCAGAGTGGCGGTCTGCTGGTCAAGTGGAGAATGGGACTCCATCAACATCGCCCCCTTACTGGGACAGCGATCAGGATGATGATCATGGTAGGTGTTTTGCAGCAAGATTCTTCATAAATATTGTTTACTTTGAATTATATCTAAAACCAGCACAGACGGAGTGCAGTACTCTTCTTTAATATATGATATATGTATTCATGGTTTGCTGTCAATACTAACATGCTGATTTTCATCTTACTGTTGGAAGGTAGAGATTTATGTTTTTGTGGTAGTATATCTGATGTTGAATCCCTCTGATCAAGTAAATAGTTTTTTTCATCTTTGAATTAGCAAATGCATGCATCTAAAATCAATTGAAATGTGCTGGAGATTTTTGTCTGTGTGTGTTGAGGACTTCAGCTTTTTATACCATCCTTCTATTCTCCTTTTTTGTTTGGTTTTGAGCTTCATTATACTTTTTGATGTGTTCTTAGCTGTATAATGTCAAAATAATTATTTTTCCCAGGCCTGAAACCTTTTGAATTATTTGGAAAACATAAATGGAAGATTGAGAAATTTTCGGAAATCAACAAAAGGGAGCTCCGTAGCAGTGTTTTCGAAGCTGGTGGCTACAAATGGTACATGACATATATTTATCCATTCGTCCTTATATTTTTGCCTCACAAGAAAAACCTTGATCTGTTTTCTTAAGGCTCTTTTATCTTCATTGTGTCAGGTATATTTTAATTTATCCACAAGGATGTGATGTTTGCAATCATCTCTCCTTGTTTCTCTGTGTTGCAAACCATGATAAACTTCTTCCAGGTTAGTATTTTTGTCCACTGGTCTGCATGGTTCCCTTTTTCTGTCTGGACACTTCATGTTGATTCTTTTGCTATTGGAGACAGGCTGGAGTCAATTTGCTCAGTTTACTATAGCTGTGGTGAGTAAGGATCCAAAGAAATCGAAGTTTTCAGGTGACTTTTTGCGTCTTAATTTGCTTGCTCACGTTTTGATATTCAGACAACTGAACTCACCTCTTGCAGATACGCTGCACCGGTTCTGGAAGAAAGAGCATGACTGGGGATGGAAAAAGTTTATAGAGTTATCTAAGTTAAAGGATGGGTTCATAGATGGTGACTCTCTTACGATTGACGCCCAAGTTCAGGTGATCAGGTAATGCAAGATTGACTCTGTAAACTATGAGTAAAAGTTACCACACCATCCATTTTCCATACTATCATTCACCTACAGCTCCACATGTTCATAAGTTCCCTATTTAATCACATTTGATAAGATTATATTCTTTCTTTTCCCGGGTGTCACTGTTTTTTTGGCATTGTTGATAATATTCCTATAATTGGTCCTTGTAGGGACAGGGTGGACCGACCTTTTCGCTGCCTTCATTGTGAGTATAGGAGAGAGCTTGTTAGAGTTTATTTGACAAACGTAGAGCATATCTGCCGACGTTTTATTGAAGAGAAAAGAAGTAAGCTTGGGAGGTTGATAGAGGACAAGTCAAGATGGACGAGGTATTTCACATTGCAACTTGTACCCTTGCGATTTGTGATGATAAGTGAGCAGGATGTAGCTATGGTTACCTTTTCTTCTGAGGAAACCATGCTATGTTAGAATATTTTGTTTTCCACCATGCGTCTGGAGTCCTATATAAATTTTGCTTTAGTTTCAATTTTCTCTGCACTGTCTCTGATTTACAAGTCTTGATAGCCAAGGACAGAAATCCGTAAAAGAGGATGTGGGAATTTTTTCTTAGTTCACACACTTGTTGAAGGCCAGGATTTACACCAATCTAGTATAGTATAGTACTGTTGCCTTACTTTTATATTTCTCGTGATATTCTTTTCTCTCAAAGTTTAGCAATTTTCTCTAAAAAGGATTTGATTATCATTTGTGGTTGCAGCTTCGGTGTTTTCTGGTTAGGGATGGACCAAAACTCTAGGCGTCGGATGTCTAGGGAGAAAATTGATGTACTCCTAAAAGGAGTTGTAAAACAATTTTTCGTAGAGAAGGAAGTTACATCCACTTTGGTGATGGATTCCTTGTATACTGGGCTGAAGGCTCTTGAAGGCCAAACTAAGAACAAGAAAGCTAGGTCAAGACTGTTAGATGCCAAGGACTTGCCAGCTCCGATTGTTTGTGTGGACAAAGATATGTTTGTATTAGCTGACGATGTGCTGTTACTCCTAGAGAGAGTTGCTCTAGAACCATTGCCTCCTCCAAAAGATGGGAAAGTTCCTCAAAACCGTACAAAGGTGGGCTTCATGGATTGTATATATATATATTTGATAGTTTGATACTAGCTGAAACTCCCTTATCTGATATCGTATCTTCATTTGGTTTTTCTTTTTATTTGTATCTGTGGGTTGTCTTTATTATTTTTCTGTTTCAAAGGATTGGATTATCCACTAAAAAGTTACTTGTATTGAGAAATTTGTTTTTGTTCAACGATGCAAATCTAGGATGGCAATGATGGAGAAGAGATCAACAAGGAAGCCGTTGAGCGTGATGAGACAAGTTTAACTGAGTTAGGTAGACGAACTTTGGAGACATATGTTCTTGCCCATATCTTCTGGTAACAATCAGATTATGTTTCTATATATGGTATGCCATTGTTTTTGTCCTTACTGTGCTTATGTAACATACTTCAATATCTCTGAGAACTGCAGCAGCAAAATCGAGGTTGCATATCAAGAAGCTGTTGCGCTAAAAAGGCAGGAAGAACTAATTCGTGAGGAAGAGGAAGCGTGGTTGGCAGAAACTGAACAGAGGGCCAAAAGAGGAGTAGCCGAGAGGGAGAAGAAATCCAAGAAGAAACAGGTGTGATACTTTCTGGTGTTCCAAAAATTGATTTTGCTTCTTCTGCTTGTCCTATAGACAGCTTGTTGGATGTTGATGAGAGTTTCTTTGGTTGTTGAACATGCATAGGCTAAACATAAACGGCACAAAAATAAAGGGAAGGACAAAAAGAAGGAAGAAAAGCTGAGTTTTGTAACACATGAGAAAGATCTCGAGGGAAACCAACATGATGAGGAAGAGAAGGATTCTGTCACAGAGAAAGCACAATCCTCAGCTGAAAAGCCCGATCCTCTTGGAGATGTGTCTGACGTATCTGATTCTGCGGATGGTTCGGCTGACATTCTTCAACCTGATTTAGAAGATGGGGACAGTAGCTCTGTTCAATGGGATACTGACGCCCTCGAAATTCATCCTCCTCCATCAGGAGGGAGCAGCAGAGGAAGAGACATCTCCATATCTACGCCCAATGGAATTGCCGAAAGAAAGAATCAGTCCAGTATGGATGATAGTTCTTCGACTTGTTCTAATGATTCCATCGTGTCGGGTATTACCATTGGGTCCTACAAAGGGAATGCCTTGAGTTTCAGAAACCAGAAGTCGCCGAACAAGTAAGCTTGTTTCCCGCTCACCTTTGCTTCCTTTGTCTCTTCTGATTCCCGATGATAAGACAACTTGTAATTTGCAGAGGAAACCAACAAGTGAAAGTGACATCTGATGCCCGCAGTGAAACAGATGATCAACCCTCAACACTTGAGACGGACCCAAAGAGTCATAATTATCCTTCCGAGGCGAGCAACATTGGTGAATCTGATTGGGTTGTTGTCTCACGCATCCATGAGCCAGAGAGATCTCGGAATAGTAGTCCCTTTGGGAAGGTTGGTCATTCATGCTTTCAATGTTGATAAGTATAAGATCGCTGATATAATTATTAGTATCAAGCATGGAATTCAAATTTTTTTACAGTTAGTTTGTTTGCTTTAAAATTCCTTTAGCAGGAACGCAACGTGGCTCAAATCATGGTGAACTCGGTTGACATGGATCGACCTAAAGAGAAAAGCGCTGCTGTGCTTTCTTCTCCCAGAACTCCTGCCAAGAATCCTTCGCCATTAACCCATACAAAGCCGGAGAAAAAGAGCGTTTCAAGTGCAGACGCTGTTCCATACAAGAAAGTAGTTTCAGCAACTGGACCACCTTCATCAAGTCAAGCAGTACAGCCATGTTTGGATATTCATATTCAGTCGCAAACTGCTGGTCTCAGAGCTGATATGCAAAAGATCTCTGCTCAAAAACAACCAGCAACGACAACTATATCAAGGCCTTCTAGTGCACCAATAATCCCTGCGAAGCAACCTGCCCCTTTCACCGTCTCCTCCTCGGTTCAACCAACGACATCCCTTCCTCGTTCGGTTAGCTCAGCTGGTCGTCTAGGCCCCGATCCATCCCTGCACAGCCAGCAAACTTTCGTCCCTCAGTCCTATAAACACGCCATAGTCGGTAACTCTCTTGGTTCATCACCATCTAGTTTCAACCACCACCCGAGCCCGAGCTCTCATGGAGTTGTCCCAACCACATTGCCATCATCATCTTACTCACAAACGCCGACATCCTCCTATCAGCCAAGCTTCCCTTTCAGCCAGGATGTGTGGACAGGAAGGAATCCAAATTCCGTAAACATGGGGATGAACAACAACACTTACACACTTGCCGTGACCAGCAACAGATCTCTGAATCACATGGACGTTCACCAGATGGCGCAGCAGCAACAGGCACAAAGCTTGATGACGGACGATTTCCCTCACCTCGACATCATCAACGACTTGCTGGAAGACGAGCAGTGCAGCAACATGATGTTTAACGGAAGCATGTACAACTCACAACCACCACCCCAAGTGTTCAACGGCCAATACTCGTCGTACCATGGAGGTGATATAGGTGTCTCAGGTGAGTTGTTGTCTAGTGGTGGCAGGTCACGGAGTTTTGGAGAAGAAGGGTTCCATTACATGCCACGCGTCGCTGCAGTGGGACCGTATGCAGATGGGATGATGTCGACACAGTGGCGAATGCCGAACACAGTGGACTTGTCTTTGTTACCAATGAGGAACAACAGCTTGGAAGATGCAAATTACCACCACACATACTTTGGTATGGAGTCTACGAATCCGAGTTTCTCGCCTGGGATTAATAATGGCTTCACTGAGTTCAGGCCCTCCAATGGTCACTGAATGAAGCAAATGAAGATGGATCTTAGTTTTTTTATTTTTCTTCAGGAACTTGGGATTTGTAATGGTTTTTATAAAGAAAAAGAAAGCAAATACAATTTGTCACTGTCTTCTTCCTCAATGAATTTCATGTTTTCATTATAAGATAGTTTTGGCATTTCTGTAGACAACTGTTTCACAGAATTAATATTTTTTATCTCTTTTGATATATAAAATTGAATAAAACTAATGTTTTTTAATTCACTCAGAACTCCATTCGTCAGAATATATGACTGCACTTGAAGTCTCTGACACCTAACTTTTTCCATCCATGAAATGAAAATCTGCCCACTGAAATTAGTTTACAATTACATCGTAAACCTGATTAGCTCGTAACTAACGAGTGAGAAATACAAAAACGTGAGCCCTTGAAAATCTGATCAAATTAAAAAAAAAAAAAAAAAAAACAAAGAGGAAGAAGAAGAAGGAAACAGAGCATGGACCTTGAATCGGTGAAGCGGTATCTGGAAGGAGAAGGAAGCGAGAATGAAAAGGAATCGAAAGTAGGCAAGTTACCACCCAGATTCCTGGAGCGATTCATAACGAAAGGTCTGAAAGTGGATCTCATCGAACCTGGTCGAATCGTCTGCTCCATGAAAGTCCCTCCTCATCTCCTGGTATTCATACAAAATTCCCTCAATTTCCGATTTCAAAACTCGGAAATCCCTAATTTCGAAATAAAAGAATTGGGCGTTTTTTTTTGGGTGAGAAAAGAACGCAGGGAATTTCTTGCACGGAGGAGCAACGGCGACTCTGGTGGATTTGATTGGATCAGCTGCAATTTACACAACCGGAGCTACTCAGTCGGGAGTTTCAGTGGAGATCAATGTTTCATACCTTGATGCTGCTTTCCTCGACGTACATATATTATTATTCTTTCTTCTCAGATCAAATTATGGAAAAGAAAAGAAACCAATTCAGATTATAGTGTTGTTTGGTATGAATACTTTTACAGGAAGAGATAGAGATCGAATCAAAGGCATTGCGTGTGGGTAAAGCTGTAGCAGTTGTGAGTGTTGAGCTGAGGAAGAAGAAGACTGGTAAGATGATTGCTCAAGGCCGCCATACTAAGTACCTTGCTCCCCGTCCCAAGCTCTGATTCTTCTCTATTTGAATTCCCCTAAATCTTTACAATGTTCGGTTTTGTTTCATTTACCATGATCATGAGATACTTAATGCTAATAAAAACCGAGTGAATTGTGTTCAGCTTTTTTACTCTTTTCTAATACAAAAAGTTCGGCTTTTCTGAATATGCTTTTACCTCTTGCTTCTTTGTAATAATATAGATAGAAAAAGGATCGTCAGAATCCTTTGTAATGTATCAATCTATAATCATATGGGATTATCTATTCTAGTTTAACAATGGTTAGTTAGATTGAAATGTGATCATTCTTGGGAAAAAAAAACAAAGATAAGACCAATGAGGCAGATGATCCATCAAACGCATCACATCGAGCTTCAAGCGCGTTCGGAGACTTGTGAGACGACTCACAAAAAAGGTTTAACATCCAATATATACATCCTCTCCTTTCCTCTTGTCTCGATCCAACGTATTTTAGAAACTACTAAGAAAGTGATATCTTAAAATGTTTAAAATTTGTTTGTATCATAAGAAAAATGCACTACATCTACATGACACATGATATAAATTTTGATATGCTACAGTACTAATACTATTAGTCTATTACTACGTACTTATAAATTATTATTTAATAAACGTTGACACCCCCCACAATTTGCATTATTAAGAGAGATCACCCAAGAAAAAGTCAGATGAGAAGAGAGAAATCATTAGTGTTGTTGAGTTAGTGCTTCCCCTCACAGTCTCAATCTTCTTCCCAATTTCACATTTTTAGACTTTTCAATTCCACGAATGATGAAACCTTCAGGTAATGCTGCTCCTCCTCTCTCTCTCTCCGTTTACCACTTGACAAATACAAACACTTGGATAATAAATTATATTCTTCTTTTAACTTCTCTCTCTTGTTGGTTTGTTGATTTCTTTGCTATAGAAGGAGCAAGAGATGTCTCTGCTGGTGGATGTAAATCAGTTCATCTCACTCATCTCCTTCTTGCTTCTCTTGGTGGTCTTGCCGCCACTGCCGCTGCTTTAGCCGGAGAATCATTCTTTCGCCGCTGGAAAGCTCATCAAGGTGAATCCATGGTGAATAAAGATCAGAAAATAGCCCCTTTGATTGAGAGGAAAGATTCAAGTCGACGATCAAACCTCGAGAGATTTTCTCACTACGTTGGTACGTATACTTGCATCTTTGATATCAAGTAAGAAAGAAAATTAATCAATATTCACCAGAAGATTAGAGCATAAGATAGTATTTCTTGGGAATACATATAAAGATATAGATAAACACTGTAATAATGGAAGGATGTGTACAAATACCGAATTTATGAAAGCTGTCGTTATTACCAAAGCTTGTACTTATACACATGATCTCATTTAATGGGATTTCTAAAATTAGTGGAAACTTTATACACATGCCTATCATTTGGAGACTTTTGGAAACTTTAAGACACATGCCTATCCTTTGATCACATTATAGCAATATACTGCACAACATGTATTTGATTAGTACTGACACATATGTTAAAATGTAGCAAGGCAGCTAGGATTTGAGGATCCCAATGAATGCCCACAACTATGCAAATTGGCAACTGCATATTTGGTGAAAGCAAAGGGATATGATGAGAATGTGTATGAGTATTTGGTGAATGACCCTGAAGCTGATTCTCTCTATGTTCATCTCCTTGAGGAATTTGAAAGATGCATTCTCACTTATTTTGCTTTCAATTGGACTCAATCTTCCAACCTCATCTCTCAGGTGCTTAGTGTCATTTTCAAAGTTAAAAATCAGTATGTTTTGCGTAATTTCTCATATATCTACTAAATTGATACATAAAGCACAACGGCACAAAGCCTTATTTTAATTATTTATATTAAACTTTCAGTTGGGTGGAGTAGGTTATTATTACCCATTACCAGATCTGCAATAATGCGTTTGAATATAGTAGATATTATATAGCCTACAATGCTCGTTTGTCTTCGATCTAATTTGTTATTCATAACAAGGATAGGTTTTAAGCGATGAGTCGGATCAGAAAGTACCAAAACTCAAGGATTTCGTGATGGCAGCGACAAGGTGATTGATTGTTCCATATTCCATAATTTTATATGGTCCCAACTATATATGTGTTGCCGAATCGTTGCTTCTAGTTTTAGGTAGAATTTATTGCTGTCCTGATAATGACTCCAACTTATTTTTTTTATATGATTATCATCACTAACACGTAACAATCAACAAATGTTGACCAATAGAAAAGTTGACAATTTCGAAAAAATCGCAAAATTCAGCTGAGTTTTATTTGTTTGTAAAGTGAAACAAGTGGCTTGTTAAATAATGTAGGAAACAAAGGTTCGAGAGGGTGACGAAAGACCTCAAGGTGACAAGGGTATTTTCGACATTAGTAGAAGAGATGAAAGCCATCAACGTCGGCAGTGGAAGCGGTGAGCCACACTGTACTGAAGTGATGTCTCCGGTGGCTCACAACAAACGTAGTCCCGTCCTCCTCCTCATGGGCGGAGGAATGGGGGCCGGAAAGAGCACCGTCCTCAAAGATATCCTCCAAGAGTAATCTTTTAACTAATACGTACTACAAAACATGCTTGTATTTTTTTTTTTCTAACATATAGTTATAAATTACCAAAATTACTAATTTGTAGGCCTTTTTGGTCGGAGGCAAGAGACGATGCGGTGGTGATAGAAGCGGATGCGTTTAAGGAGACGGATGTTATTTATAGAGCTCTTAGCTCTAGAGGTCACCATGACGATATGCTCCAAACTGCTGAATTGGTACGCTCAACATTCTCTATTTCAAAAATGTGAAAATTTTATTTTCTGACAAACGGACTATATGGAATATTAGCATGCATGATCTTTTTCTTTTAACATGTTACATTTATTTTGTTTGTGTGGTTGTTCCTTAGGTTCATCAATCATCAACGGATGCTGCATCGTCCTTACTAGTGACAGCATTGAACGAAGGACGTGATGTGATAATGGATGGAACGTTATCCTGGGAGCCATTCGTGGAACAAATGATCACAATGGCAAGGAACGTCCACAAACAGAGATATCGAATGGGTGCAGGCTACAAGGTGTCCGAAGACGGGACAATAACCGAAGAGTATTGGAGAAAGGGAGAAACAGAAGAAAATGGGAAAAAGCAAGACTTGAAACCTTATAGAATCGAGCTGGTCGGTGTGGTTTGTGACGCTTATCTCGCCGTAGCAAGAGGCATACGGTAAATAATTTTATTTAATATGTTACATTAGCTAGTGTTTGCTTATGATTGTTTTCGAATTAATTTGTTTTCTTTCTAAATTAAACAGGAGAGCTCTGATGGTGAAGAGAGCAGTGAGAGTGAAGTCTCAGTTAAAATCACACAAGAGTTTTGCTAACGCATTCCCAAAGTATTGTGAGCTCGTTGACAACGCTAGGCTTTATTGCACTAATTCTGTTGGTGGTCCTCCAAGGGTAAACATGTTCACGTCAATGTCATTATCAGAAGTAACGACGTTGTTTTCTTAACGGATACTGACACGTGTTTTTGTTTAATTGGTTGGCTTGGGCAGCTCATAGCGTGGAAAGCCGGAGATAGTAGGCTTCTGGTGGACCCAGAGGATATCGAATGTCTGAAACGGGTCAGCAATCTTAACCCGGATGCTGAATCGGTTTACGAGCTTTACACGGATCCGAGCCTGTTAAGCCAGCCAGGTTCAGTTTGGAAGGATGTCGTTTTAGTCCCATCGAGGCCCAATGTCCAGAAGCAACTTACCGATACCATAAAGAGAATCGAAAAGGCCCATGTGAAAATTTGACGATATTGTTATATAGTCCCTAGAAATTGTTCTCTTTTGGCATTTGGTCATTTGGTCATTTGTTTTCATCAGGTCTATTGTCCTGTATTTACATTACTTGCCTAAACAAGTGAATATTTTTTCCACATTTCTACTACTTAATAATAGTATAATACACATATATCTAAATCAGACCATAAAAAATGGTTACTAACATAATTTTATTGAATATATTATTTTATTTCCATTCATGCATAATGTATTTACAATAAAGTACTTAGTTAGTGAATCTCTTACTAATAAAACAAAAATAGAATGAAAAAGTTTGTTTCTTATTTTTTGAAAAATTGATATCATAATTTTCCAATATTTTTTTGGATACGTAGTGGTCATGTAATAAGGTTATATAATTGACAACATACATGAAGGTGTGGGCTAATATGGAAATAAAGAGAATATATGGGCTAAATCCGAAATAAGAATTCTAATACTAGGGTTCTCAAGTGTCTCCCATATATAATAGTGTTGTCGAGCAAAACCACCTCTCTATTTTATCGCTTGCAAAGACCTTCAGCAGTCAATCAGAGTCTCTCAAGCTTCAGAGCCGTTTCAGGGTTATATCCTTTGCTCAGATCTAATCATGGTGAGCTATTATTTCGGCCTTAATTTTCTATGTCTTCTTCCCCTCTTGTTACATTTCCGGATTCATTATCATTTCGCTGAACTAGAAATTGGGAATCTGTAGGCGGATGTCGAACCAGAGGTTGCTGCAGCTGCAATCCCGAAGAAGAGAACGTTTAAGAAGTTTGCCTTCAAAGGAGTCGATCTCGATGCTCTTCTCGACATGTCTACTGATGATCTCGTCAAGCTCTTCTCTTCTCGTATCCGCAGAAGGTAAACAATGCCTTCAAAACCCTTGCCGAGACTCATTTTCGATTCTCTGATGAAAGTTTTTTCTGTTTTTCCTGACTTGTTTGCTCCGGTTTGAAAATGGGTTTCAGGTTCTCAAGAGGTTTGACGAGGAAGCCAATGGCTCTGATTAAGAAGCTCCGCAAAGCGGTAATCATTTCTCCTCCTTATAGTCTCACCATTTCCTTACATTTTTAGCTGAAGTCTCTTCGATTTTTATTGTTAATAGTATTGCTAAAGTTTCAGATTCTAGCTGAGAAATACCTAGATTTTTCATTGTCTTAGTTTAAAAATGGGTACTTTCAGATCTTAGTGAATATCTGTAGCTAGTCCTTGTTGCTTCTTCTGATTTGTTGCAATCTTTTGCTCGTTACTCTTGTGACAAGATTGTGATTTTGGACGGTTTGAGTTGCTAAAGTTGTCTATCATAGCTTAGTCTCTGTGCTTGTAATTGTTACATGCTACATATCCTTGGCCTTTATCTGCTATTACCAACGTTTTCTTCAGTTAGCCATTCAAAGCTCTTTGTATAATCTTTTGAAGATTATTGGTTCCAATTAAGGTTCTGATTGCGAGATTGCTTTTTGGTTGATGAGCAGAAAAGGGAGGCACCACAAGGTGAGAAGCCAGAACCAGTGAGGACCCACCTGAGGAACATGATCATCGTCCCTGAGATGATTGGAAGCATCATCGGAGTGTACAACGGCAAGACCTTCAACCAGGTCGAGATCAAGCCCGAGATGATTGGTCATTACCTGGCTGAGTTCTCTATCTCATACAAGCCTGTCAAGCACGGAAGGCCCGGTGTTGGTGCTACCCACTCCTCCCGATTCATTCCCCTCAAGTGAAGAAGCTCTAACATTTGGGAATGTCTTGGATTGTTATATGGTCTATGTTGTGCTCCTCTATCTAAGCTTGCGGATCTTTTTTTGTTGTTGATGATGCTTTAATATCGACTTTAGATACTTTGTCAACTCTCTAGCCTATGTCTGTTTATCATTGTGATCAGGATCTTAAATCAAATCTTTTTGGAGTTTCCTTATGGATTTAGCTTGATTACCTTTCGTTTTTCTTAAATTTAGATAAAATTTACACTTAGTACTGCTAGGTACTTGCTAGCATGAGTCTTGTTACTTGTCTAAAAACTTTGAGAATATGTTTATTTAGACGTGTCGATTAATTAGAAGGGTGAAAATGCATTTGAAAACATCCTAGATACTCGCTTGTACATCGAAGATATTATTGATATTTTCGTGTCTGCTAAAACCTAAAACATCGTTACTCTGCCCGTAAATCTGCTCTTAAACGATTAAATACAAGAAAACGATGACTAGAGGAGAAATTATATGTTACAGATTAATGGGCTTTCAGGAGTTGGGTTTGGGCCTTTTTTAATCGTGAGTCTCTCTTTCCCTCTTAACCAGCTTTGACTTTTTCTTCCCTCTTCCTTTCGCAAAGATCTTGTTCCTGAGAATTTCTAGGGTTTCTGGAATCCAGGAGATAACAAACGACGACAATGGCAAATCAGGTGATCTCCGGGATCAAGGAAACGGCTCAAGCAATTACTGGTGCGGCTCGTCCGTGGGGCGATTTCCTCGATCTCTCAGCTTTCAGCTTCCCTTCCTCATTCGCCGATGCCACGACTCGCGTGACTCAGAACTTGACCCATTTCCGAATCAACTACTCTATCATCCTCTCTTCCCTCCTAGCTCTTACCCTAATTACACGCCCGATCGCTGTTCTCGCTTTCTTCGCCGTTGGTCTATCTTGGTACTTCCTCTATTTCGCTCGCGAGGAGCCGCTCACGATCTTCGGCTTCACTGTCGACGACGGCGTCGTGGCGGTGCTTCTCTTCGGTCTCTCAATCGCGTCTCTAGTCAGCACCGGAGTTTGGCTCAGAGCTCTCACCACCGTTGGATTCGGCGTTCTGATTTTGATCCTACACGCCGCGCTTAGAGGAACGGAGGATCTAGTGACAGACGATCTGGAATCACCTTATGGACCTATGCTCTCTACTGCCGGCGGTGGTAACGACGGCGCGCGTGGTGACTACAGTGGAATATGATGAGCATTTGTAGCAGCATTTCGTTTCTCCTGATTGATAACGAATCGGGGGATTTAGGGTTTTGTTGTTTGTAAATTCTGATTGTTTCTTTGTGTCGATTAAACAATGTTCAAGACGAAATTTGAGTTATAAGAAAAAAGAATGACTTAAGAAAATATGATCAAAGATGTCCAATTTGATATGCATTGAAACCGAAGAAACTTAGATTGAGATCCAATTTAAACGTTAAAATGATGACTCTCTTTACATTACATCGAGAAAATTGCAAAATAATGAACTTGTTATGTTATGTTCATGATCGCTATGGTATCTCCTAATTAATCACCATTATACATTGCAAATTCTAATCGATCATCGTTCCGGCGATAGATTTCACCGGGATCTGTAGAAGTTTATACCGCCGGAGAGGAACCAGAACCTTACTGGGCTGTAAGTTTCTAAGGATATCCAATGAAAAATATTAGGTCCATCTGGGCCAACTATTTAAGGCCCAATAAGTAAAACAATGATTTCAATATTTTTGATATTAGCGTTTTGTTTTTAAACAAAATTGAGACTTTGAGAGTTATCAACGATTTTTAGTCGATTCATATATTTTTTTTCTGTTTTTGTCACATCTTTATATTATTAATTGAGAAGTACATTCTAATGTTTGGATACAAAATTAGAGAAACATCTATTTGGATAGAAGAATAAATGGAAACAAAAGTTGTTTGGATATAAGAATAAGAGAAAAATCTATTTGGATAGAAGAATAAATGGAAAAAATTGTTTGGATACAAGAATAATAACTTAAAATAAACCGATGGTTTAGAAAACTTCCGTTTTCCATCTCTTAAAAATCTGCAAAAAAGAAAACTTAACATAATCTAACGATAATTCCAAATCAATAGAATATGCTTTTTGGATTTTCGGGTTTTTATAGACAAGTTCGGGTTTGGGTGAAAATCTGAGACATAATTTTATAGAGATATATATAGAGATATAGAAATTGTTCGGGTTTCTTTGAAAATTTCTGTTCGGGTTAGGTTCAATTTTTTTTTCAGTTTAGGGTTTTCCGGATTTTTTAGATTTCTGGTTTTCGGGTTTAGATATATTAAAAAAATTGAGTATTTTAAAATTTTGATTAGGTATTGGGGTCGGGTTCCGGGTGAAAAAGTTTCCAGATTTTTTTTGTTCAGTCAGGGTTTTCGGGATTTTTTTGATTTCGGATTTTCATGTTTAGACCTATTAAAAAAGTTTGGGTTTTTAAATTTTTTGATTAGGGTTTTTTGTCGGGTTCGGATTTAGGGTTTAAATTTTCTACACAAAACAACAACGTCACACCGCACAAACGTGCGGGTACTCTACTAGTTCTAGTCTTAAACGGGTTGTAACACTAACTTCGAATAATGTATTAAATATTATTCTAGTTTGGTGAAGAACCCTCTAGAGCATCAACTTGTCAAATTAATTATTGACCCCATCAAACATCGAACATGCTTCAGCTGCCTGATCCCAAGAAGTTGATGTCAATATTAAAATACTTAAATTTAAACATTTCAACGTAACTAATTGCACAAATGTTTCGGTTTACACATACATTTTTAGACATTTTTCCTATATATGTGCATGCATGTACGTTGAATCGGTACATTCATGAAACTTTGATTTGTTAGTTTGGGATTCAACATCTTCTCCATGTGCTTCCCAATTTATCAAATTTTACATTCTCTGTTTCCTTTCTTTTTCTATCTCTATTATACTATTCGTAAATATTACATTCTTAATATTTTTTCAACGTTGAACATCCAATTAGTTAAGCTAACCAAAGTGTTAATTAAGACACATATGCTAGCTCCTTTATGATACTAATAACAAACAATCCTCAATCCAAAAGGGCCACTAATATCGGCGATTCATATCTATACTTTTATACGAAATAATCCTATTCAAATTCAGTTGGTACAAAAGTTAATATTCCTAATTAATGTAATGGGAAATGAAATGATAAACAAAGGTAACGAAATGAAGAGACCCATGAAGATGCACATGGCATTGCTCCCCTCTCTTCCCTATGGGTCCTATTTCTCTATTTTATTTCTTCCAACCAAAGCCAATCACCAACAGAGTTAATAATCCCTTTTTTTTAATTGTTAAAGAATCATATTCGATATACGTATATGTATATATGTATATTGTCATTCAATCTTTTTGTTGGTTAGAAGGTATGCTGTTGTAGTTGTATTTATAATTACTTCGATTTCGAAACTATATGTTTGGGAAAACTTTCAAATTATTACATATTATCCATTACAAACGTCTCACAATTTAACTTAAGTTCATTACACATAATATCATATAAATTGTATCTACATTACCAAATATAATCCAGATCAAAACACAGACATTCAAAGAAAGAGTAGATACTGAACAATGTTTTTCATTGTAAAGAAAATAAACAATTAACACCCATCAGTGTGTTAATCAGATATAAAATCATTACCACTTAAGCTTTTAACTTCAAGCTCTGCTCTTGCACTTCTCCATTGCTCTCGGAGCTGAATTTTTTTAGTCATTGAGAAAATTAGTTTTTTCAACACTCACTAAAGTATTACTCGTACAAAATGCACTGGTAGAAAATACATACCGAGACCAATGGCGTCGGATCCTTTCATGAGACGTAAACGCTTGCATGTATCAACGAACATTCTAATAAATAATAAATTTAAACCAAGGAGTCATTAAAATGAATAAATAAAGCTCTAATTATATCGTAATTAATAAGGAAGAAGAAGACTTACGGCCAAGGAACGTCGCCGACGAGCATCCAGTCACCGTCTTTGTCTTCATAAGAGGGAACATAGTCCCAACTATTCACTAAATCCATCAATTTCCTTTCATTCATGAAGTCTATCATTCCTTCTTCTCCTCCATGTTTTCCTTCATTTTGTTGACAACAATATCATTATTAATGCTAATTTCACGTTAATATATAATGGCTACAAATTAAGAAAAATATGCAAGTGTGTAGCCTTTACTTGAGTAGGTAAGCACTTGATATAACATATGAAACATTTTTTTTTGTTTTCATGATCTAACTAAAATTTTAAGATTGGCCGGTATACATACACATAGTTTTCGCAGTTAACAACATATATAAAATATGTCTACACCATATTTGGCAGTTTCTTTGGGGGTTGAACTATTATCACGAAATTATAAATAACTGATCACTATTTTTTTTTAGTATAGTAACAAGTATAAAAATTAAGAATCATAACTAAAGATGCATGGAATCATATAAAACGTACCCATGGTAAAAGAGCTGAACATGTTGGACAAAGCATTAGAGAGTTCGTCGTAGCTTTTATACATCTTCAAGTCGACTTTCCTCAAGTACGGTGCTCCGTCCATCGACACCTTCACGAACGCTGCGGCATCCGTTCCACCGCTTGGTTTTTGGCACGAAACCATCACGTTTTTCCGGTATGATCTCACCGGTGGCCACCCCACAACTTGTGCCCTACAAAATTATATATAAATAAAAATGGAAACCAGTTATGTGAATATATACATGTTATATAAACTGTATTTAGCTATCACTAAATCAAAATTTACGTGATTTTTCAGCATGAGTCTACAGTAAAGGGTTTAGTTGGTCATATATAGAATTAGTCTTTTTCGCGGATTTTCAACAATTTAAGAAAAAATAAACCATAGACATATATAGCAGTAGATTGTCTGTGCTTATGAAACAGATTTCGATGGACATGTTCTTCTTTTTCTTTCCTTTTTTCCTCCCACTTTTATCCATTTTAGTTAGGCATTTTTTTAACCCCATAACATTTTAGTTAGATTTTTAGCTGAAAACCTTGATCGATATCGCTAGAAATAATAACTTGGAGGAAAAAAAAATCGTCCATTAAGCTTAATTTAACTTTTAAGACGAATAACCAAAAAAAAAAGGTAAGAAATCGTGAAAAGGCAAATTGGTTAATTACTTGGCAGGAGGCTTAGCTGGATCTTTGGCACATGAACTCTTTTCCTTGGAAACAGAAGTCACGACGTCATGATTCGTAGATCGTTCCTTGCTTTCAGGTTCATTGTTCAGATTCAGCTTTAGATCAACCGTCTCCAAGAACCCTCTCTTATTTCCTGTCACCGGAGCCACCGTATCTCCGCCAGGAAGACCAAGACACAGCTCAGTCTCCCTCAAATTCAGCTCGATACTGCCCATCATTGTTAACCTCTCTTTTTCTTCTTCAGTTCTCTTCTTCTTCTTGGGAAGGTGATGAGGAAGATGGAAAAATGGTTTTTATAAAAACACACAAATAATACAAAAGTGATATGAGTTCTCTATTATCTCTCTCTCTAGGAGGTAGCTGCATGTGTATGTCGTATTTAAGAGTTCTATGGCTAAATGGGTTTTTGACACGTGGATTAATCTCATCCCAAGTTATCTTGCTCGAGTTTTGACTAATCACCATCATTTTCTTGTATTTGTTTAAAAACTCTTAAGACTAATTTATTACTGTTACTCAATCTTTCTTGGGATTTATTTTGTAGGTTGTACATTATTGCATTGCATTAGAGTAGGTCCTTCTTAACTAGAAGTATTTTACAGTTTCCTTTTTCTTTTTCTTTTGAGAAAGGGTTACTTTTTTACAGTTTATTTATAAGAATTTTGTATTTACAAAATTGTCTTTAAATACTGTTGTAACTTTGTATGAAAATTAGCACAAATGGTTTTGTTGGTTTTAAAACCAATACTACACATTTGTTTGCCTATTTATACGAGGAAGAAAATCCCATTTTATCGTCCAACATTCCAAATGTAATGTAATTTAAAAATAGAGGTTCTTTTGGGTGGCGAGGTCGCAGACATCTCATATGAGAGTGTGTCAATGCTCAATACATATATACATAATTTATTAATATCGTTATGTAAACGTTATGCTTTTTTGACTTCCAAATATTTAACTATATATAGTTTTAGTTTGATTTTCGCCGTAAGATTCTTCGCCGGAACCTTCCAATTATGCATATCACATCCACATGATTCAATTATTCATCTCACAATAAAAGCGCAGCCCTCTTGTATATAAATTAAGAAATATTCTCATACCAACACAAAATAAAGTATAAAATACACCATTTAATATTTGCTTCATTAAAAACTTGCATATTATAGAGCGAAATGTGAATCTAGACACATACAAACGCTTGATCATTACTCGTTTGTGCTCAAGCGATTATATATTTACGATTTGTGCTATCTGCATTATTATTATTATTATTATTTTGTTGATGCTAAAGGGTATATAGATACATATATACGACACATGGACATAGTGCAATCTACTTAAATTCTTGTATATCATTTCCAGTTCTAAATAACCAGTCAGACGAAAATGTTAATACTGCATATTTTTCTGATACCATGCATATGTACCAAATATACTAACCATAACCAACGTATATTAATAAATTTGAAAATAAAACAAGAGAAAAAAAAACGAAAAGCATATTGAGCCTAAGCCCTAAGGGAATCGAGAGGGGACATGTGTGGCATCAAAATCCAAAAGAGGAGAGTGTACAATAACATCGCCATAAATTCCAAAACAAAGAATTAAATTATCGATAAGGAAAAAAACATGGAGATGATGAAGGGACAAGTTACATCCAATAATATTCAGAGGCAAAAACATCTTAAACCCTACTTTTGTTCCTTGATTTGTCTACATCTCTTTCTTTAACCCTTTCTCTCCTTTTGTTTCTATCCCAAAAACTCTCATGAGTTTTCAAATCAACAAAAAAGATTTCAAATCGATATTTTTGGTCACGTTGTCTTATATATCACATCATTTTGTCGTATTTATTAATGTGTATCTCTACTCCATTTGATCAATATGTATACTGGGCACTATGGAATTCACATGATCATTGTAACCCAGGGAATGATATGACATCAATTCTCTCGACCCAACGTACATGACTACAAAAATATCGCCCGTACACATAAATGGATTATATGCAAAACTTTAAAGAGATTAGATTAGACCACCGTTTATGATCTGTAATTTAGGATAACTTATTCTTTTTTCCTATTCATTTAATGATATATATTGTGTATTAATTTAATGATTATGTCCATATATAGGTCTTAGTTTGAAGATGCATCATGTCGAAATTAATGACATATATTCGAAGGTATATATGTGCCGCATACTAACTTGCAGGATAAGAATGTGTGAGGACCAGGTGTACTTTCATATGGACATTACAAGGCCACAACTCTCAACGTATTACCACACAAAGATCATTTTCATTAATTTTTGTTCATTTCCTTTAAATTTTCTCATTCAAATTAGTTGTTGGAATATACTTCTCACATTGAAAGAGTGCAGCCAAATGACATGCATGCATGCGATTAAAACGACAAACCCAAATCATAAGTTTAAATTGACTAAACTATATACTGTGATTGTGTGTGAAAGCCACAACTCTACTGAGACCCAAACAAATTACTTTACGTCAACACTCGCTCTACAGTCAACACACAAGCAATTATTTATCAGTCATTTAATTTGGTCTTATATATGTACATACACGGCTTTGAGATAATCATTAGTTGTAGTTTAGTGATGTTTATATAATGGATAAATTAGGTGTATAAATTATTATAAACACATCGATATATTGTACCTGGTTATACTTATACACCACGAAAATGGTTCCTTGTTTATAAAATAAATATATAAAAAGAAACAGATCTTAGTATATGTTGAAGCAATCATTTCCGCTATCATTTGTTGCATTATTTATTTATCTGATGAGTTTGGAGATATGCTTCTTCTCCGTTCTGACATGTTTCGACCGACGCAATATTTGTTTATGGGTTATTCTTTACTCGTCTTTATAGATATTGATGATTGAATAAGATTTATTTGTTTACTTAATTCCTTAAAGTAGTTAATCAAACCCCATTTGTATCAACAGATAATTGTGCAAGTTTTTCTTATTCATTATCTTCGCAGTTTTTGTGATGGTCCACAGATTTTGTGACGGACTGACCAGTCCACAGATTATTACATGTTCATATATTGATTTGGTTCAAAGATATTAATCGCAATTTGATCTTATTAAATACGCCATTAGAATCATCGTAAAATGGTAAGCAAATATATTGGGATCTAAGAAAATCTGATATGTGGGTGATCCCAAATTAACGGTGAGATCAACGCCGATTTGCAGAATCCATAAGTTAGGTAACTAGTGGGATGAGATTAGCAATTTAGCATACAAGAGATTTGCCTGATTTGGGGGATCGCTTTACTGATTACATTTGACCGGTAAAGATATTCTTTTTGTCCATATAATTCCAATGATTTTCACAATTTTCATAAAATATTCTGGCAGTTTATCTTTGAAGATATGTATATAATTTATCAAAGCTAGCATATATGTAGGCTCCCTCAAATTAATGAAGAAACCCGAGGTGGTCCAAACGCCGTCAAAAAGCAAAATAAAATTCCGATTTTATCGGCCCAGCCCATTTATTAGTATTGAAAAGATTATCCAATTGCAAATAAAATTGGGCTGAATTACTACTTTTATCATTTGATTTTAAACTTTTGGACAAATCAATTTACGTTATGTGTTGGCAAAGTTATTAGTATTTTTTAGTTAGATCATTAAAATACAGTCTAACTCCGTAGATTAAGTTAAACCGCAACCTATAAAAGCTTATTTAACTTTCGAATAAGAACCCATTTTAAAACAGTGATATATATTCGATTCCGTGTACAGATGGGACCCGTTTCTTCATCAGTGCCTATACGATTCGTTACACGTGTACGGTTGATATGATGGTTGAAGATCTTCCACTGTTCTGTAGGACAAGCAAATAATTGGGTGACATACTGACATGTGTCTCGATTATCATGTCGGCGAATACAATTAAGAACGTATATAATCATTTTATCTTCACATCTTTAGCTAATGGCTATAATAGTTTTTTTTGTGTGTGTTTGAAGCTGTTTAGATCAAAGAGTATACACTATACATAACATAGGTATTTGTTTTTGAAAATTATTTCAACATTCCCCATAATATTTTAGGAGAACTATTATTACTTTAGGGTTTTTCTTTACTCCCAAGCCCTAAAGAGTAAAGACGTAACATCTACGGTAGAAGCCTTAGAAGTACAATTACAAGCAAATGACACACTGTCACATGAAGAAAGACAGAGAGAATCTGTTGAAGATCTCTCAGGTTTCCAAACCAAATCTACAAGACCCCATTATGATGTTACTGACATATTAACTAAGCCTTGAGCTAGTAGTACCTTAAGGAAGATGTCATGTCGTGTCGTGATGCTCAGTCTTGTTTCAGATTTATATATACGTGTGTGGTGATCATGATCGTTAATAGTTTTGGGACACAGGGACAAAACTTGTGGGCTTTAACAAAATCCAGTAAAGAACAAAGAGAGATTTTGTATCGTTGGCTCTGTTTTTTGGCTCTCTTTGAAGCCGATGATATCAAAAAGGTTAAAACTTTTGATCTTAGTCAATGAAACTCATCAAATCTGAAAGACCTAAGACTAATCTAGAGTTTAGGGAGAGCTAACTAGGATGATGAGTCATCTATATAACCAGAAGGAAACAAGATGAGCAAATCTGATAAATTATTGGCTTTGAGAGAGAAAGAGAGAGAAGAGCGGTGACAAACATATGCATATGGCAGACCACATGTGGTGGGGATTCAAGATCTGATCTGGACCGTCTATCAAAAGATCAGGAAGATAAGTTTTTGTTGTTTTTGGACAGATGGGTGAAAGAGAAAGAGCGTTCCACAAATGTCCCCAAGAAGATGGGACACACTTTTGCCTCAAAGTTGCTGTTACTGCTACCGACAAGCTTAGCTTAGCTTCTTTTTTTCCTTTGTCCTTATTTCAGAAAAACTGTTTCTTCTATCAGTCTATCTTTATTCTCTTTTAACTTGTATAAAACACTCACTCAGCTTCCACGAAGCCTCTCATCTTCATTATCATCAGCTTCTATATCCTCTGTCTCTAAGAGAAATAACCAAAAAGCTTTCCTTTTGTCTCCTAAAACTCTTGAAGAAAATGGATGAGTTCGTTAACCACAAGGCAACGGAGCTGAGGCTGGGATTACCAGGAACGGACAATGTATGTGAAGAAACAGAGAGAGTTTCTTGCTGTAATAAGAGAGCATTACCAAGTGACACTGAGAATGAGACTGAATCAACCACGAGGAAAACCGAAACATCCCCTCCTCGCAAGTAAGTGAAACACACAAGTTTCTCTGAATCTGATTTGGTGATGAATAAACTTACTTTTGGGTGTATATTAAGGGTGTTTCTTTTTACAGGGCTCAGATCGTTGGATGGCCACCAGTTAGATCTTACAGGAAGAACATCATTCAGACAAAGAAGAATGAATCTGATCACGATGGTCATGGGATGTATGTGAAAGTAAGTATGGATGGTGCACCATACTTGAGGAAAATAGATTTGAGTTGTTACAAAGGATACTCAGAGTTGCTTAAAGCTTTAGAGATGATGTTCAAATTCTCTGTGGGAGAGTATTTTGAGAGAGATGGATATAAAGGCTCAGACTTTGTGCCTACTTATGAAGACAAAGATGGTGACTGGATGCTTATTGGAGATGTTCCATGGGAGTGAGTCTTCTTCTTCATATCTCTGTCCAGACAAATCAGCAATTTGCTTCCCAGTGTTCTTATGGATTCTGTTTGTTGTTGCAGGATGTTTGAATGTACTTGCAAGAGACTAAGGATTATGAAAGGATCAGAAGCCAAAGGTTTAGGCTGTGTTGTATGAGACAAAGTTTCAGAGGAAACCTAACATGGACACAAGTAAAAACAGAGTTTCTCTCGGTCTCAAGAGAGATCTCTGTCCGTGCTTGGGTTGTCGGGATCTCTGTTCATCGGATCGAATTCAAGTCATAGCCTTTATAGACCTCATCGGTGAAGTTTGAATTTGGAAATGCTTAAAATGGTCTTAAGCATATGAAACTTGAACCTAATTACTTTTTGTTTCAGAAACAGGGCAAAAGGTTGTCCCTTGTCTTTGGTTATGTGTATTTCATTAATAATAATAAAAAAAAACGTTATGAAGATTGAAGAGTTATTATAATGTTTGTAGCAATCTGTTTTGTGAGAACAATTGGTTACTGTGTTCTAATCTCATCAACTTTGAGGATGATTCTCTTTTTCATTTCTTGTAAAGCAGTTCGAATTTATAGTTTTTTTTTTCCATTCTCTTTGTTGATTGTGTTGATTTAGTTGGAGGATTTTGTTGATTGAAACTAGGGATGTCGTAAATGTTTGTTATGAGTGGGAGAAGTAGGTTAACTTACATGTCAAGTTATGTCATGGATATGATGATGTTAGTGAGTGTTTTAACTAAATGTAAATATATTTATAACAGAAGAAGCAAGAAGCATATCCATGTTCGGCTTAAATGTTTGGTTTTAGATTACGATGAAGAATAGGGCGAAGCTGCCGACAATGATGGCGGTGGTCTCCACGGCCCAATTGCTGTACCCTTACCCATGAACCAGAGCGCCTCCATTACTACACACGCTCCGACGATGAGACTCAATAATTAACTTCTTAAATTAAATTTCATCTTTAATCTAAGAAGTTAATTACTTTCTTTTTATTTTGTAAAAAAAGTTTTAATAATAAATTGATGAATAGAGACAAAATTAAGCAAAACATAAGAATTTATTTAGAAAAATTATGAAAATTTAGCAAGACATGTGCGGCTTCAATTAGGGAGTGCACATGCATAGCAATTACGACGGTTTTTGTAAAAAATGTTTTAATAATACATTGATGAATAGAAACAAAAAAAATAAGCAAAACATAAGCATTTATTTAGAAAAATTATGAAATTTTTTAGCAAGACATTTGCTTAATGATGGTTAAGCATATGAAACTTGAACCTAATTACTTTTTGTTTCAGAAACAGGGCAAAAAGGTTGTTGTCCCTTGTCTTTCGTTATGTGCATTTCATTAAAAAAAAAAAAATGTTATGAAGATTGAAGAGTTCTTGTAATGTTTGTAGCAATCTGTTGTGTTCTCATTGATCAAAATAGATTTTTTTTAAGCAATGCCCATTTTCTGTTTTTAGTTCTCTAGATCGGATATCAGATTGTTGATGGTTAACATTTTACCACATGGTTTGGAGTTCATTCATTACATATATCCAAAAACAACAGAAACCAATCTCTCTTAGTGACGACATCCAAAACATCAACATACCCATTATATCCCATTGTTGAATGCAAGACATGGCGATAGTAGTAACGAGTGAGAATCCATTAGCAGCTTCTTTGCCTTCTTCGAGAAATGGTGGGAGAGAAGCCATTCACGCCTGAAACAGGAAATAGAAAAATAAATAGTCAGCATGACAAGTAGAATGCAGATACTTTAGGATAATTTCCGATCGATTCAAGTGGCTTGTCTACTTGGGATGCATGAAAGTTTCCAATTTACAGAGCAATTACATTTGCTGCTACCAAAGCCATCACCTGTTGCTTCTTCTTCTTAGGCCGTCTCTTCCTCTTGGGTTTGTGAGCATCAGAATTAGAACTCAAGTTACTTTGGCTGGTATGCGAACTTGTGGGAGCATGTGAAGTCTCACTTCTTCTATGTGAAGTGCTGCTGGAGGGAGGTATCTCATTCCTCTTGAAGGATGAATAACGAGATGTTGATGCAAACCTTGACACTGGTGGTGGCATTAAAACCCTTGAAGCGTATGGCTTCTAGCAAACAATAAAAAATCACTTACCAACATTGAAAAACAGAGTCCCCTTTATTATGCTAAGAACAAGACTATAAGTAGCTATTGCATTGAACCTGATTTCTTTCATCACTGGACATGCCCGAGGTTGCTCTGCCAGAAGCACTAGAAGCCGGCTCCCTGTGTAAGGAATGATAGCTTAATAGAGAGGTGAAAACAGGCTAAAAAGAAACGATTCCATAATGACAAGGCGTACTTTGTGCTTTTATCAGTCCACTCATCATCCGCATCTGCTTCATCACTTGAACTTCCGTTCGCAAAGAAGTCATCATCACTCAGATCCAAAAGCCCATCATCTTCGCTCCCGGTTTCTGTTTTTCAATAAGCAAAAATCAACAAAATCAGCAATACTTCAAGAGCAAACAGAAGGTCAGAATGTATGCAACAATGAAAAGAGCACACAGCCCCATTTTTATTCAAAATTTTCAGGGAAAGGGAAACCAAATAAGCATTTCCACATATCAACATCAATACCTTCCATCTCTTTCCCACTGGCCGCGGCAGTAATTATATTGGCTTTGATTTGCTTCCGCAGTTTACTTCTCTGCTCAGCTACTTCAAAATCATCACCTCCACTAAATAGTGAGACATACTTCTCATTTTTGGGGAAGAACTGCATTGCTCAAAGACAAATCTCAGCAAGTCAGCAGCATGAAAAAGAATAACATTTTCAGGAAATCATGAAAAAAAAACTAGTCTATTCTTATCCAGAGGACACCATATATACATGAAAAAGAAGAACCTGACTATTCTTATGACTAGCACATGAAAATGGATTTGGATGGTAAAAAAAAAGAAGAAGATAATAGCCTGTAAAGATGCTTACCCTAACATATTCAAGGTCTTCTTTGAGTTTACTGAGTTGTCCACTCATCTCTGCATCATGCACATGACCACCACATGTATTCCGTTGTAGCTTCTCGAGACGTCTTATTCTCCTTTCAATCTTTCTCCGCTCTACTCAAAAAGAAACTTGTAATATTTCTATCACTGAGGTGGAAAAACAAGTGAATGCATCAAGAATATAATGCCCTCACCAAAAAATCTGATCTTTCTGTTTCTTAGGAAGATTTTACGTTCAACAGCAAGACGTATATGGATGTCTTGCTGCTTCTTCAGATCATCCAACTTCTTTTCTAGAGCCTCTCTTACTTCAGGAGGAAGATCCTGTACATATCCATTCATTAAAATTCTTCACTGCACCATTCAGAATTTGTAATCTATGCTTCTAAATTCCTCTCCTAATCTAATCGTGATCTCATATTCCACAGTAATAAGCCGAATAATCAGCCAAATATCGAATTTGAGAAGCAAATTCCAAAAAAACAAGCACTGAAACCGACTTTGCGTCAATCGAGAAAGACCGGAAGCTATCGGAGAAGACGATCATAAACCTTAATTTCACAGGAAGAGAAGAAGAGCGGTTACTTTACGAATCACGCGGCCGATGGAACGAATTTGATTCTTAAGAGAGGAATTCTTCTGTTTCTTCTCAACACGTAATCCTTTCGATCTCCGACTGGGTCTTTCCGTCGTGTTCCGCTCCGCATCCCTCCGGTTAGCATATCCGCCGTGCGCCATCGCCAAGTTGTTGATCAAAACCTTCTTGTCACTCGCCAAGTCACGGTTTCAACTAGAGCTGTGCCATTTTCTAAAATCAATAGCATCAATTTTGTAATTCGGTTTAATAAAATTTCGATCTGGTTTTTAATTTCCGGTTTGGAATCGATTTGGTCAAGTTTCAATTCGGTTTATTTGATGTCGGACCGTACATGAAACTCCATTTCGAGTGGTTGGATATCTAAATGATTTCGGTTAAATAGTGAAATCTATTCAAGTACGAGGTAATTAATAATCAGTCCCCCATTTGAGAGGGAAACCATTGATTTGGCCTTATTATTAGAGAAACAAATTTGGTTTCTTCTTTTCACATGAACAAAAAACACATGTGAAAAAACGAGGTTGGATCGGTCCTGCCGTCTAGGCAAAATTTTAGTCAGTCAGTAATCTAAGCATAAATGGATATAAATCAATCACATTTGAACTGTGTCTTTTTTTTGTATATATATGTAAAATTTGTAAGTGTTGCGCGTTTGGATTCACTGTAACACCAGTTTTGACTTTTGTTATTAAAAAGAAAAAAAAAAGAGTAGACTAAAAAGAGTAGACTAAAAAAAAAAAAGAAATCAACATTGTTCTTTTGCAGTTTTGCATGGAACAATCAGGTCAAACAATTTCTCATATTATTTTTCACCTTTTTCAAGTTACTATTTTTAATGGTCGAGAAAGGGGAGAATATATTTTGTCAATATATGATCTAAACAAAAACCCTTAGATACCGCAATTTAAAAAGTTTCAATAGTCAAACATCAATTTAAAAATCCCATCTAGGGTTGAAAATATAAGCATCTCAATCTTATTGTACAAAGAGTACTTACGGCCTTAACATTAAGTAATACTACCAAAAAAGAAGCCATGATTAAGTAATACTACCAAAAAAGAAGCCATGGATCTCCTACAATCGATGACTCTCGGAGTCGGCGGCGTCCACTTTCCATCAACGAATTTTCCTTTATTATTTTTTTTTTAGAGAAATTAAATATTTATATAACAATCCATCGATGTTACTATTGGTGTGGTGATATATGCAGACGAAACAAAAACGTGATTTATGGCAAAAAGAAAAAAGAAAAGGAAAATAAGAAAGGGAAAAACAAGCAAAAGGGAAATCATGAAGAAAAGGCAAAAAAGGAGAAAGGAAATTGTTACGATAGGAATTAGCAATTTACTATATTCTTGTTTAGAATCATATCTTTATAAATAGAGGTACAGGCCTAAGGTTTATTGTATCACAAAGATCATAAAGATCAAAGAAAGAGAGAATTACTAAAGAGAAAGATTTAGGAGAGAAAGAGTACTTACGGCCTAACGTTAAGTAATACTACCAACAAAGAAACGAAGCCATGGATCCCTGGTGGTGAGTTCCCATCAACGAATTTTCATTACTTCTTTATTATTTTATAGAAATTAAAAAAAATATATATATATATACATAACAATAATAATGGATGTTACTTTTGGTGGTATGATATATGCAGGCAAAACAAATACGTGATTCATGACATTGTCATGAGCACACTCTTGATAGTCTTGAATATTGCAATGTTTTGTTATATAAAACACAATAACATTCACATAGCTGTTCCAAACTGGGTGATCGAGTTTTTCTTGGGTGTATACTGCGTTGGTTCATTTGTAGCTTATTGGGCCTTGCGCCAACAGCCCTTGGAAGGATGGTGCTACATGACTGTTAGTCACCTCTGCGCCATTATTGTGCTCATCCTCTTCATCTATTCTGTCTCGCCCGTTTCTGCTCTTATTTTTGGCATACTTTCTGCGTTATGGTTTGTATCCTATTTGTTTCACGCGACTTGTCCCAGGAAAGATTTAACCTAGATTAGGTTTTTTTTATCAAATTTGTCTTGACTTGATACGAGATGATGACTCTCCTTTTTCTAGCTATCATTATATAATATAGTATCAGAAATCTCAAATCCATTGAAAGAGAATGGATGCGATTCTCCATATTTCTCAAAATCCAATACATAAATCCAAGTGCTATACCAATCACTGTGTTGTTACATTTGCAGCAACGAAATCGTGTGTTCACAAATTTAGTGTCAATACGAATCATCAATAAATGAACCCTAACTACTAACTCTATTTAAGATGCGTGTATGCCTGTAACTTGTGAACCTTACTCATGCATGGCAAGGTAGTTGAATGTTGAAGAGCTAACTTATAATTAAATGCTGCACTTTGATTGATGCTAAAAAGTCTTCTTTATAAGCTACAATGATCGAAAAGAATCTGCAATATACCATATTGAAGCAATAATGATGGAAACACCAAACAAATAAAATAATGTTTATATAATATTAAGGCTTTTTTTGTGAACATTTTAGCCGAACGAAACCAAATCCGAACCAAAATGATCTCAATTAAATTACAACTATAGTTTTACAAGAAGTAAAGAACTGAATGAACTGATCTGAACGACAAAAACCTGAAATATTTACCTGAGACAGAGTAACTTCTTTAGGGTTTTGTTTTTACAGGTAATTCTTTAGGGTTTAAAAATTAGAGCAAACAACAGAAGAATATGCAAACAAAAGAAAACGATTAAAAACTAGATAAAACAAAAACAAAAGAGTTCTTCCGCGAATTATTTCTTGCCCAAATAGCTTTGTTTGGTTAGAAGTTCTTCGGCATTTATAGTCATTTTCTATTTAAAACAAGTTTTCTCAAATTTTGGGTGACTTACCACACAATCTTTCCACAAATCTTCGACACGCATTTCACAAACAATATATTATAGTTGATGCTATATCACACACGCAAACTCTAACAAATAACATGTGTGGACATGCATTTACGAGAAAAACAAAAAATGGTGAGCAAAACTCGAATCGATCATTTTTCGGTTTCAACCTTTCTTTTTCTAGATCATATTAGTTGATACTAACTCTCGAGCCGATTATTAGTGTCCCATTAATTAATTAAGTTCACGCGTCTTCTTGTTAGTGTCCCATCCCCAAGGTTTCCACGGATTTTAAGAATTACTACAATTCTCTCCACATCATTATTGCTACATGATTCGCAGTACTCAGTTACATTTACTACCAACTGTCATCACCACAACTGGCAAATGTCAGAAACAATTGAATCGTAATGACTGCTGCATTCTATTTTCGTCCATATTCTCATCATTACTATTTGCTACATTCTAGTTAATATATGGCTCTATTATAGCCTTTTAATGTGTTACGTGGGAGTGCTAAGTATTTGTTATCACTTAATCAACAAAAAATGAAGATCATAATGAAGTTACAGACACAACAATGGTGACGGTATAAATCCTAATCTAGTTATAGATAATGTTTTTACTAAATTAGAAGTCATAAATGTAATTAACACGTGTAAGTACTCACGTTCACGTGTGGAAACTAACTCCAAGTCACCAACACAATAGTTATACGTAGAAATAACCCACACATTTCCTCCTACGTAGCTCAACAACTCTGATCTTAATTTCACGTAGAAGCATTATAAACACTTATGAAAAAGTAAAAGTTTATATATAATTTTTTTTTATCACGACTTGTTGGTCCACAAGCTCCACGTATCATTCCACACCACGTTAACAAAACAAGGAAGCAGTATCGGTTCTTTGGCAAATTCAATTTCATTAAATCGCCACTGTTGAATGTTCGTTGGAGGTAGTTGTATCCTTCTTCTCCTAAAATTGATCCATACCTTTTTCTATAAAATATAATACGTCAAGTCGTCAATGCATCTCACCCTATTGTCTTATATTCATTTAGTCTCTCCTCCCTGTATATTGGAGGATAAAATAATACGTATGCAATTTACTTCTCATGGTTCCTTTATTACACAGTTGGGATAATACAAAAATATTCCTTGTAAATCATACACAAATTGGAGCAATTAATGGAAAGAGTACATGATTTCGCCGTGTGGATTCCAAAATTAAGAAATACGAAATATACCGACCATGTATCAAATAAGACCAAAAGTGAATAATCAGGATGCAAATATGATCCGCTTTACTTTTGTTGTCCGATGGGTTAAAGTAACCGCCAAATAATTATATTCAAAAATGTTTGATCGGATTTTCGGTCAAAATCGAATGAATGCATAGTTCGCTCACCTCCACAACAATACCTACGTACCATAACTAGCTACATTTATTAAATTGCCTAGTTCTCTTTCTTAAACTTTGCCTATAAATCCCCATTAGTCCCTCCAACTTTTTAGGCTATAAGCTATCTCTTTCTCTGCATTGAACACTCAACCTCTCCTCTTCTCCTTTTTTGGTCTTGTTACTTTTAGTCACATTCTAAAACCAAAAAGACATGAATACTGAGAATCACATTCAAAGTGATCAGATGAACAATAATAATTCATCAATCGCCACCGTTCATGTAACACACACAAAACTCCCAAACTTCCTCTCATCAGTACGCCTCAAATACGTTAAACTTGGTTACCACTACCTTATCTCTAACGCCGTCTACATCCTCATCCTCCCCGTCCTCCTCGCCGTAACCTCCTCCTCCTTTAATCTCTCCGATCTCACTCTCTTACTCAACCACCTCTTCAATTTCCACTTCCTCTCCGTCACGCTCGCCGCCGCTCTTCTCATCTTCCTAACTACCCTCTACTTCACAACCCGTCCTCGCAAAATATTCCTCCTCGACTTCGCTTGCTACAAGCCCGATCCTTCTCTTATATGCACACGAGAAACATTCATGGACCGGTCTCAACGTGTTGGTATCTTCACGCAAGACAACCTCGCTTTCCAACAAAAGATCCTCGAACGTTCCGGCCTTGGACAAAAGACTTACTTCCCGGAGGCTCTCTTGCGCGTGCCACCTAATCCTTGTATGTCCGAAGCGAGGAAAGAAGCTGAGACGGTTATGTTTGGAGCTATAGACGCAGTGCTTGAGAAAACCGGTGTGAAGCCTAAGGATATTGGGATACTTGTGGTGAATTGTAGC